ATACGTAGTAATCGTTCGTTCAGAATCGAATTCGTTTCGACTCGATAGTGCTCATTTGCCTCTGGGGTCTGTGTCAGCCTGCATCGATTACAGCATATCGATAGGGCCGTCCCCTGAAGACTACCTTAAATCCCGGTCCATTGATCGACGAGCGTATGCTTGGTGCGGTGTCTGGGCTTCTTGCACTGCCGCGATGACTGGGGTCTTGTGGAAGGGACTGAGAGGAGCATAAACCAGGAACCATCTTTGATAGAACCAATCAGATCTCGTAGGGGGCGGCAGAGGCCCCTGCATTTGGGAATGACGGTGGTTTATGCATCGATGCATCCCTTTTTTTTGTTCCCCCCAGTGCGTTTCCTGTCCGTCGATCATCCGTCATTCAGTCTACTTCAGCGTGCGCGCGACCGAGCGTCGTTCAGCCGATGAGGGGATCAGACTCCCTGCTCTTTCTCCAGGCATTGTCATTGCGCTGCCGGCAGCAGTCTTCTGTCTCTCTGCCTTTTATTTTTTTTATTTTTTTATTTTGTGTGGCGCAGACCTGCAGTGTGCAAATCTTGATCAAATCTCTTGGGTTGGGGCCGTTGTCATGCAAGACCACGGACTGGGCGTGTTTGAAGGAGGGAGTGAACACCTCCTTTATTACGTCGGCAGCTGAAGCAAGTATGGGTATAAGGGGAAACGGACGTCCCCCCCCCAATGCGCGTGTCGATGGCCTGTTTCTCTGTTTTCTGGTTTGATGCATCCTATTTACGTCCATTCACCTTCGTTTGTGTCTGTTTTCGGCTGCTTCGATATTCCACAGTGTTTACTACCTACAACTACTTAGTTTACAAAGAAGCACCAAAGTGAAGCTATTCCGAATACCTGGAATCCCCACCTCCGTCCAAATTCACCAAGGATATAAACACGGCAGATCAATCTTGTCCCGAAGATAGGAAATTAGAAAACCAAACTCGGCGCTGGGAAAGTAAGCAACGACGAAAATGAAGGGCACCAACAACATCAGAGGCCTCATGGGCAAGGGCGCTCCGCCGACGCCAATGTTCTTCTCCATCGTCCGCGTCGTCATCCTAGTCCTCTCACTCGCCGTCGTCGCTGCGTGCGGATATTGCCTGTCGCTGCTCGGCGCCTATTCGAGTAGCTACACCGGACCGCCGGGCTTCATGCTCTTTGTCGTATGTTTTCACCACCTCGGGACCCCCCTTTTTTTCCCTTCCTCTTCAAATCACCAAATAGAGTACAAAAGTCACTTTACGCCAATTCTATGAACAGCGTTTTCATGGCGTTCAAGGAGCCACAGCAAGTAGCACATTTACTGACACAACATGTACTCGCATTAGTCTCTCTTCACCCTCCTCGTTCTAGGCGGCGCCATGATCGTCGAGCGCTTCGCGGCGCACCTCTACTTCCGCATCGCAGTCCTCATCGGCTACGGCACAAACTGCCTCTTTTGGCTGTCGGGCTGGGCGTGGTCCGCGAGCATCGCGGCGTTGTTCTTGGGCGACACGTGCGTTCAGGGGACCTGCTTTGGTCCCACGACGGAGGAGAAGCGGTACGGAGGGAGCATGGCTGGTGCCGCTGCCGTTGGCGCCGTGAACTGGTGAGTTTGAGGCGGTTTTTTTTTTTTATCCCTTTTTTATCGTTTTTGCGTAGTCGCAACCCATAAGCCATTGAGCCTCGAGCGTGCGCCAGAGATTCACTTACTGACGAAGAAATGTTAGGGTTCTGATGACGATTGTTTTGTTCTACTACATCAAGGGATGTCTTTCGGATCCGGACTGCTACGGCGTTTCGACGGGCCATGGCTCGGAGATGGGCAGTATCAAGGCGGAGAGCAAGTCGCGGTCTCGCCCATCCGTCAATGAGCCGTGAGTTGGCGGGTTGCAGATGTGACAAGTGGCAAACTAGTTTATCGGGGTTCGCGAGTCAGATGGGGAAAGAATTATAATAAGGTACTCTTTGCTTGGATCGGATCGGGACTTGGTTATGAATGGAGTTTTTCGGTTTACATGAGGAAATGACACGGCCACTGCTGTCTCTTGGTTGCTAGTCAGGCTTTCAAATGTCTCGATAGAGGGGTATCATATGGGTTTTTGATGGTTTTGATGAGAGATACCACTGGCTATCATTAGTAGCTAATCTTATTTACGTGAACTGCCCGCATGACTGCACCCGCCTTCCTTCCTTCCTTCGTTGATGCCTTTTGCCTGCCTTTGGCCTGCCTTTTCAATTAAGAGTTCTTTCCAAAAAGAAATTCGGCAGGAGCACCCATGTTGTCATAACAAACTACTACACATTACATACATCTAGCCTTCGCCCGTATATCGATGACTCCCTCGTCAGGCTGCCGGAAGGCTCCTCCTACATGACAGGCAAGTATGTTGACGTTGGGCTCTCTTTCTGTCTTTCTCTCTTTTACACGGAGCCTATGACGATGTCGCTGCAAGGGCATTGGCAACCTCCCTGACGTGAATCACGTTCTTCGACAACCGAAAAGGCGGACTTTTCTGCTGAGAAGATCCTGAAGGAGACAAAAGGCAAAGTCCAAGCCAGGCATGTTCTTCGTATCACCGAGGGTAAGGTCATGTACGTGCTCTTGAAGCAGTGGAATTAATAATTAAGCTGTGAACAGACCCATCAACGCCTTTGAAATGGCTGTCAAACTCCTGCCTTTTCTCCTCATATACAGTACTCCGCCTCAAAACCGAAAGGAATTTCCCTGCTGATGCAAAACTCGCGAAGAGAGCAAAGCATAACAAGGATCCTCGCAAAACCAAATCACGCAATTCGTTCCTCCATTCGCTCCTAATCCAACAGCACCTCCCCAACGACATCTGCCCCCTCTCCTCCCCTCAAAAATCACTTTCTTTGCGCAGGCAGCTTCCTCTTCAACGGAGCCATCATAGGCGTCCCGGGCATCGAAGCAGCCTCACCCGCATTCTCACCCCTCGGCACATCCTGGAAAAAGTCCAACGCGTCAATACGATAGTCCGCCGCGACAGCCTCCCTCACCACCAGGGGCAAATCCTCCCAAGCGCTGGCGTCAACGCCCGCGGCGATAGCCTTGGCCCGCCAGTACCGGCACTCCGCTTTCGTGTGGCATATGTCCTCGGCGCGCATCACGGCCGCCCTGTCACGACGGTTCCGGCTCCGTAGCGCGGCGACGTTGTTGCGGTCCTTGAGGTTCCTGAGGCGCGCGGCCGCCAGGGTGTTGTTGTACTCCACCGCCTCGGCTCGTGCGGGGCCTTCGGGGACGGTTGGGTCGATTTTGATGTAGGAGCCGAGGACGGGCGGGGGCGGGAGGTGCGCGATTTCGGTTGGGACCGGGGCGGCGCGGATTTTGTAGATTTTTGCGAGGGACGAGGAGGCGGTGCGGGTTGTGTTCTTCACGCGGGGGGAAGGGGGCGGGAGGGTGGTTTGTTTGGCGGTGGTGAAGATTTGTTGGATCTCGGATTCACGGCGGGCGCGCTCTTGGGCGGTGGCGGTGGGCGGGATCTGGAGGGACGCGGTGAGGAGGGAGGAAACGGTGCCTGGGAGGGCGTGGGGGCAGAAGAGCTGGAGGTGGTAGGGTGGTTCGACGTCGGGTGTTGTGGAGCGAGGGGGGTTTGCATTACGGAGGGCGCGGGAGCGGAGGCGCTTTGCTGGCGGTGCTTCGGTTTCGTTTTGCGTCTGTTGTTGAGGGGGTTGGATGTAGTCGTTGCTCGTGGTCTGGGGGAAGGGTTGGTTGCTGTACGGCGATTGGTACTCGTTATGGCCGAAGAGAGATATGTTCTGGTTGAATCTGTCCTCAAACATGTACGGATCCCAGTCGGCGTGGACGTCGACGAACTGGCTGTAGGGGCCAGACATGGTGAAGTTTGAGCAGTGTTTGCAATGGTTGTTGAGAGCGGTGAGAGGCGGAGAGGGCCTGGCCTTGACGAAGACAGGGGAAGCAGGACTGCCAGCCGATGACTGATCTTGATGTTTGGCCTGCGTGACTGAATGACGATGCCGCGGTGAGATGACAGCTGAAGAAGCGAAAGGTGTTTGCCGGTCAAGAAATATCCAGATACCGGGTTGACTGACTTTCAGTGAATGCTGGAATGTGTTGAACGAAGTGAATGATGGACCGAAAAGGGGTCGTGATGAGTCGGCAGAGGGGAGGTTTATATGCAAAGCGGCGAGGGTGCTGGGTCGGCCACCTATTCAGAGGCCGCCCATTTGACGATTTTAAGCGAGCAAACAATATGAGATGAATGATCACGCAGGTTTCGAGGACTTAGGCGAGAGATTCTAGCCTTCGCCTAGGTCGACACGTGAGCTGGGTAGTTGAGGCGAAGAAGCAGTGAATCACTGCGCCGGCATTAAGGCGTGAGAGATGATGGGAGCTTTCGAGGCGCATTATGGCAGTTTGCGAATGTTGACTTACGTGAGTACTGGAACTGGCTCATTGATAGCTTGGCTTAATGTTTTCAAACATCAAAACTGCAAACACTGCTTCGAAAAAGGGGTGAGTTGATACATAAATTGAGGAAATAATTTTGAGTGATAAAAGTTGTTAATTTGCAGCATATCGAAGGGTTGTTTAAATGGCCATGTGTAATCATTGGCAATGAACCCTAACAGTTGCGATGATGATTCATCCTGAAACGAGGAGATATTCCATTCACGGTCGTGTACTTCTTGTCTCTCTAGTTTGTGCCTGGTTGACGTCGGCCGACGTTGCGAAAGTGTTCGGCTGCGCCCGGGATATATGGGGCCGACCATGTGTGTGAGCCGGTCTCCGTCCCCCTTTGTCGGGGTGGTGGTGGTGGTGGTGTTGAAATACGGAAATCCTCGTTACAATTTTCAATAGCGCAGACGATGAAGGTGAAATTGAAACTTCATACAATTGTAGTTGTTATCTAGATAAGCCGGTTGAACAGACTCTATTATACCAAGCCAAACGCTCCCACTGGATATTCCCATCGGCCATACTCAGGCTCGATCTATTGTCATGCAATGCACCTCCCGAAAAACGCCGCAAAACATGCCTCTTTGGCTGTCAAGGCTGTGTGAACCTTGCCGAATCTTTTCAACGACCACACCAGAACATGATCCACGACCTCTATAGCTTGCTCTTCTCCACGTCCTCCATCTCTTTGCGGAGATACTCGTTGAATTCGTCGGCGTTGTCGAGGTAAAGGTGGTGACCCGCCTTTGAAACCTCGATAACCTTGGCCGACCCATTTTCCCGTCTCTTCTCGTCGTCGGTGCCGTTGAGCAGCGCCTGAAGCCTGGCTTGCTTCAGCTTCTCCGCCGCCGCGATGCCGCCCTTCTTGTCCATCCAGTCGCTCTCGCCGTACATCATGACGATGGGGATGCCCGTCTCCCTGAGCTTCTCGCCGGTGCTCTTCTCAATGACCTGGCGGCCGACGCCGTCTATCCTGTTGACCATGGGGCTGCGGGCGAAGGCGCCGGGGGCGAGGATGTAGGGCAGGGCGTACTCGCCGCTGCCTCGCTGGCGGAAGATGGAGAAGGCGTAGTCGTGCAGAGCCTGGGACTCTTCCTGGGGCAGGTGGTTGAAGCGGCGGGACGTCCACCCGGAGACGAAGCGGGGGCCGAGGGGGCCGGTGAAGCGGACGATGCTGAAGGGAGAGACGTTTGCGTCCCAGAGCCAGACGAGCCAGCCGGGAAGTGGACGCTTGGGCGCGTTTGGCTTGTTGTTCCGTGACGTGACTGAGTTTCGGTCGTCACTGGTGATCGAATTCTGGTCCTGGCTAAATTCGTTCTGGAGGGTCGACTCTTCGGGCTCGGGCATGGCTGCATTGACCGCGTAGGGGTCCTCGGGGATTCCGACCGGCGAGGCGAGTATGAGCTTCTTGAGGTGGCCCGGGTACTTGAGTGCGTACGCGATGGAGAGGTAGCCGCCGAGGGAGTGGCCAACGAGGGTGAACTTGTCAATGTTGCGCTTCTTCCGCCACTCTTCGAGGGCGTCGATGAACCAGGCCTCGGCCTCGCGGGTCTTGCCCTCCTGGTCCTTGGCGGTGACCTTGAACGGCGGCCTCGTCGAGTTGCCCATGCCGAGCATGTCAAGGGCGTAGAGCTTCCAGCCCTTTGGCCGGGAGAGGGGCTCAAAATTCTTGTAGAAGAAACCGAGGCCTGCGCCGTAGCCGTGGAGGATGACGAGGTTGTTGTCCACTTCCTCGCCGACGCGCTCGATGGAATATTCATTGAGGGCACGATTCTTGCCGGAGAGCTCAACCATTTGCGACTTCCATACTCGCTGTCCAAAGGGGTCTGGTTTGGTAGAGTCTAGGGAAGCGTTCTCGCGTGCTTCTTTGAGGTAAGGGATGTGTGACAGGACGTTGCGTTCGGCCATTTGCGGAGTTACACTTGTCCACTGCGGACTTTTTGTTAGCGACGTTGCCCCCTAAACTAGTTGAACGTGAATTTGTGAATTAGCTTACCCATTGATAGACAGCATCTTTGTATCCCAGAGGGAAGTAGGTGCCCGGGGGACGAGTTGTCGCATTGGGAGCGGCGGGGGGTGCGGTGGCGGCGGCAGCCATGGTTTGGTGGGATCGGCGAGGAACGGAGTCTTCAGAAGATGCTCGGATGCTGGGAGCGGGAGACTTGACGCTTGCAGAGGACGATGTAATTAACGAGGAAGCAAATTTGAGTCGCGACCCGTTCACTACAGAAGAAGCAGTTTGGTGGTGTATCATGCCGGATACTGCTGGGCTTGGTGGCGACGGGGGCAACCGTCTATATACAAGAGTCGCAAAATAAAAGTAGCGTAAGGCGTCAGTCAGTCAGTGTGGCTGCAAGAGGCGGATGTGTGTGTCCGGAGCGCGGATGTTCTGAAACTTGCGACGACTCATCAGTCAGCAAAGAAGCGGAGCGGGGCGACGGAGCGGGATAGATGGATAGATCCAGTAAACGCCGGGTTAGCAATCCTTCCAAGACAAGGCAGGTGCAGTAACGAAAGGAACGGCGACACCGTTGTGAAGGGCGGGTGTCGAGGTACAGTGGTGACGCGAAGATGTGGCAGAGGGGGACGGACAGGAACAAAGATGACGGTGGGCGTGGAATAGCACGAATGGGGTGGGCAAAGCTGCAAAAGGTGGGAGGGGGGGCGAGACAAACCAGGTGCCCCGGCCGGAATGCCAACGGCTCCGTAAAAAACCGACAAGCTTGTTGAGCAGTTGAGTGACAGGGGCGTAGGCAGGCAGGGGTCACTGTGTGAGGACTGAGGAGAATTGGCACGAAGGGGAAAACAACGTGCCCCAGGGACGGGATGCGGATCGGTTCATGGACTTAGCACCCGGAGTTTGGCGGGCTGAAGAGTGGGGCGGCTATTGCATTGAGCCGTGTCGGCGGTAAGAGACCAACAAGCCCCGATTCCCCGCTGGATGGCTGATTTTCCATTGTACATTCGTAGGACGGCCCAGTCATACGCTGCCTTGAAGCTGACAGTCTAATTTCGCTCCAGCACCTTGCGCAATCAAAGGGACGCTTGCTCGATGTAGGCAACATTCTGGATGGGGGCTTGCCAGGGTGGTCAATCATGAAATAGCATCGTGGATTCCTGGCCAGACCATGACTTGATAACTGTAGCATCTAGCGCATGCCATCAATATTCGCATGAGACATGCAGTCAGACCGGGATTGAGATCAGTATGAGAAGAGAAGAAACTCTCCTCTTTAGCTTATCGAATTTGTTTCGACCTTGAGGCTTAAAAACAAATGCATGGACGAGGAAACATTTTTTCTCTGTGATGTCTCCAGTGACCGGGCCATCGAGTTGTTTATGACTCTAGATGTACGGAGTAAGGTACTCTGGTTCTTTCAAAATTATGTGGAAATAATCTCTTTGCTGTCAAGCTAAAGCCGAGCAATCTTGACAGTCTCTGCATATCACTGAGGCTTGCGCAGCTCCTTGGCCTTGGCTGTTCAAGCTGACTGCCTCATGAATCGAGCCCCGTCCATCGTCAAATCCTCATTCTTCAACCGATTTGCATGTGTCGAGCTCTTAGCTCCCAACAGGCCTTATCGCAATCGCAATCTCTTATCGCACTAGTTCCGACACCCCTCGCTCGGGCCTCCCCGCCTGCCCGCCTGTCGCTATGACGTCCCACTGTCCACACCTGCCGCCAGACGGAGCGGAATTTCCACCCCCAGCCAGTTGAAGCACACCGGCCGGCCTGATTGACATCTGACCACTGACAGATTCCACTCCCGCCCTTGCTTCTCGAACACCAGCAGAACGCAGACGCGCAGAAGCTCACATCTCCAAAGGGCAGTGCAGCAAAGCAGCCTTGTTTGCTTGTAGCTCACCCCTTCTGCACCTGCACTCTGTCCACCTGCAGTTTTACACCATCCTACCCCGCCACGACCACCGCGTATGTCTGCAGACCGCTGCTGACTGCGGCTGCCGAGGCCCCTCCACTTCTCAATTCCCCGTCCCGAAGCGACCTGACCGCCGCATTACGACAGAAAAACTTTTCATCCCTCTGAGCGACGACAGGTCTTCCTATCGCAACCATGGCTGACGAGCTTGACTCTCTCGTCAAGGGCGCTCCTCCGCCGGGCAAAGAGCCCAAGGCCGCCGTCGGAACGACCGGCGTTGTCCCCGACTCTGGCAAGCAAGGCGACCCGTTGAGCCATACCCCGAGCTCGCCATCCATGATCTACCTGAACCTCCTGATCCTCGAGGCCTCCCTGCGCGCGCAATACCTCGAGCTTCGCGCCCGCCGCCGCCATCACACATTCTTCTTCACTTTGCTGTCGGCATGGATCAGCGGTTTCGGTTACGCCCTCTTCTTCGCACCGCGCGAGGATGGTCGAGGAGTCGGCGGCTCCGTCTATTGGGGTGTCGAGACATTTGAGAAGATCTGCTTCATGGGAGGCGTCATGACCGCCATACTGGTCTGGGCCACAGGAATATGGGAGCGAGGGATTAGGTGGCCACGCCGCTGGTTCGCCATCTCCAACAGAGGCCTCCGAGGCTTCAACTCTAAGCTGGTTATTATCCGACGACCTTGGTGGGCCGAGTTTCTCTCCACCATTGGCTTCTTCCTGACCTATGGAATTTTCTCCCACACGGCTAGCTCCTCGTACCGCTATGTCGAACCATCCATACTGCGCGAAGTCGAAAAGGAGCTGAGCCTCACTGCGGACAGCCACCCAACACTGCCAGCCCTGATCGAAGACGAAGAAAAGGGAGGCCACGAGGAGGACCTCGCGCCGGGCGGAGACTATGTTAAGCTTCTTCTGCTCGCGAAGCCGTTCACGCCTACATTTAGAGAAAACTGGGAAATCTACCGCACCGAATACTGGGAGAAGGAGAACGAGCGCCGCGCCCTCATCCAGACGAAGCTCGCAGCACGCGACCGCCAGGTGGCCAAGCAGCGATGGGGCATGTTCTGGTGGCTGCCGTGGCACCGCGTCGACCGAGCCGGTCCGCCGCCTGCCCGCCAGCAGAGCCCGGAGAAGACGACGATGCACCCCCGCGCCGCCGCCATCGAGCGCGAGCACAGACGCCGTAGCAGCACCACCAGCGCGCACCGCCGTAGCTCGACGAGCTCGAACCGCAGCCTGACGCCGTCCGTGGCCGCGACCAGTGACGATGGGGATGGTACTATTAGTCGGAAAGCTAGCACCGGTTCTAATGCGTCGGAGAAGCGAAGAAAGAAGACGTTGACAAAGTCGAAGCGTCCCAACATCGAGTCGAGGTCTGTCACGCCCGATATCTCGTCGCCGTTGGCGAGGGAGGGTAGTATCAATCGTGGAGATGGCGGCTCCGGTGCCGAGTCTGTGGCGGGGAGGTCGTTGAGGCACTCTTCGTCCAAGGCTAGTATCAGCTCGTCCATCAATTCTTTTCGGGAGAAGCAGCGGAAGGCTAGCGAGTCGTGATTGCATAGGATTATAATGTACTTTACGAAGCGAAGAAGCGAAGAGATGAGAAACGAACATGCACAAGTGCATTGCTACTCCCACGATTGTCCTCAATTTTTCAATTGCTCGCCTTCCTGAAAGGGCCACCTCTTGAAAGCTGCTTGGGTGAGAATGAGACCTGAGTACATGATTCATCCTGTCTAGCATTACCAATTGCCATCTGTCTGAATCTTATTGTCCAGTCCAGGCGATCTTTTGGGACGAGTCTGCTTGAAATTCCGGAGGCTTGCTCCTTGCTCTGCTACTCGCTCCTTCCATTGAGCAGAGAGTACCCATAGGCCACTGGCCGCGCCACCACCACCACCACCACCACCACGACGTCTTCTGTCTACGGAGCGAGCTCTCAACTTTCCTCCATCTCACACCTCATTTCGGTCTCATCGTCGGCTCCTGGGCTAACCTAATTGTTCACGACGAATCTAGCCACGGTCGCTCCAACTCGTCCCATTTTTCTTAATGAAGACTTTGGCACTGTCCCCATCACTAATATAAGAGGTGAGCCTCAAAATTTCACGGTCAAGAGACAACCGTTGACTGCAGGAGAGAGATTCTTGCTTGACCGTCGCGCTGCGATCGGAAGTACTATCCGTTTCGACATGCACTCTAACAAAAGGTAGGCATCATCTCATTTGTCGAAACTATCACTTACATGTGTCAATGTAACAGATTATTCAATCCGGACTCGAAGGCTCCTTCCTACATGATGGATCGAAGCCGTCTTCCTTCAGCATGGACTCGACGTCGTCTTGCGTCGATATGGACTGGTAAGTGTTCCAGCAGAGCGATCCTCGATTGACTGATAGTGTAATAAAAGAAGTCCGAAGGTGTTCACCTTCGATCCAACACCAAGTAAAGACAACGGCGATTCTTGATTCGGTTCGAATGAGCACTCTGACAATTCATCACCCACGTCGGGTAACCGGGCTGGCCACAATCTAGCACGTTTGCCCAAAGATCCTCGGCTCACTTTTCTTCTTCTCTGACCGAGTCGAGGCTGCTAGGTGAACACTTTTTGTTGTCGTTGAGACAAAGGAGATCTCGCGGAAATCTTCAATTATGGGACCATGGTGTCCTTACGGAGGCAAGAGATGAGACACGAAAATGGCACGCATGCATTGCTAACGCAAATGTTCGTCTCATGTTTCTCAATGCTAACCATTTCGGAAGTGACTTCTCGTCAAGGCTTTCCTGGGCACTTCACGGCGTCAAAAGAATATCCAGGTTTCGACCGCGGGCCCTAAACCAGTTTGCTCATGGTCCGTGGGAGGTAACATTCCTATTGGCCCGGATACTACGGATAGTATCCGTAAGACTCCCGCGCAATTGCGCGGGCACATGGAGCTACAAGTTCTCCGATTGGTTTAAGCTGCCTTGTCTTACACCGACCGTCTTAAAGCACAGCACCTCTGTGCCTTCTTCGTAAACCGCTGTGATTCGCTTCAGACGTATCTGAAAGGAAATTACGAAGCTATGGGAGGCTACCATCGCGAGACATCGGTGATGCCTGCTTCACCCAAGCTTGAAATACTATAGAAATAGCGTCTACGTTCAAGAAAAAGACTCGTGAAGGAAGTTCGTCCTCCATCCCATCTTGCGCTTCAACAGTCTCTGCACCTTCTTCGGCCAACATACACCTTCTGCGGCTAATATAAACGTACCATTATCATGAAATTCATTCATACACAATCTTACGAGTTGCTTGAGTTCGCCGACTACAACCCGCCTCCATTCGCCGTGCTGTCGCACGCATCGAAATTATCTCATCATGGTAGCCAGGTAAACTCTTTTCAATCAAAGTCTGTGCTCTTTGACAGCATCGTTTTGCGGGCTTGTCACAAGGCAGACGCTCACGGCCTGAAATTTCTCTGGGTTGGTACTGTGTGTGTCGACGAGACTTCATCTCTAGAGCTTCAACACGCCGTTAGCTCTTCTTTTCGCCTCCTGCGAGCGGCAACAGTGAGCTTCGTTTATCTTCACGACCTTCCGCCTTACTCTGCTTTACTAGCGGAAACTTGGGGCCGTTGTAGATACTGGACGCGAAGCTGGACACTCCAGGAGCTGGTTGCGCCCTCGAACGTTAAATTTTTCGATGCCGAATGGAACTACCAGGGAGCCAAGTCGTCCCCAGGTCTTCTTAATATGCTTCAAACTGTTACCCGGATCGATAAGAACATCTTAGCAGACAGCGATGCCTTCTCAAAGGTCGCAATCGGAGTCAGACTGTCGTGGGCGGCCGGAAGAGAAGCCACTCGCGCCGAGGACGCGGCGTATTCTTTGGCCGGCATTACTGGGGTTAACATATCCGTCAGATACGGTGAAGGCTTAGATCAGGCCTTCGCTCGCCTTGTGAAGAAGATCATTCATGCCGAAATAGATGGCTCGATCTTTGCCTGGACCAGCAATGATAACCAAGTCGCTCGGGGACTTCTTCCACGATCCGCATCCGAATTCCGCCATCTTACGGATAAACACGAATCTCCTTGGTCACAGAAGCCATTTGCTTTCAACGGCAATGTTCACTTCAGTGGCAAGGGTCTAGTTCTTGACTCCCGGGCATCAACGCAAGACTCATCCCTCATCCTGGAAATCGGTCGGACGCCCGAGAAACAATTCGGCGTACGAATTCAGATGTGGGAGAATCTATTTGTTCGAGTTGATTCGAAAGAAATAGTGCAGGGGTTGGAGCACACACGACCTTGTCGGATCCTGGCAGCCCGCGACATCGATGCCGAGACGTCTCAAAACATTGACAACTCCTCCAAGAAGAGGAAGATATCGAATCAACGCCGAACTCCTCCTAATGAATACTCATTCATCCAGCTTGGATCTCCTCACATCACCTCGGCTTGTCTGTTGCATCACGATGCTTCCAGCTCATGTAGCTACCCTGATGAGACTCTAGACTTAGAGATTCTCAATGTCGATGACGGTGAGGAAGAGGAAGAGGAGGTAGAGGAGGAGGAGGAGGAGGAGGAGGAGGAGGAGGAAGAGAAAACATTCAGCCAGATTGACGTACACGACAGAACTTCCCTAGACACGAATCACCCGTATCAGTCTGAGCGCGAGTGCCTGCTACGCCGTTTCAGCGGACGAGTCCGAAGTTGGGCTCGTTCAGCGACATACATTGCACCGCCCGACAGCCGGAAATTACAAAAAAGGCGCAAGATTGCGGACTCGAAGTCATATTGCGTGAGCGAGGAGTCAGATTTTGAGGACATTGAAGATATCCACAACAACATCCGCATCGGATCCCGCATCGACGGCTATTTCCACCTCGCTTGTCCCTTCTACACGATGAAGCCTGATGAATATCAGCAATGTTTACTCGAATACGATCTGCGATCGATGGAAGATGTTGTGAAACACATCAAAAGACGCCATACAAAGCCGCCATATTGCCCTAAATGCCGGATCATTCTCGGAACACCGGTGGCCAGAGACGAGCATATTCGCAAACAGATTTGTGAAGCTCAATACCCTACTAGAATCGATGGTGTTGATGGAAACCAGCTAAAAAAGATCATGAAAGTAATGATGAATAGGTTCAGTGAGGCGGAGACTTGGACGCGCATTTGTGCGTTGGCTTGTCCTGACACCCCAGCCTGCGTCTCTTCTTACCTCGAAGATGGCCTCGGTCTTGAGGTGTCAAAGGTCCGGGATTATTGGAATAATAAGGGCAGGGAATGCATTGAGGAGTACTTATCTGAGAGAGGGGTTCTACTTCCCGAAGATCAGGATGAAATCGGAGTATTGGAAGCCTTTCATTCCCTGACTATGTTTGATTTGGTGCAGGAAACGGTTACCATCAGTATTAAGAAGTCGAATTAAGAATCGATTCCATTGGTGGGTAGTGTGTACAATGAAAACAAAGAATTTAATCCCACTCGTACTTATAAGTCAAACACACGATAGCCTGATGTTTGAATAATTCGGAACAAGAAGCAGCAACACCAAGAATTTATTCCCATATTTCATCATCAATACATAGATTGAGGCACTCGCTGTCGCGTGATAACCGCCCTCCATGTGCAGCACTCTATGAAGCAAACGGTCTCGATGACGACGTACTGACTTCTACCCCTGAGTTTTCCGTCCCGCCGTCGAAGTCGATGATGTCTTCCATCCCGATCTGACGGCCTGTGTCAGATGGAGGAATTCCATGGGGAGCTCTGTTATCTGTGATATCCATGATAGCTGGGTTCCTGTTATTGCTTTGGCTGGCTGAATTCACTGGGTTGAAACTTTGTGGATCTCCATGCTCCAGAAAACCAGTCGATGTAGAGCTGTAAGGCATATTCGGATCCAAGTTCATCGTGGGAAATAAAAAGGGAACAATGTTGTTATTTCCATTCAGTCCTGATAGCGTAGATCCCAGAACCGTCAAGTGTGCGTCGTTATCCACCGGAATAGATGTGTCGCCCTGTGAATGGAGTGGAACTCGCCTAGATATCTGAGCGCGTTCATGGCGTAGGGTGAGTGACTGGGCGAGAACATCTTCCCAAGGCGGGAGGTATTGAAGCTGAGCCCAGTTCACAAACTCTTCGGTGGTTACATTGCTTCTTGCGATCCTCACAAGAAGACTGAAGGGCTCCCAGATACCTTCGACAACGTACGGTGACTCTGGCCGTGGATGCCCCGCGAAGAAATGGTCCCATACCCAGAACCATTTGTCTTCGTCGCTTAAACCCCGAGGCAGATCGTTTTGCAGTTGACCAAGCTCATCGCCCATGAAGTCCTCGGACCAAGGACGAGATTGACAACTTTCCAGTCGCATGTGTCGGTCGCGGGATGCTGCGTTTTTGAACTTTATCCAGCAAAACGCACAATAAAACTCGGTGATGTAATGGCATCGCTCGATATGCTGTTTCAACCGGTTAAACCCCACGAGTTTATGCTTTTCGACACAGCGATAGTGCGTTATTGGATCCAGCTTGTAGAATGGACACCCCATCAATCGGCGGGCCACGTCTCGACCCCGTTTCGAATCCTGGCCCTTCTCGTCGTAATCGCCATCATCTCCACTCTGGTCGCTGTCTTCAGGACCGTCTGCGGGTGTCTTCGGGTCATCAACAGCTCTCCCCTTCCTCTTTTCCTTAGTTGAGACCTTTCCCTTGGCCTTGTTGTTCGGCTTCTGCTTCTGTATCTTTGTGGAGGGCTTGGCTGTAGGCTGTCTGGCGAGCGAGGATGGAAGCCCAAAAGGCATAGCGAGCGTTTCTAGAACAGTGCCAGCGTAACCACCAAGAACCATCAACAGACAACATAATACTAAGTAGAGGAGTGAGCTACAACGTGGGTAACATGCGGGGAACCATGGGTGTGCTGCAAGACAACTTACAGGACGATTCACACGCTTCAAAAATCCTCTCCGATTTGCTTTGCATGGAGAAGCAGGCGAATTCCAAAGCTTTATCACAATATCTGATTTCATGTAGCTTATGATCTTGGTTGATCTCAGAATGAGTGCGATTACCAGACCATACAGCACTGGGAGGTGTGGTCGAGCAACGGGCGTGGCTGAACTGGTCTTCAGGCCCTATGAGAGCCGTAAGGCGAGGCCTTTGGGCCAAACGAGACCACAGAACAAAGCCATTCAGATAGATTAGAGCGCCAAGGAGAAGAAGTGAGGGAATCAAGAATTTCCCCAAAATACTCTTATTCAACTCCATGATTGCAGGTGCAGATCTCGGTCATTCACACAAGCTGTATCGCATTGATCAGACTCGAATCAGGCTCAGCGGGTCACCAAGAAGCGTAGCCTGTGACAAGTGCACAGAAGTTGAGAGGCGTTCGGTTGGCAAGTATAAGTATGTGTCACGGCTGATTGTTCTCGTATCCCCGTCTTTCTGGCTGGTTCTTGTCCGCCTAGCCGCCTTGCTGCCTTGCCTTTGCAAAACGGCGCGTGGTGGCCACTCTCAACGCCTTTAAACCACTCTTGAACGACAGACTCTAGCAGACTCAAATGTTCTTTTCACATCTGCAAAACCATGGGATCCCCCCAAATTGGACGCTTTGCGCTTTTGTGAGAGCCTGGTTGAAATGCACAACCAATAACAGCAGCTTACGCTCTGGTGTTGCAGCAGGCTCTACAGTCTAAGCCACAAGATTGGCAACACACGTGAGACTAAATGAAGCAAAGTGTAAAAAAGGCACTCTAAACTGACGTGAAATCTGATATCCTTGGGGTCGTGTTTGTTTTGCTGTGATGCGCGAACAATGTGGGAATATTTGTGCATACATTCTATCATTTTCAAAGAGAAATGATCTCGAGACTTATTGTCAAGTGGCAACAAAGCTTCGCAATGGCTGACCTGTCATAAACTGTAGCCATTTACTCACATCAGGTAACCCACTGCTGCCCACTGCCGCCACTGCGATGTTGTGGAAGTAGCTGCTTTTACTAACCTGACTTTCGTCATTAAGATTATAACGGGTGCAGCGGCTCAAGCATCAATTTATAGTTAGATATCTGGCAAAGCCATGCCACAAAAACCTCGATTGAATGATGGAACGCTTTCCCCTCGAAATGCCAGGGCGGATTTAGACAGATTTCTGGTAACACTGAAAGTGCGAGATACTCTGTCATATTTCCGAAACCACCTCCCAAGGCCCAAGAATATCTCAAAAACGCCTTAAAAAGTGCCTGTCAGAGCCCACACCTTGGAGTGGAGAAAAGGGCTGCAATGGCCCGACACCGAAGCTAACTATGGTTACACGGCGTGTTGGAATCGACCACGCCACACACATTGGTTGGCAAGTCCGGGGCACAATACTGGCGATGGCCTGACACAGTTCACGCCTTGCACTAACCATTTTCAGGCGTTCCAAGCTCAATTAGTTAATACTTTATCAATCCAGGCATGGCGCAGCATCTGACAGCTAGCCAAAGATGAGTGACTACTACCCATTGTTAGCTTATCCACCCATCTTAATTAGATTTTTCCTACAAGTAAGGAAGTCTTGAACTCCACTATACTGAGTGCAATTGTTTGCTGGCTTCTTCTAGAATACTTGGGGCCGCCGTGAAGCCTTATGTGAGCACTCCTTGGGGCTGGAGCATGCGTGCTGACGTAGTACGTATATATGTAGTGACTAGTCGGTGTCAAAGTCTCGCAAATGCGCAAATTGGCTTGCACCGCATTCTTAGCGTGCTTTAAGGCTCCCCAAATTTCTCATTCAAAATTCACAATCATCGCCGGATTGCCTGACTGGTTGCCTGACCGGTTGCCTCGTTGAAATGTTGGCAGCAGCCTCACTGAGTAGAACCTGATACCGAAGGTATCGCGATACCTCGAAGCCAAATTCCCCAGCTACCTAAATGACTCGCTGGCAGCACCGATTTGTTTACCCAAAGCCATGGCCTGCTAGAGTCTCAATGGCACCAAAGGGTATCTCTTGTCGGTCAAATCCGATGAAGAATCATCGTATGAATGGAGTCAAGGCACTGAACAGCACGTGCGGATCACCGCGGTCTCCTCGGGCTCTTCGCCCAAAAGATACTTCTCACTTGGAGAGAGATGTAGCCTCAGATTTGAAAGCCGAGAGTGCCGTAATGTCGAGAGGACACAGTCTGCCGACGGCGGATATTTTGGCTAGCAGACGGTTGCAGCATCGGCTACCAATACAACGATCAAGATCGGGGGACGAGCTAAAGCCCAACTCAATGAGAGACAGCAAATATCCTCCATCTGCCTCTCCCGATTCCACGTCTCTGGTTTCGCCCATGGCTGAGGAAGACCTGGCCCCGAATCTTTACACACCAACGCTTCACCTCGCCGACAACACAACTCTCTGGCCAATCGATTTCTGCCCCAATACAGAGAGTCCGCTCAACGGTGACAATGCGAATAGTAGGTGTTGTGTCGTACCTATTCAAGTGATCATTGCTTACGAGCTTCTTTAGGCGACCTAGAAGGTATCTTTTCCTTCGAAAATACAGTGGGTGACGTAGACACTCAGCAAAGTTGGGACATGACTCCTTTAGAGGGGATGACGCCGCAGAGTACTCTATCTAGAACCACCATTAAGACATCTCCTTCGCTGGATTGTGCGCAGGAACTTCAACTGGCATGTTCCACTGACTTTCTTGGTCTTGAGAAGCCAAAAAGTCAGGATGGTCATCCGATGGCAAGACATAATGATTTTGCGTTTCCGAATTCTGGTACTTTTCAGGGGATGGTATTGGGGAACTCAGCGGTATCCAGCCCCGGCTTTGAAGGCAACAGGAGTAAGATTTCAAATTGCGTGGATTTTACTGGGAATGGGAAGGCGTCCTCAAGTTACAAACGCAACTCGGAAAGGTTGGTGTCAGTTGATCAAGCACCAACGAAACGCCAACGAATCACTTTACCGCCGTCTGACCCTTTTTTTCTCATGAATGAGAGCTCCGACGACGACGACGCCACCGTGAAAGGCAAGGCTCGTTACTTCGCTTGTCCCTTCTACAGAAACAATGCCGTACGCCATTCGGCCTGCTTAAGTCTCAGAATGGTTCGGATCCGAGATGTGAAGCAACACCTCCAGAGGCGACACTCGGAGCCTCGCTACTACTGCTCGACTTGCTACAAGAGGTTTGAAACAGAACTGGAGCAGTCTCAACACGTGCAGAGTCAGTCTGCTGTACTGTGCTCCTCGACCGACGAAGAATTCGACTTCGTTCCACCACACGCAAAAGACCTTCTCAAATCCAAGGTTAGCAGGAAGGATACAGCGGAGGAGCAATGGTACACTGTCTGGGACAAGATATTTGAGCCAAAGCCAAGACCTTACCACCCGTACATGGGAACAGTCATAGAAGAAGTCAGCTCTATGCTACAAAAGTTTTGGCAGCACGAAGGAGACCAGATTGTTTCGAGGTTTATGGAAACCCGACAAGTTCAAATGGAGAAAGAAATTAATCTCAAGGATACTCTGAAATACCTGATGGAAGAATCTCATCACATCTTTGGAAGGAAGTTCCGATTTTCACAGGCTGTGGAGAGATCCATTCAGTCTTCAAGCAATGAAGAGCTTTGTGGCCCTAGATATCAAGCTTCGGGGTCCTCACGTGGCGAAGATACGCCAGCTTTATGCACCATGATGACTGGTCTAGACCAGGAGAGCTTCGAATCTCTTTCTCATGATCTGACCTCTCAACATTTTGGAGAGGACGAGGAGGACAACAGAATCTGGAGTGGGATTTACGCAGGAATTAACGCAAAGATTCCTTCTGCTCCTGAAGATATTGACTTTGCAGGCATTGGAACCGGCACAGAGGAATTCAACATCGATTTCACAACATCATTTGGATGTGAATTTGTTGGCTAGGGGGGAAAAGAGGCTTCATGACTCGCGAGAACTTCGTTGCGACTTATTTTGAAGAAGTGTATTCCACTGGGCTCTGAGCATCTTATGAAACTACAAAGAAATGATGTCACTTATGTGTTCAAGAGAGCCTCGGAAAGCACGCTGTACATCTGATTATTTGGCATAAGTCTCAGGGCTTCCGTCATTCTTTTTGTTCTTTATCTCTTACTCGTTAGAGGATGGATATCTTCGATCTGTTTCTTTTCATTTCTATCAAACTCATTATCTCGAATCAAGCACACACTCTTTGCGACGCTCCTAATATAATCATGACGTGGTTTTGGACAGTTCGAATAGATGAATGGCGCTCAATATCACAATGTTGCTTCCAAGTGATGGAATGAAGTGCCATGGTTCAATGATCATCAGTGTCACAAACTCCCGATGAGGGCCGATCTATGTTGAGAGAACAAGTAAGGTTATCAGCTGGCGAGATTGGAAACATGAACAAGACTACGAATGAGTAGTCGATCAACTTTTAGAGATGATTTATAAACTACATCTAGTAACTTCCTTACAGTGTAATTGTCAATGCTTAGATTCAAGTAGAGAACACATAAGTCTATAAGCCTATTTTGAATTTTCTTTTCAAGACTCCTAAATACTTAGCGTTGTACACTGTTCTTATACACCTCATAATATATATAATCGACCAGTGGCTAGGATAGTTAGAACATTTTATAGTTATGATGCCTAATAGATAATAAGAGAGTAGCTTGGTTTAACTTAAATTTCCGGTGCACCGCCACCTGCGAGGGGCCGGGGGGGGGGCCAGGGGCATTGTGAGGTGGTTAATTAATAACTGGAAGTTGGTGGGCAAGTTGTGATGGCATCTTTTTGGCCTGGCGAAAAGGGAGGGGGGAGTGGGTTCCCTGACTTACCACGCAGACATTGCGTAACTGCCAAGATTCCATCCATCGTCTTACGGGGACAAGGCAGATTCATGTCTTCAACCGGCTCTATTCGAAATGATGCTGGTGTTTAGCTTTGCCTTGAGAGAGTGGTTAAGTTGAGCAGCGGCATTTCCGCCTTAATACTACGTAACCTTCGGCCAAAAGCTCAAACAAGGTTGCCGCTATTAAGAAAGGCAAAAGACGTCGTCGATAGATTGGATAGCCGCTCTATTTTATCCTCACCCCAAGACCAGTGACCGCAGCGTGGCTCTTTGGCCGAGCATACACGGAGCCGTTCGGCTCATTTCGAGCAGAGGATGTCACAAAGCTCCATAGTCCGGTAACTGAGATTTAAGTATCTTCTGATGCAGATGTTCTAGGTGGCGGTAACGACATTTTGGCTCTTGAATCACCTCGTGAGAATGCGCGCGAGGGCGCAGGACGCAGTTGATTACAGCGAGCAGTGCGATTGTCCTAGCAACGAAAACGACTGGTCGGTCGTCCAGGTCGCCGCAGCGGTGCTCTTTGCAAGCCCGTTGTTCATGTTCATAGAGACCCTTGTCACTTTCAGTGAGTTGGCTCTTCTCGAGCGATGTCAGAAAGCTATCCACCAAGTCATAACCAGACCCGAAGAGACATGGCACGTCAAGATTGAACTACCCACCAGAGGCCAATGAGCTGACCGTCACACGAGCTCCCAAGATCGGAGAATCCCATTAGAGACCACTCGGCTGTTGGAACCAACATCACATTGGGAATCGCAGTCGTTTCGACCCACCATTTTCGCTATACCCGGTTTCAATGTCACATCGGTAGCATTCAAGTTCGTCTGTGATTCTGGTGCTCTTGTTTGGGCTGGAAATAAAGGCGAAAGATAGCAGAAAATATAGATGGATCCAGTATTCAACATCTAGATCAATTGTGCTTGCTGATTTAGGATACATTGTATGGGATACTTCCAGCAGTGCAACGTCTTCCGAAAACTGTGTCTGAGATGAGAACACTAGTATTTCCGCCCTGATTCTTATTATTCTTGCGACAGAGTACGGCTTTCGCGGTCTTACTTATGTCACAAGCCGTATCATAACCTATCAATTATCACGCCGAGATAGTTCTGTTATCCCAACTGCCTTACCTTAAGTACATGTAGATAGCAAACTTATATTCACTCAAGATTAGAGAAAAAACAAACCAACCCATAACATTGCCTCGTTCGTCGTAGTAGTTTACCTTCTCGAACCAAGATCATCCTCACTCTCGTGGAACATACTCTTCCTCAATGTTGCCGTACCGGCTGGGCTAACAGGCAACATCCTCGCACTGATGTAATCCTCCCCGTCCGAAGCTCCAGTCGGCGGGCTCAGCGGACTCGGGTGTCCGGGCGTTGGAGTCTCCGGCACCGTGTCCGGAACCCCACGGGGCTGCTCCCGGGTAGTTGGACCATCCTGGTCGCCGCCCGATGAAGCAGAACTGACAGTCACCTCGCTGATGTGTCTCAGGTGCCGCGCCTCTTGATCGCTAAGACCAGAGACGTCGGATCCGACACGTCGGGTAGAAGCAGCGGGTGCAGCGTTGCTGATGGGTGGGGACGGCGGACCTGGGTCGGGCGATTGTGCGCGGGTTTGGTACCCGAGCACGCCCGAGGACCGAGAAAGGGACGACGCATTCTCGTTGGAGGAAACGGAAGCATAGTAGGATGATTGGTGTGTTGTTGCGGGGTTGGAGGTGCCACCGTTGCCGAAGTGCGTGTGCTTATTGATGATCTCAATGGGGGTCAGGCCTACGCCGTGAAGTTCTGGCGGCCGCGAAGTATCTGTTCATGATAAGAACTTGGTCAAGTCGAGATATCAAGGGAGTCTTACCTGGCATCTCTGCGATCTGGTTGTCGGCCATCTCGTGATGCACCTGTTGGAGAACAGGCGATGCCGCAGGGGGAGGGGGCGGCGTGCGGACCTCGGCCATATCTTGTGAAGATGCTTCCTCAGTCGTGACAGTAAGCGCCTTGGCCGGTACGCTTGACTGACCCTTGATCCAAGAAATGATTCTAGATCCGTTATCGTCCGTCTGTGTTGCTGTTCCATTGCCGCGTCTGAGTATTCTGCGACGATGCCACAGGCAGAAGCCGACGAGGATGGCAGTGAGAAAGACAAGTCCGAGGACGACGCCGAGAACAGGAGCGAGCCATTTTGGGGTTCCTCCACCGCCATCACCGCCTTCATTGTCTCCGCCGCCTGTGACAGTTGGCCGTCCGGGATCTTTCGCTTCAGTGTACGGATACCATATATTGATCTTCGAGGTGACATATGGTGTTGCGAATATGGATGCTAGCCCCTGGTCAGACCAGCCGGACGGCTCTGGAGTTGTCTTCGTCGCCGAACCCGTCCCGTCACCACCAATTTTGCTACGGACTGCTGTGGGTATGGTGTAATTCGACCATTTCGTTGGGCTGTACCCATCGAGCCATTCTGCACTCGAAAGATTAAAGACCTGCATGATACCTCCGTCCAGGCATGGCGGGAAGCCTTTTCCAGGCATCGCCGTATAGCCGCCAATGACCATCATTTGATCGGGGTACGGCATTACGCATTGATGACCAGCACGAGCGTGGAGAGCAGCCCCCTCGTAAACCTTTGTCCACTGGAACGAAGGAATTGAGAGAACCCAGACGTCGTCGCTGAAGTCTTCTTTGGCGTGGATTCCATCGTAGCCGCCGTAGTAGTAAATATTGAAGCTGGAGTAATCCTGAGCTGGCGCAAGGACAGCGCAGCCTCGAGTAAGAGCAGGAGGTTTCGTTCCGTCAACCTTCTGTTGGTACCACTTATCGCCGGCTACATCGTAAATGTCAATGGTCTCCATGAAAGCAGGACTTTCGCTTGCCTGTGAACAATATTAGATGGGTAGAATATAAATGACAACTGAGGAACTCACACTCTTCACAGCGTCATCAGATTTGTGACTGGAATTGACGTATTCGGGATAGGTTACCCCGCCGAGGACGACGAGAATGCCTTCAGCCCCAACGGGAACCCAGACAACCTCAGGATTTGCCCTGGCCTTGATACTGCTTGGCAATGTCTGATTGGAAAACTTCTCGTACATTTGGGTAGACATGTCGAGAGTAATGAGGGTATTGGAGGCATTGACAGCGTTTAGAGAACGGTTCGTCGTGCCCGAATACATGTCATTCCAAAGAGGCGATCGCATTCCACCGACATACCAGGCCTTGTTTTCGGAGGGAGCACTGGCAGCCCCTCCATGGGCAACATACCTAGTCACGCCGTTGTCTAATGTTCTCTGATCACTTCCATTGTTGAAGGCGGCCTTCTCTGCGCCATACTCGTAGATGCGCCATGCTAGTGCCTTGTCGCCGGGCGGAGGGTCGTATGCGTCCGTCAGTCTGGAGAAAACACCTCCGTACAAGAAGAACTCCGCATCGTTGTAAAGCAGAGCGCCATCGATGGTATTTGGCGCGAAGCTATTGGCGTTGCCACTTCCTCCTGGGGCCTTTGAGTAAGTTTTGATGAGGGAAGTGATGTTTGTGTTTTTGTCAAAAGGCTGGCTGAAGTTTAGCGTGTACATGAGACCAAGAGGGTTGTCTATAGATATTAGAAACCGGTCGAAAGCGATGCGAAGCTGGACTTACCCAGGGTTGATGGGTTCCCAATCGACCCATCCCGGTACGTAGCGGTCCAATACAGACTTCCGCCGTCTAGCCATAGTGTATCGCGAATAACGGCAGCTTCGAACTTGTCAAATATTGCTATCTTGGGGCGATTTGATACTGCAAACCTCTTGGTGCGTACCAGTAACACATGGACGAGCTCACTTGACCCTTCTCAAGATCCCATCCATCATACTGGGCAGTCACGAGGCCCGCGACGGCCACCAACATGGCGGGAATCACACGAACCATTTTTTGATGGCTTTGTGACTTTGCTGATTGGAAAACGCGTGAAAAAGAAATTCAGGCCGCCCGTTGCTGTCTCAGCACATTGCGGCTTGTTGCGGTGCTTCTTTAGGGAACCACGTTGCGTTATCAGGAGCGGTGGCAACTCTTCTCAAGAGTAGTGGAGGTCAAGTGTCAATAAGACCGACTAGTTTGCGGCGGGAATGACTAGTAAAGAGAAGGACACTTGATTTGGAGAGGGGGCTAACTGTGTTAATCTGTGCCTATGACTAAGGGAGGATGCCAATGGAACAGCTCGGCTGATCTCTTTGTTCGAGAGGAAGATGTCAAATGGTTGAGGCGGATAATGGGAGAGCACACACCCACATCGATCGACCCCGCAGCGTCGCCCTTCTCGGTGTACTCAAACAGAAGGACCGGCACAGTGGCAACGAGAACCAGATGGGATAGTACCAACAAGTCTGCAGGAAAACTGATAAAGATAGTTGCCACTGGAGGATCTAGCCCTAGGTCTCATTAGAGCTATGTAAGGCTGGTCCGCTGGACCAATGTAACTGGAGGCATGCGTGAAGATGGAGGGTAGGAGAAGAAGAGATGGGTGTATGCAACTCTTCGGGCACTGCTCTGGTGTCTGGGCCGGGCTCGTCGGTCCTTTGGAGGGTCACTCGCACAGATGGGAGGGAAGTTCGTACCGGGTCAGATGAGGGTGGGAGAAATACAGTGAAACGGTTGGTGCGCAGACAGCGGCGACGGTTGTCATCGTCTACCGCGGAAAGTGTTCCAGGTGACTGAAAACCGCTCAGCCTCATCATCCCCTCGGAGCATCGTCGCGATCCATCGCTGTATTCGGCTCGGAATATATGCCAACGGACCATACGAGGAAACAAGAAAACAGGAGAGGATATAGGTCTCACCAGCGCAGCCTCTGATTTTTGGAGACGCTGTTCCGGAAGCCTAAACCTCGTATAAATGTTTGAGACGAGACAAACTGCGCAACCATAAGAGAAAAAGGTGTGTTGCAAGCAGGCTGCGACTTGGCACATAGCACCAGTGCCTTATTCCCGTGCAGGACCGTCAAGTTAGCAAGCAAGACGGTACTCTTGGCGTACGGTCCACATGCTGTCTAGCCACACAAGTCTCGCATGCCTAGGCTCGGACAACGAGAGCAGGCCAGACAATTTATTGCGAGCCCGACGGGACAACGAAGACACGCTGCAAAGAGACGATGCTGGCTTCGAAATTCTCCCTGCGGTTTCCAGCAATAGTCGTTCCAAAATTCGCGAGACTTTCTTGTAAGCGAAAGCCAGTGTCTTTACTCGCAGTGGTAGTAAGGCCGAGGCGGCAAGGTGACCCGTTGATATCCCGGATAAACTTGCGGTTCCAGCGGGACACCACGTCGAAAGGAATGATTCAAGACGGCGAACTAGGTAAGTATTGCAAGCGGGAGAAAATTCTAAAAGCATGTTGGCTGCAATAAAGTGTTGCCTGTGCCTCTGATCGCAGCGGTCCCGGCATCAGCTTGCATAGGAAATGGTGTGGTGGCAGTGGTTGTTGCAGGGGTTGAGCATCTGCAAGTCAGTCAATAGACGGGTCGCCAAGTTGAACTTGCAGGGTGTGGATGGGACCAGCCCAGTTGAAGCTGCGGGAGCGGGCTAGAATCGGGGACATGGGCGTTCGGATGAGCTGCTTCGTCGAGTCTCCAGCCTTTCAGACCAGGAACGGATAAAGAAGACGGTCCATTGAACGGAGGGGAAGATGATGGTGTCAGGCTGTCAGCCGTGTGGGATTGACCAAGTCAGACGCATCCTTGTAATATCGACTGTCGGTGAGAAGGATGGTGTCTGAGGGCGAACAATGACCTATTGTCAGATGGTGCGTTGAATCCGGGTGAGGCTCATTGTGGGCTGCAACGGGACGAACTAGTGAGGAACGAGATGGTTTTGGGTGGGAACATCCAATTGTTGTTGGTGGACAGGGAGGTTAAGAGAGAGGAAAACAAAATAAAGTGCCAAACGGCATCCAAGAAAGGTGGAAATACCGCTAAGCCAAGGTAGTCTAGCGCTGATGAGGTTATGTCGCACTGGACCAATCACAGCTTCTAATTTAGGAAGGCTGGAAGTGTGGAAAAGCACGGACGGAAACGACCCACTGTTGCCCATTTACCCCTCTTTCCCTCTCCAAGATTAGATCAGCAGACTATACCGAAAGAGGAATGGTTTTCGAAAACAGTTCCTCCCATCATCCCATGAGGTATCCGTAAGGTAAGCACGCACGGCACGGTAAGGTAGGTAGGGCGGCACGGCGGCCACGTTTCCCCTGTTCCTGAGCTAACCTCCTTCCACCTTAGTCCATCTCTATTGTCACTCTCTCAGTCTCTCATTCACTCACTCGTCTCCGGGCTTGTTCCTGGTCATCTCATCCTTCTGTGCTGACACCTCTGGACCTCCCCTCATCCTCACTTATATTTCCTCATCAGGCTGCAATGCTCCTCGGCCCAGCCGGTCAGATGACTGCTTGTACCTCTACGCTACACAAGGATTGCACAATCCGGGCGGTGGCGAGCAGAAACATTCCCTCTTCAGCGCAAGCAATCAGGATGCGCAAAGCTCGACGGACGTGCCGTGACCAAAGACCCGACCAAGGATCATGTCCCTGCTAGAATCAATTCCATATCCTTCAATGGCACTTTGATATCTCGCCATGGACGAGTACTACTCTTGCTGACAGGCTCTCGGTACCGACGCTCTGCTCGTCGGCAGTACGACCGGCCGGAGAGACGGGAGCTTTTGAAGAGACGAATGGAAACAATTCCTCAAGGAAAACAAGCATCCCATACTCCTGAGCTGACATCGGTCTGGTTGTACTTTCAAAATGGTAATGGTACTGTGAAAACCGCCCTCACAGCGATGATCAGACGGCTCTAGACACACAAAGTCCAGACGAGATCGTCATCCATTGGCACTCTTGAATCGTGCTGCAAGGTTCGCAGGTGGCATCTGCTGTGCTACCCGGGTTCCTCTTTGGTCTCAGCCGGAGCAATCGACCAGGCAATCACTTTCCCAGTAACAAGATGGCAAGATTGTCGGCCTGTTACCAGCGATCGAGTGTCCGCAAGGGGCAGGCGGAATTCGCTTCCCAGCCTTTCTCAGTCGCACATTGAGCAGGTTTCCGGTTTGTGTTTATGCCTTTTGCCACAGGCTGTCACTCGACCAACTGGCTTTCTGTTGTACCTGGCCATCCGAAAGCAATATCGTATGCATATCCAAGTCGATGATCTTCAATCTTCTTCCCCATGCCGGACCTCGACAGTTGCAGGCGCTTCGCATCTCGCATGCCTGCCACCCTCCCGCTTCCCGGCAATGCCCAGGCTCTACAATTACGGAAATCTATTGTTTACGTTACTTTACTTATCGTACCTTATCCACTACGTTGTGATGCTCAAGACCTGGGCCCATCCGACGAGGCAATATTGCACACAGCCTCGACCCCCGGCATGCAGCTCGATGGTCCAGTCTTCCGCAAGAGAAGCAAAGACCAACCACTCAGGGCCTCCACCCAAGCAAAAGTTCCTTGTATTTGCAGGCGTCTCCTCGGTCTTGGCCCTTGCCAATGCCACCCGTCCCTTCCCAACTCAAGGACGACGACAACGGCCGGCCGATGCCGCCCCACCGCCGCCCGACCTCACCACATGTGGGGACGAAGCCCGGCCAAGTGCGCGTAACTTGATCTGGTCCATCACTCTTACCCTAGGTACTCTTCGAGTGAGATTTCCGTAGTCTTTGACTTTTCTCAGCCAAGGACGATCATGCCATGTTTCTCACACATGGCATCCGGTGATGCAGCTGTGATCATGTTGCAATGGATTCGCATCACGTATCAACTACTTGGCTGCCAGGCATTTGATATTTTCTCCGCGCCGCATGCTCAAAAGCTCTCGGGACAAGTACCCAAGGAGCCCAGTATCACATCTCGACCCCGCTCAGTGTCCCTCTTCTTGGAGCCGGGCCCTTTTGCCGTTGTTATAGCTACCTTTTTGACCGTCAAGTTGGCTTTCGCCTGCCTTTCGAGGAAGCAGCTTGCCAACCACGGTCGATATCCCTACAGCCATCTCTGCAGGTCGGACTAGGGTACTAGTGGGCCACCACACCCCTCCTCTAGTGTCCGCATCCATCGGCTCTCGCCTTTTGTGCTCCATTGCCCTCGTTCCGATCTTGCATTTGCCAATGGCAATCAAGCGAAGCCTCATGGCAGAGAATGTCGTCTCCATTTGCTCCGACTGCCGTCCAAGGCACGCCCCTCCAGTGTGTGGCACATCACCACACGAGGGGCGAGAGACCCAGGGCTTAGCTCCCCATGTCGCCGGGTTCCTTCGTCACTCTGTTGCCCGGCTTCTCCATTGTTCTGTTTACTTGGCCAACACCCTACCTCCTCATCTTGGGGTTGAGCTGGCAAGATGTCGAGCGTATAGATCACCCACCTTTGTCAACACCATCTCGGACGGAGGTCCCGCGGAACGGGCCCTGTGCTACGTAGCTTACGAGGTACGGGCTGCTCTCTCAAGCTAGAGCTTGCGGGGACCCTCATCCTGCTGTTGAAGGGAGTCCTCCTCGTCCTGATCCTGAGCTCAGGTAATGGTGCCTTGCTAACTCGGCTCTCAGCCTGCCGTCGCCCATTGTCCATACATATGAGCCCCCAGATACCATTCTCGGCTTCTTTGAGCCTGTTCTGCCCCCAATCCCCGACTGGCACTCGTTCATGTGTGTGTTCAGCTTCGACCTGCGGCTCTCCCACACTCCTTAGTCTATTGTCGCAACACGGCCAGCTTGCATGCTGCATTGATACTGGGCACTTGGGATACCATCGTCCCTCGTTCGTCAGAAGCTCACGACAATGCGTTGGACATCGCTCCTGGCCTTTGGGGCCTTGGCCGTCAGTGTCACAGCACAAGACGGCGGGCCAGTGCTTGCGAGACAGAATGATTCATATTCTGAACCGACTGGCGCATACTCGGTTGCCCCTTTGCCGGAAGCCTCGTCTTCGGCTTCAATTGAGCCTTCACCCTCACCGTCTCCCTCGCCTGAACCTCAGTCCTCATCAGAACCAGCGGCGTCGCCCTCGGCCACGGCTACCAAGGAGCCCGCCACAGAACCAGATTCCTCCGTCGCGGCCGCCGTTCCCACAACCACCAGCACCGAGAAGAAGACGCCAGACTACGGCACCGATACCGACGACTGCGCGCATTGGGCGTCGAAGTGCCCCTGGGGAAAGACCGTCACCGTCACAGAGAAGCAAGTCGAGACTGTCACCATCGAAAAGCCTGTTGTTTCCACGTGAGCCACCTTTCTCGGAAGAATTCTTGGAATAATTCTTCGAGAGCCCAACTGACTTCAGGCAGTCTAACGGTCGTCTCCAAAGAGACCGTATACACCACGCAAGCGTACACGACAACGGATTACGAGACAACCACAATTGTGAAGGTCACCACGTACCCCGTGACTACCACCTTAGCTCTGTAAGTCAACTCAACTCGTATGCTATGGACGAATCAGAGATGTCAATATTCCAATCGTTTCCACCATATCAAGCCATGTTTGGCTCCATCTGTCTACCTACAGCCTCGTCAGTCCTTCCAAGGTCCTTGCCACTTTCTCTGTCCTGCAAGGACGCTCGGATGAAGAGGCGGGGAGAGGAAGAAGTGACAAAGATGAGACATGAATGGCAAACGGAACCCATATCCATGGCTTGTGATCTCGCATGCTCGCCCCTTTTATATCCTTCTGTTCCATACAGCATATTCTGCAGCGGATTCCAGGACAAACCAAACTAACTCGTCTTAGCTGCGATCCCGTAGTCGAGCCTGGCACAACCTCCTCCGCCGCCGTGCCCACCTACGGGGGCGGCTATGGCAAAAAGCGGACTCCCCAGCAAATCTGTCGGACGACAACAACGACTGTTTGGAAAACTTCCACTACCAAGGTCACCGAGATCGTCCCAGTACCGACCACAATTGTCCAGACCCAAAAGCAGACGATCCAGCTTCCCCCCTCCATCGAGACGCAACAGGTCACTCAGACGCAAGAGGTCACTCAGACGCAAGAGGTCACCCAGACGCGAGAGGTCACTGCTACCAGAATTCATACTTCTGTCTCGACCTTTATCTCTACTGTCGTCTCTACCGCCATCGTTCCGACGACTGTCGTCTCCAGTAAGACGCTTTACGTCACCACTACGTATTCGACGGTGGAAACGTACACGAAGGAGTACTATTTCACGAGCACGGTCATAGAGACGCAGAAACAACCAACAACGATATTCGAGACGAGGGAGCGAACCGCAGTGGTGACCCAGGAGCCAGAGACTCGAACGGCCATCCGAACTTCGGTCATCTACAAGCCCACAACGGTCGTTTCGACCTTCGTTTTCACCACCAGTATCCCATACACCATCAGCTTAGATCATACAACCACGACAACGGCCTATTCAGTCTCTACATATAGTAGCTTCGTCACTTACATAACCTATGTCAGCTCGCCTCCAGAAGTGTCCTACATTACTAGGACCGCGCCTCCAGAAACCCGAACGGCCATCCAAACTTCGATCATCTACAAGCCCACAACGGTCGTTTCGACCTTCGTTTTCACCACCAGTATCCCATACACTATCAGCTTGGATCATACAACCACGACAACGGCCTATTCAGTCTCTACGTACAGTAGCTTCATCACTTATACGACCTATGTTAGCTCGCCTCCAGAAGTGTCCTACATTACTAGGACTGCGCCTCCAGAGACCGTCACTCTCCCCCCCGTCACTCTTCCCCCCGAAACTTTACCCCCCGTAACCTTGCCGGCCGAGACTTCTGTCACTACTGTATTCGTTCAAACCACCCTTTATGAGACCCTCGTCCTGACGACAAGCTATCCAGTGACCATCACGAACGATAGGACCTTTTACTCCACAATCGTTGAGTCATCTGTACGAACTATCGTCTCTGAGGTCCCCGTCACCTCCTACGTCACTCTTCCTCCCCAGACTTTACCCCCCATAACCTTGCCGACCGAGACTACTGTCACGACCGTACTTGTTCAAACTACCCTCTATGAGACCCTCGTCTTATCAACCAGCTATCCAGTAACCGTTACAAACGATAGGACGTTTTTCACCACAATCGTCGAATCGTCCGTGCGGACTATCATCTCCGAAGTCCCAGTCGTGTCCTACGTCACTCGAATGGCGACCCCCCCTCCCTCAGTCATTACCCTCCCGGGCTCGACGATCTACTCAACAATCGCGGGCGAAATAGTTACTCTCGACGTTCCCGGACCCACGTTGACTTTGGTCACCACTCAAGTAGACGTCCTGACGCTACCTGCCGCTACGAGGACTCTCCCTGCTTCCACAATTGTAACCACAATTGTCGAGACTGCCCCGGCATCGACCTTGATCGTCAGCCAAGGCGGCTCGGTAGTGACCAGCATAATTCCAGAGTCAACATCTTTCGTCGTCTCGACCTTGACATTGCCGCCCGTCACCGTTACCTTGCCTCCTGAGTCGGTCACAGAGATAACAGCTTGCCCTGCCCCATCAAACACTCCTGGAGTGAACCCCGTGGTTGAGTACGATCCAAAGTCAAATCTGACATGGGGCTGCCAACCTGGAACTGTCTGTAACCCTCCTAAGCCCGCCGGCTGCAACCTGTGGGCCGACCCACCAGCAGATGATTACGTCTGCAACCCGCAGGATTGTATTCCGGCACCACAATTAACTCTGGCGAAGTGGAAGGAGAATGAGACAAGCTACTACCCAGTGAACGAGGGCTATTTCAACCTCAATCCCAATGCCTTTGGTCTCCCCTTTGACATCTTTGAGTACGAAGTCATCGTTTCCAAGGTGAGGGGTAAAAAGGGATACAAGAAAACGACCATTACGACTGGCAACTGGGCTTCAGCAACGGATCTCACTCACTTTCCCCCAACTGCTCAACCCACAATCGCAGCTTCGCCCGCCCCGATCTTCTCCGCCGAGATTGATAAGCAGGCCTATAAGCATAAAAAGGAGAGCAAGACCTACGAGCGTCGTGCTCTCTTCAACAAACGAGACATGACGATCGCTCCAACCGTTTGCTTCGACAATTGTGAAAACGTTTATCTCGAGGTAGCGAATGTCGGCAAGATCTCTCAGATTTGCGAACCAGGCTCGGCCTTCCAGAGCAATCTGGATGCTTGCAGGCAATGCGTGATAGATAACGCCGATGATGGGAAGGAGACACTGCGCGTCTATATCGAGCCGCAATTCCAGCAGTACCTGGTCTTCTGCGATGGCGAGGCGCCGCAGACTCCTTCTTCCGCGTCTGTGCTGCCACCTCAGACTCAAGCAAGCGGCACAGGTGCAGTCACAACAGCCAGCCAAGGCGCCGGATCTAGTGGCACTTCGGCTGTTCCAATTCCAGAGCCAATCACAACTGACACTGCCGAGGTGTCTACGGCCGAGACCTCTTCTCCAACTCTCACGCCGTCCCCGAGCACGAGCGTGGCGGCATCTGGAGCCAGCTCGACCGATTCAACCGCCGCTACAACTCCTACGGCGAGTGGAAGCGTCTCCTCCAGCGCTCCAAGTGCTTCGAGTGCTCCAGCAATCGAATCATCACCCTCCACGGCAGCCTCAGCACCATCCGGGACAGCGACAAGCGGTGCCGATTCGAGTCCATCCGCTTCAAGCCCTTCAGAGTCCGGTTCTGCGGGCCCAATCACCACCACCGGATCGGTACCCACAGCAACTGACGGAGCTTCAGGCCCAACGTCTGAAGTCTTGTCACCATCCTCGACCACGTCCTCTCCAGGCACCGGTACGACGGGTCCCGTGGCTGTCCCCACAGCCGCAGCAGCGAAGCTTGCCACCTCGACCATCCTCGCCATCCTCGCACCGCTTATGGTTCTTTTACTTGTCTAATTCCCATTCGATCTTTATGAACATTACTTTAAATTATTGTTTGTGGGTTTATACAATTGGCTGGAAAAGTTCATCATTTTGATTCTCTACATTCCTTCCAGAGTCTCCTGGGCCATCATTATCGGCGTTTTATGAGAAAAGATTTACGATTCGACCTTTCCACAGCGATTTCACGACACTCCTTAAGACTAATGAGTAATTGGCATCATTTGGCGGACATTTTGAATATTTTTGGGCAATTTTTGCATATTTAATGGAGGAAGTTTTTGGTTATGATACCCTTCCGCTCCTTTATGACGCAGCTTTGAAGGCTATGAGCCATTACCCAGGTACGATAAGAAGCTCGGCGCGGCTCTATGCGACTGGGAAGATGATGGAGGTGGTTATTGCAGTTGATAGAATTTTTGGGCTGGGGGTGAAAGTAATGGGCTGGGCCAGGGAGGTGAGATGGCCTCCTCCGTACCCGGATTGTGTTTGAGATATCCCTTACAATAGTTTGTGTTTTTGGTTCCACAGAGTTCGAAACAGTTCGTAACGAATCCTATCTTCTGTGAGACACGAGTAAGAAGGCCATGTGTCCCAACCTTGGAATTGCTGGTCGTGTTCATGCCTTGCTTGGATGCGACCAACCGCATCCATCGCCTGGCTCCCACGTGGATCTGATCCGCATCTCAGCTTTGAACACATTTGGGTCATCATCAGACGACACCGTGTATTCATCCTCCAAAGCCAGCTTCCGAGTTTAGGCAGCAGCTATCCGATCTATATATTTATGCAGATATATAGAGCGCTCGCCGCCCCAGACTTCTAGCAATCAGGCCCACGACGGATGGATAATTCATTCACAACACCTCCAGATATCGCCGGAGCGGTCAACTACATCATGAAAATACCAACCACAGCATCCCTCTTCCTCGTCTTTGCACTCCTCTTCCAAGGTCTCGCCACAGCCTGGGAGCTCCCGTCTTTCCAAGTCCCTCTCATATCCTCTTGGCTAGGCAGCAGTAATGTAGCCCCTCGCGTCCCGCAATTTGTTCTCGACACGGGTCATCCGTGGCTCATGAGCCACGCCCGCGAACTCTCCAATCTCCCAGACCCGGCATCATTCATTTGCACCTCCGCCGTCGGCGATGGTCTTCCTCGAGATGGCGATTTTGATCAGGGCGAGAGCGCAAACCTGCGCAACGGCCTCGAGATACCAGCGGATCTTTTCCACCGCCTTGAAATCAACAACAATCGCGCCGGCGTTAACCGATATGGCTGGAAGAATGCTCATGATAGACTCAATGAAATGAGGGCATGCCCAAGAGCGCTTCAAGAAGCTCGCCATTTGACCGTTGATGTATGGGTTTATACCGGAGCGGGGTGGGAGACCCTAGATCATATTTGGGACACGCTCACCGCGGAATCGACGCTTCCCCCAAAGCCTGTACCGATGCTGTTTTCCGAGGTGATGGGGAAGATGGAGAACTTGAGTACGATTGAATGGATGATTCGGGGAGCCGGCGGGAATGCTGCCATCGGAGAGGCCTTTATCAACGATGGGACCAGGTTGCCTGGTGTCAAGCAGCTGGCGACAAACGTGGACGCGCCTTGGCTCATCGACGTTTGCCCTTCTCTCACGTCTCTTAAAGCCGATCGCGGAAGATCAGGATGGCTGGGGACAGAGGCTAAGGCAAACAGAGAAGAAGTCTGGTTTGCGGCCGCGGGTAGAGCCCAGGGTTTGAAGAAGCTTCACATGGGGAATTTGCGGTGGACGGGCACCATGGTCGATCGTGAGTTCTCGAACGCTGCTCCTACATCATTTTGATTCTGGCTGACATATAAGTTTACAGACGTGGTCAAAGAGACCCCTCACATCCAAGAGCTTCATATAGGCACTCTTTGGGGGGATAACATCTCCCCCGAGTTCCCAGGGAACCCAGGGAACCGAGGGAACCCGGGGGAGATGTTGCGGGTGAGTATTCCCAACGACTATTATATGGATTTTTCCGCCCTGTCCATTCGGGCTTCTTCACCATTGAATTAAATGCGCGGCTAACGAGAATGCCGATAGAATCTTATGAAAACGTTCGCTGCTCTTCCCAATCTCATGCACCTTTATCTCCCATGGTCCGCCGAGCTGGATCTCGGCTACGATGGGGGACCTTGGTGCGGTAACGCTTACATGGGCGAAGGAGGTGCCGAAATCTGGCGCAATAACATGGTCCGGAATATTGAGGCAACTGAGAAGGCTGGGATTATTGTTCAGAAGGTGTTTCCAAGGCTGAAGGGGGTTCATGTCGGTGAGTTCTACGGGAATTTCACGACGAATGCTGAGGGAACGGGAACAATCATCTGGGAATGGACTAGGAGCATGGACGAGTGGTTAAGAGAGAATGCACATGATGAATGGTAAGGGGGTTTACGATGTTCATTTATGAGCCTCCAATTGAGCCTACGCAACTGCAAACGCGTCCCAACCGACGAATCTTGCACAATGCAGTGGAGGGGGCTGTGTCTCTTCTCTTGAAGCTGTTTCTTTCATGTTGAAATCCATCGCATCGTCGCTTCTTGTCCAAGACGAGCTTTCGTCTCCGAGCGTTGCTGGTATGGCGTTGGGTGGGCGTAGAGACCCGTTCCAGGTCTCAATAGTAACCTCGCCGTCACGCTCAGGAAAGGTGTCATAATCGCGACGGTATACCGCTCCTTCAGTCTGGATTGCATAGACATTTTCGTTCATGGCTCCATCCTCCCTTTCGAAAGCTCCCAGCAAATCGTGAGTCCACATACTATCCCATAATTGAACATTCGTGGTATCACCCTGGTCCGCTTGCGCTGCGCCATCAATCAATGTTGAGGAGATTAACGATGAACCGAAGAAGGAGCTACATCTCATAACGATCAGGAGATGCTCTGACTTGTGTAGTATATCCAACATCCAAAGATTAATCCTGTCTCTTCTGGACTTCCCAGCTCTCAGCTTCGTCAACAGATTTGATATCTTCAACCCGGGAGCAAGCATAAGCCACTCATAAGGGGTACCTGAACAAGTCTGTTCAAAACTGACGAGGCAGTGGCCCCCGGGGTGGGATCTGTCGCGATGTTGAAATGCACTCTTCGGGTTGGAGTACCTGTTACCGTTTTGGCAATCTGTGCAGGACTTGCACGAGCTAAGCGACGCCTTGGTGCTAGAAGCAAACAAAAGAAACCAGCTGCCGAGGTACACTGGGTCTTGTCCGCTGTCTTTGGGACTCGATCGACGGTCAACTTCTTCTTAGGTCGAAGAAATGCGTTGAAGCAAGATTTCGGGCGTTGGTATCCATCTATTTCTGATGATCCTGTCAAAGCTGACACACAGTTCTTCTGCTAGATTGGCTGCCCGGTACAGAGCAGCGGCAAGCTCGCGAGAGAATTTTGCCGAGAAAATATTACTTGACAGCTTTTCCAAGTTTTGCCGTACGCCCGTGGTAGCACCGAGTCCATGTGAAGGTGGCTGTGTGACACCAACAAAATCAGAGATTAAAGATTGTAGCTGACTCTCTAGAATCAAAGGTGCCGTTGAAGTTTCCAGCTTTTGCGGCTCGCCGTAAAGGGATTCGTATCTCTCATCCCCAAATCTAGGTTTGAGTCGACAGAACCTTTTCTCAAAATGCGCAATGTTAGTGACGAAGACCTTCCGATCGGCTGCATGGTGTGTTTCTAGATGAGAACCGAAGCCGCTTTTGGCCTTATAGTATACACCTTGGTCGCATCCGGCAAAATTGTGGGAGTCAACAATGTGTTTCGATCGATCAAGTGATTCAGTGTTTGGAAAAATTTGATCGCAAAAGGCACATCGTGTTTGACCCAAATGTCGGTCCCTCTGGCTTTCAATGAAGTAATCATCAATGCCTATTGCTTGGGCACATGTCCAGAACATTGAATAGCTAACGGATCCAGACTTCAGGTTTCGTGTATTAGGAACTGTTGCAAGGCCTGGATAACGGCTCTTCCTGTTTCCCTCGATTTTCGAAGACATGGACCCAGCTTCGTGATCCAAAGGCCCTCCAGAAAGACTGTCCGATCCACGCCGAGGAGTTGGTTGCAATGGCTGAGCGACGAGCTGCTGGAGAGATTCGGCGATGCTGGACACGCTGTCGCTCAACCTGGAGAGTTGACTTCGAGTTTCGTGGTGTTCTGATATGAAATGTTGCTTATTGGCTTGAGAAGTGGATCTGATCATCTCTTTGAGATGCTGGCGTTCTTTGGCTGATTCTTCAAAGACGATAGTCGAACGGTCCCTGCTTTCTTGATTCATCTGCAGATTGGTTTCCGTAAGCTTCTTGATGGCCTCGTGAACTGCAACAAGTTTGTCTAGTCCTCCGATGGATATCCAGCTGAAAAAAGGCAACTTAGTTTGGATATTTTGGTTATCGATACTATGTCAAGCTCACCCATTTATGGTGTTCATGTCAAGAACAATCTGCGACCGATGACGCGCCAGCTTAGACTCCATTTCGGAAAGCTCTTGGCTGCGCTTGTTTTGTATACCGTCGATGATCTTGCGGCGCTTCGAGGACTGTACATCTCCGGGTCGGTGAGATTTGGTCCAGGCATCCAGGTCCTGAGCACAATCTTCGAGACGGGAACAAAAGAGGGCAAAGTGTTGCACCCAGAAAGGTCGATTTTCGTCCAGCGCCTTTTCATCCAGCGTGTTGAGTAGAGACTGGAAATCAATGAGCGTCTTGGAGAGAAGGCCGGCTTCTGTCGTCAGCCGTTGAGCGCGAGCATCCGCTTCCTTCACGTCCTGGATAAAGGCGTTGAGCTTGACCAGTCCGCTGAGAACATGACCAGCGACGGATAACAAGCCGGCGACGCTGGCGGCTGCGGAAACTGCCTCCATCTTGCAAGTCTGGATGCTTTGCCGAGACTCAAAGAAAGGTCTGGAAATTGAGCAACGGCGGGGTTATGAACGATGGCTGGAGTCAGCCTGATGGTCATCACTGCCACCCACCTTGCGTATGGCGACAGCAGCACATTTGCTCCGCGCCAACGTTGATTGCTCTCATAGGTGGGCTGCATTCTTCCCCGCTTGTTGATTACGCGGAGAGGGCGGTAGCGCTTGACATAGCCACAGCTTGCATTAGTTATTGGCAATCCTGAAGTAAGCCTTGAAGTATAGCTGTGCAGGTTGCCTTAAAAGTGGCGAACGAGTTCAAGGCCTTGTTTTCATCCTTTGCATGTGTTGGTTGTGTCGCCTCTGATCACTGGTCTTTGAGGAATTAGACACCAGCAATGCTAGATACTATGCCCATGGCTGGACCAGGGTTGAACCATGAAAGCTATAGAGGTGTCACTGAGGGTATTGGCCGAGTCAGTCGGCATCTTGCATATGTAGTTCTCAAATATTGAAGTCATCGCCAATCTACATCCGCCCTATTCGTCGCTCTCATGTCAGATGGGATGTATGATGACTAGCAGCTCGTCGCGATCTCAAGCAAACAACATGGCGGGCCCTCAGAGACGGCTTCAAGTCACACTAGAGCTTCTGGCATGTTTTCGAGTCAGGCTTCCTTGGCAACTCATTCGTGGCGAGCCATCAGCTTCGAGACTATTGTCTCTCGACGCGGATTCAAAAATGGGCTCTCGGCCCGAATGCGTCAATTGTTTCAATCCATTGAAAGCTTGTGAAGAGGAACAAGTGAGAGTCGAGGACAAAGATGGAGTCGAGGCCCAGATTAGTACAAAGCATGTTCAATGATGGCCTTGCACCCTCAGGAACAACAAGAGACTGCATGAAAACCGCTAGCAAGGGAGACTTGCAAATGACTTCCTCCTTTGTGGTAGAAAAGGAAGGGGGAGGCAAGTGACGCTGAACTGCGGAAGAGAGAAGACGAGTAATAAATGGGAAGATAAAACCTCATTAGTGAAATAGAAAGTGTACAACTTTTGGGAGATGCTCTCGCGAAACATTCGGAAACGAGTTGGAAGACGCACCTCACTACAAGTTCAGACACCACCTACTATTCAGAACAACACAGCTTGACTTACAGAAGTGAGCCTACCTTGGACCAAAGTTGCTCAAGACTTCTTGAGCAAGTTTTGGGAGCAGAAGAAATGCCACCAAAGAAGTCAAACTTGGTGCCAGACAAAATCTGCCTCCCAACATTTCGCCAAACAGCAAACACCAATAACGGCTCCTCGAGTCAACAGCCACCGGCGCAAGCTCAACAATCACAACCGCCACAGCGACAACAACGGCAATATGAGTCCTTCACCTCGGATATAGACCTCGGTCCCTTGGAGCGCTATAATCTCCAAGGTCAAGAATACGGGACCGATGCGCAGTATCCCGCACAACGGTTCCCAGCAAACGCGAACACGGGCTTCAACTTCCCCCCCGCGGGGTCGTCAAGCACGATCCTCCCAAACATGCCTCAGCCGCAAGCCCAGTTCCCGATGACAAGTTTCATGCCAACCCGCGACGTCCGTCTGCCGCCAGCGCAGTACATAGAACCCAGCAACCAGCAGTACACCTACAACTACTCCTGTACTACTCCCCTCCAGCCCCAGCCGTCGAAGCGCAGGCTCTCCGATGTGGCCTCTGGTAGAGAAGGAGGTAGAGAAGGAGGAGAAGAAGATGGGCCAGAAAGACCGGCAAAAAAAACCAGACGGGCCCCCGCGCCTGACCTCGGCTTTTGGCAACCCGCCCTCTTCCGTAAACAGCCCTCACTCGAGGTCCGCGTCCCGATAGACAATGTATGCGACCACTGCCGGGCCGGCGGCCACCAGAACCAGGGCTGCAACGCCGACTTCGCCGCCCAGATCGAGTGCAACCAGTGCTGCCGGTACCGCAACCTCACGGACCCGAACCACGTCTGCAGGGTCCTCGACAGGGAGTACTGGCAGAAGCGCTTCGCCAACTCGCGGCCCTCGTACCCCACCCACGAGGAACAGACGAGCTGCTGCGCCCGGTGCAAGGAGAGACGCGGCAGCGGGCGCCCGGCGCTCTGCGACATGGACGACCGCGTCAAGATTGGGTGCACGCCGTGCAAGAATGATCGAGTACTATGCAGGGCGTACAACGAGCGGAAGGCGAGGGGAGTCGGCGTCGGGGTGGATCAGCCTGCCGAGTTGATGTGGAACCGGCCGGATCCCGCAGACGGCTCGGTGTCGAGGGAGCGCCGGCCGTGGTGGAGGCACATGTGCCAGGCGTGCCAATCGCAGGGCGGGAGACGGAAGGCGGAGCCGTGCTCCTGGATCAAGGACTTCCGGCTGGGCGACTACAAGTGCGCGCCGTGCGTCGAGAATAACATACCCTGCGTGGACCCCTGGACGGGGCAAGAGTACGCCACGCCGTACTTGTGGACTGGCCAGGGGGACAAGATCATCTATGACAAGACGACTGTGGCCAGGAAGGATCGGAACCGGTGCACCAACTGCGCGACAAACCAGGCCAACTGCCGGGGCTTCATCGGCGAGGGCGACTTTGCGTGTATTCGATGTACGTCCTGGGGCCTGACGTGCGAGCTGCCGGGTAACGGCAGTCGGCATCCGCCCCAGGAGCTCCCGGTCATGGACAGGAAGATGATCGGGTGGCCCGGGGGCACCAAGCACGCTTCCGACAAGGGTATGACGTTTCGCGGATGCAAGAGATGTCGGCAAAATGGCTTAAACTGCGATCGCAAGCGGCCGTGTGATAAGTGCTTCAGCCAAGGGGCGGCGGCGGAGTGCGACTCGTGGGTACTGGGCAAGGAGCTCTGTAAACGCGACCAGACCCTCGGCGACGATGCGCCAGAGTATTATATGGCTCTCGGGTACGGCCCCCGAGGTGTCGACGACGATCGGGCCATGTGCCTGGAAGACCGGCTTGTCGGACCAAACATGCCCAAGCATGCAGACATGATGGAACGACCTCCTGCTCCCGTCCCGGGTGAAGCCCAAAGCCTGGAGGGACAGCCAGTCCAACGTCAGTTCGGAGGAGCCGTTGGCAACGGATACGCCACCTTCTTCGGCGGGGACAGCGGGGTTGGCGGGACCGCACCGCCGCCGCGGGGCACGGCCGCAGCCGGATACCAGGATGTCACCGCACCATCCAATCCGCTGGCGTTCTTCGACCCGGCCCAGCCCTACGGCAACCAGGACCACATCCGCCTCCAACATAACAACATGATGTACGGCGATAACAACGCGGCCGCCAAGGCAACGGAGACCGGCGAAGGGTTCTCAAACTGGCTGGGCAACTACAACCAGAGCCGTCACCAGGCCGGCCCGAACAACCAAGACTTCAACGCCCAGGCTCCATTCGAAGGCCAGCCCCGGAACCAGAACGAGATCCAGTATATGCTGGGCAGTAGCTATTCCACGTCCTCCAAGGCCCTAGTACAAATGGCCGAGTCACCGCCGCCGATCCCCATCGACCCGCAACTCCAGGAGGCCATGGATGTCGGACCCGAAAGCAGAGCCCGAGATGACCGAGAGCAATCCGAAATAACCCGTGATATCAGCGGCTACATGGCGAATTATGCCAGAGCTACCCGCTTCGTGCCGATCGAGCTCCGCAACTTCAACCCGCCCGAAGTTGCCCAGACCCCGTCAGCCGCTCGTATCGGGCCTCCGCTCAGGGTCCTCCTGGAGTTGAAAGAGCAGCCCGCAGACGAAAGCCCCCGTCAACCGCCACCGCCTCCGTCGTGGAACCCCCCGCCTTACGACCCAAAGCTGCGCGATCTGCTCTCCAGGTGGAAGAAGCCCTCCCTCAACGTCTTCCACGACGTCCCCGACGCGCCCCTCGCCAGCGGCCAACAACCACACGACCAGCCCTGCGAGGAAGTCAAGCCCGGCGCCCCAGACAACATCTGCAAGCAAAACGTCCCCGATGGCGCCTTTTGCGAAAACCAGGAGCACGTGGCGGCACGCCCCAAACAGTTTGTCGTCTGCAACGACTGCAATCTATCCTCAAAAAAGACCCTCTTCGAAGGCCCGCACCCCCTTATGCGCGCCGAGTTCCTCAACATGCGCAACTACGCCTGCGGCGCCTGCGCCATCACAAACGAGAGCTCCGCAGCCTTTGGCACGCCGGAAGTGCCCCTGAATCCGGTGACGGGGTGCCTCTGCGCGGCCAAACTCCTCGGCCGGAGGCTGTGCCAGCACCACCGGTACCAACTGGCGCAGCGGCTCATGGTGCAGGTGTCACTGGTGCTCGAGTGGGCGATTACCAATTTTGGGCCGAATATGTGTCTTTTCTGCAAACAGGACGGCGTCCACGCCAAGGGCGTCGAATCCGCGGGCGACAAATGGACAGAGTCGTTGGTATACGTGTGCCTCAACTGCGAGGGTGTTGTGCGCGAGAGCGTAAAGAGTGAGATCATGCCGGGCATACAGGCCTGGATGGGTGGGAGTCACCCGTTTTCTCTCTTTCAGGAGCCCTGGATGCCTATGGAGGGTGTAGAGCAGGAAGGCTTGTGATAGGATCCCTCAATCTCTCAAGGGAGGAAAGGCTTGGATGAGTAGGAGGAGGTCTATTGACAGCGCTGGTGGCATATTTTTTTTTTTCGTTTGCTTGGATTCGGATTGGACAGACGCGATTTAGGTTGATACTACGGTGACGGTGAAGCGTACATGGCGCATTGCAGGTGTTTCGTTTAGTAGAAAAAGAAAGTGTTCGATTCTGACACTTTCGTTCCGGGCCGTAAGATGTATTTGGTTGGAGGAAGGCAGGGAGGGCACACGCCGTTGAGAAATGGATATGAGGTTCTGGGTGACTCGCGGCTGCATGTCTAAACTAAGGTAACGGGGCAGCTCGGGTTGTGTAATTGGGTAGTAGGCTGCAGTCTTGGGGGGGACTTGTTGAGAGGTGCCATAAGCAAGTTGCATGTAGTTTGGGTTCGTTTCTTGTGCCCTAACGTACTAATGACAGATTAGCAGCGAACTAGAAACTGAGGGGTTTCTTTTGGCATCGGAACTTAGATGTAAATGTTACGGATATGCAATACGGAGTATTTGGCCCTTATGAGGGATAGGAGTCGGCACAGAGACAGACCTCCCCTTGTGGTCCCCTCCCTCATATCAATACATGACCTTAGCTAGCGTACACATTGAAATACAGTAAACTAATCTATCGTCATCAACCGTCAGAAATCAAGCTGGCTAGTTGATTCCAAGACGATCTCCATGAAATCAACTAAGTACTGGATGCTAGATATATTTGTAATGCCATCTTGAATCAAAGACATGTGGGCGGAAGAATGCTAGTCCCAAGTGAACAAACCCTCACACAACTCTAGCTCAACCGTTGAAAGTCACATCCAGGGCAAGGTAATCATATCTCAGATGGACTGACGTAAAGGGAATCTGTATGACTTGGCGACTGACTCTGACCTAAGAAAAACCTTGCGGTGTCTCAGAAGAAAGAAGAAATTACAGTATGAAAAGAAAAAAAAAGGAGTACCGATATAAAGAAGAGACAGAGACAAGCCGATGTTTGGTCTCAAATAACCCTCCCAGTGTGTAGTAAAGAAACTCGAATCCCACCCCTTCCCCCACAAGGTCTTGCGGCCAATAGTCTCTGGCTGGTAGACCGCAATCCTTTCTTCTCTGCCGCTACACCACACGATGAGGATCCTGCCAGACAGCCTTGTGAAAAGGACTCTCTTCTTATGTCCCCTGCCACGTACAATCGTGTGCGATGACCATGTCCATGAAGTTGCCCTGAAAAGAACAAGTTCCAAAAAGTGCAGCAAGTCAGAACCCGACTCCCCGTCCGATGCAGCACAAATAAGTTTTTGATCATTGGTCCCCCACGTCAAGATGTCTTTCTCCAACCGACATTTGCTGGGCCTGCTTGGACCGTTCAAAAGTCCAGACGGGGGAGAAACTGTGCGTTTGGCATCAACCAGCAGCATCCACTAGCCCAGTCAAGGCTCAAGGTATCTCACGACTCTCAGGCCGCCTGGTTCGCCACTACCCCTCCCTCCTGCTCTCCCTCCTGCTCTCTCTCTAGCTCTCTTCATTGCGCGCTCTCTCCCCAGGTCCAAGTCGAAAAGGACCGCTCACATTATTACGCACTTGGAGCAGCAACCTGCCTCTTGCTCGCCGCCCTCAACATCCATGGGCTTCGGGGGTCCGTTGATGCCAGAGGCGCCACCACTGCCGGTAGAGTAGCCCTGCATCTCTCGGTTGTATCGACGGATTTCGCGGACAATGTCGTAGAAAGCCTTGTCGACGTTGATGCGAGACTTGGCCGATGTCTCAATGAACTTGCACCCGAATGACTTGGCAAGAGCCTCTCCCTCTGTGGAACAAAATAAGTTAGTCATCAACTCAATTAATCAATCATCAAACCATGGGCCTATATGTTGGAGGCGCTATCATGCAGTGATGCGGCGCAGCATTCAAAAACATACCCTGTCTTGTGACCTCTCTCTCGCCCTCCAAATCGCACTTGTTGCCGACGACGACCATGGGGAAGTAGTCCTTGTCCTTTACTCTTAGGATCTGCTGCTGGAATGTGGTGATTTCCTCGAAGCTCTGGCGCGAAGTGATGGAGTAGACCAGCAGGAAACCCTCTCCCGTTCTCATGTACTGCTCACGCATGGCGGAGTACTCTTCCTGGCCGGCAGTGTCGAGGACATCGAGCAGGGCAACTTCCTCGTCAATGACGCACTGCTTGCGGTAGGAATCTGTAGTTGAGAAGAGCCAGGTTAGTGGGCGGCTAATTCACGGTCGCATCGATCAGTAGGAAATGATGATCGGGGCGACGCACCTTCAATCGTCGGGTCATATTCGTCGACGAAATGGCTCTGGATCAATTGAATGGTCAAGCAGGATTTACCGACACCACCGCCACCGACGACGACCAGCTTGTACTCTCTCAGAAACTGCAAAAAGATGATGGATTAGTAACAGGTCGATGGAAGCGAGAGATGAGGCAGGGGATTGAGAGCGGGACGTCGCGCGACGTCGCGAGGACGAGGAGGAAGACAAGACGACGAACCTTGGACGCCATTGTGCTGTGATGATGTGTTGATTGATGGTTGTGATCTCGACGGGTCTTGTTCGCGCTCGATGTTGATGGCTTGAAGCAGCAGCGGCGGCGGCGGCAGCTGGGGGCAGGATACGGGCGAGATCCGGGAAACAGGCAGGAGCAGCCAGGCGATTGGCGTTCGACGGATTCGGAAAGGGCTCAGCGAGTTGGGATTTGCGAGACTGCGTGAGCGTGGGATGAAAGGAGTGCTTTGGCAGCGAGCGAAACGACGGGTGGGAATCTGGGACGGCACAGGCCGGATTGCGAAGCTTAAAGGTGAAACGACGAGGTCGATGGCAGGAATCCGGGACTGACAGCAGACAGTCTTTCGAGAAGGAGAATGAGAGAATGGGGTGGTGTTTCGTTGTTGCTAAGGGGGGGGCTTTTTGGCAAAATGTGGAGATGGGGGAACGGGTCGGTCCAGTGGTAGGCAAGGAAGGACCTGCACTTTGCCTCTGCTCCTGCTTCTGGCGCTATGTACTGGTGCTTGTGCTGGTGCTGGTGAAGGTGTGGATTCGTGTGCTCTGCTCTGCTCTGCTCTGGGATTAAGAAGGGGCCTGGGCAGGAGGAAGGGAAGCAAGGTACGAAGCTGAGGTATCGATCAAGACTGGGGTACCTGCTCTTGCAGTTGCTGCACGGCGGAAATCGCAGTACACCCACTCACTCCGCAGGTGTGTATTTCTTACATCGACCTTCCCTGCCGTCCCTGCCTCCCATCCCTCCCCTTCGCTCTTTCCCGCGCCTTGCCCTTTTTTTTTTTTTTCTTTCCTCTCCCTCTTCCACCCTGGTCTGTCTGGGACCCTAGTCTCCCATTGCCAACCAGATGGGCAGAGCAAGGAAGGTGGTGTATCCGTTCATCCAGCTCGTCCAGAAACCTAACGGTATGTAATTCCAAGGCAAACAGTAACGTGCGGCTTTCATTACACAGGGGGAATAGGGATGCCACACTTGCTATCTGTTTTCACATTGGGACGGAATTAGAGGTGACGGGGGAGTTGAGAGGTGAATAAGAGAACGAGGTGAAGCCTGGGACGGATCGGACGGGGTGTGCTTGTAAAGATTCCAGTTCAGGGCAGGTCTGGCTCCGTCTGCTTTGGTCTCGTCTGCCCTCTTACCAACCGCAGTACGGGCAGTACGGAGTGAGGTAAGTACTGCTGCTGCTCATCTTGCCTTCCGGCGGCCTTGTCTCGTCTGCCGTGCCCGGCCAAGTCGACACGGGCGTGCCACCAGGTCTGGCCAGGTCCTTTTTGCCGTCCGTCGCGCACTTGTTCTTCATCTCTGCCCCCTTCTCATGAGACGAGAGGCCCAATGCGCGCGGCTCCTATCACACTAGGCGCTCTTTTCGATCGCTGTTTACGATGTCAGGTATCTAAGCCAAGACACCTCGATCTTGTGTCTTGTTCATTACCTCTCTTTTTCGCAATAGACAGGAGAGCGGCTGGCTGGCACCGGTTTGGCGTTTAGCGCTGGGCCTACCTATGATTTGACGACGAGACTCGCAGAAGGCCCAGGCACACATCACCAACGTCACTCACCACTGCGTTCCTGTGCCTTGTGCGAACTTTGAGGTATTACGCGACGTGCGCTACGTAGATAGAGCACATGTCGGCCGAGTGAAAGCAGATCAATAACGACCTTTCCGGCGGAAGCGCTATTTGCGACCGGGGCGTCCTCCATTACCAATCACTTGATGGTTCTATGGGCCCGTCTCCAAGCAAGGAAAGGGGGGAATTACACAGATTGACAAAAGCCTGGGGTCGCAGTGCCAGTTGATCATGATACCTGTGACCTGTGACCGTATCCCTCCATTTGTCGTACGGCGCTATTCTATGCATCGCGGAGAGATGAATAATCCCGCCAAACAAAGGGATTGAAGAAAAAAATAATTGGTAGACGATTACCCCCAAGGCTCGAGTGAAGGTGAGATTTGACCGGGGACGGAAAGAGGGACTTGTAAGTGGAAGTTTATCACGGCGACCTTCTGGTCCAGTACACTAGCGTCGGCTGCAGCAGGGGAGGGGGGCCTTGGAACCATAAAAAGAGCCCTGGTGCAGACGCCTGCAGATGCCCACCAAGCAGCGAAGCGGTCGAGGGGAGAACATTGATGAAGCGCAAGGGGGAAACGCACAGAAACGATCGAATAAAGTAGTGAGTGGACTAAAGGGAAAGAAAAAGAGGGGGGGAAGGGTGGGCCGTCGTGGTTCGTGCGAGTGGGAGCGAGATGGGGGGATCCCACCTCAGGGCTCAGGCACTAGAATCAAAGGTACGTATCCACTGACAGGGGAAGGAACAAGCTGCAAATGCGAGTGACCCCAGCGGCAATTCCCAAGTGCTGACAGGGGTGTCAGAGGTAAAGGTGGGGTAGATGCACTTAAGCGTCAAGCTCGAAGTTTTCATCCCCTTATGTAATCCGTCAAGAACGCATTCATGATACCTTACCTCTGCAGCACCTCTACGATGGAGTTTGGTATGCAAATATATCATCGCTGCTAGATATCGCTCCAATTTGATCTCGCTGCGTCGATAGGTACCTGTATTGTGAAAAGTTAAGGCGGCGTCTTCACCGCTTCCGTTGTGGTGTCATGTCGTACTGCGCCTAATACAATGTCCGGATATAAGCCCCGGTTCTTCGGTCACTTCATCTGAGCAGAAGGCCGATGTGGGAGCAGCAAAAAGACGTATCGCATCGTGAGGCTCGTCAGCCCCACACTGCTGATTGCAGTAATAATACGGCGCAGAATGAGATAACCTGTTTACATACCCTTGCAGCATCGTTATTGATATGTTCGTTGGCAACGAACCTGTACTATGTAACCCCAAGCTAACGTTACGTATCTCACCGGGGCTCATGGCGGAAGCTTGCTTCCTGCTAGATAGTAGCAGTCAGCAACTTCGTTACACGTGCGACAGATGAATAAGAAAGAGATCATGCCCGAGAGAAGACGAATTGCTCAAGTCGACCGTGTCCGCAGCCTGCTACGGCCGATGGTGACGCGTAGAACCGAGACATGCACCGAGGTCTAACCAACTTGCGTCAGGTATTGCAATCATTATTCGAGGCCCTCTACTGATGTGGAAAAATTCCTAACCATCCCTCCAAGAAAACTGTTGACCAGTCTTCTTCATTACACAGCCAGATCGGCATGCGCTCAATTCGTGATATTACAGTGGTCATATCTGACCTGGAAACCCTGAAGCCAGCTTCACCACGAGCTGCTCGGAGACAGGGCCGTATGTAGTTAAAGGGGGTTGAGGCGCGAGTGGTTCTCTCCTGCAGAAAGCTCTGACCACGTGGGGGCTTATGGCCTGCACACATTCGCACTGTACCAACGGTAGCAGGACGGCAGGCGCAATGCCTCCACTCCAGCCTTGCAACTCCTACACCCTCGGGATTCCGTATCCGCCTCATAAACTCTACACTCTACGGATACACTTCCATCAAACGACCTCCCTTACCTACAAAATGGCTACGCGGTCTAGACCCCGTCATCGGATGACCTTTTTGGCTGATCCGAGGTTGTTGGAGCTCCAGCTGATTCGGGCATCATCCAGACACACTTGCCTTCGGCCACAAGTTTCGCTGGCTCGGCCCAACATCGTCCAAATAGCTACGAATGGCCTCTATCGCTTGACAGCAGCCGGAACTTCCTGTATCGCCATCTGAAAAGCACTATTGAGCCAACCCAACACCAATTGATGAGCCTCCTGCAGTGTTTCGACGGCTTACTGCAACATGATACAGCTGCCAAGCATACGCCAGAGAAGCGAGATCGCCACTTGCCCAACACTCTTCCTGGTGCAAGTTCGTCTGCTTGCGGCCCCCTTTCCCACCGACTTGAGCCTCTTTGAGTTCTCCATTTCCACGTAGAGATCTGTTGTTACATGGCTGGCTCTTAGAACGATGTTCGTATCGTCCAGTACACCGCGCACTTGGCCCTCGACCGATCTTTGTGCGTTGTGGCGCAGAGGCTGGCTCAGCTCAACTTTTACGCACATCCCATTCCAACCAACTTGGGCCCGGAGGTCACGGAGAACCTGTGTGCCTGTGTGAGAGTTCCCACCACTTGCTCCCTTCCACCGCACCCGTCAAATCAAGCAACCCATCAAAGACGCCCTCGTCTGCACATGACAGCAGCGTAAGCAGCAAGGGACGACGCGTTGGAATGTAGAAAGGCACCCTGAGCTGTTTTCACCTGAGGGCGCACGACATCGTCTGAAGTTACCAGCGGCGCATACAACTACGTTGGTCGAGATACAGGACCCCGGAGCAACGTGTCGAGCACCATGTCACAATTCGGCAATTCTCAACCGACGTTGTGAACCCCTTGCCACCTCGATGTACGAATGCCATGCCAGGGGTTGAACGCAGCAGCAACGGCCCTCTCGAGTCTCTAGCGACTTTGCTTCAGTAAGCCATTGCGGATCCTTGTACAACGGTACACGCGCATCTAGCAGACTACCACCGCATTAAGCCCATGTCAACGTAACCCAAGAAAACAGAGCAGCTCGCGATGATGGTGACACCCGCCAGCCCATACAGGAGTGCGAGAACAGCAACAACCATCAAAAGTCCTTGGTCGAAGCAAGTTGACGGATTTCATCGCATTCTCGTCCTTGATGCTGCAGAGCCACACTTGCCTAGGCGCAAATGGTCAACTGTATCCGTACTGGACAATCGTATTTGGCTGGCTCGAGCATCATGCGTACTGTACGCGCGTTTATCGGCACGGTACGTACCAGGGATATCAACAAGAGATGAGGGGCCAATAGCTGCAACCCGTCCACCGTAGGTATATCCCTACTCAGTGCAGTATCCGTACCAGGGCCAAACCGCAGTCAGCGCTTGCTTTGAACCCTTCAAGTTTCCCGTTTCAACGGCGCAACTGTGACTACAGCACCTCGGTCCCCAAAGTCGCTAGGGAGCTTCTGTCATTATGACAGAATGGGTCGAGCGTGCGTCTGTTCAAAGCATTCCGAAGCTTCTCAACGGCATGGAATTCGACGTCCATAGAACTGAACTTTAGCCGCAACCACACCCAAAACTACGGACTGAAACGATGTTGCTTCCACCTACATCCCTTGCGTCCTGGGTTTGAGCCAAGACGCCTGGCCCTGACATCTGAACTTTGGCTCGCTTGCTTCTACCATAACCCAGCGCCTTGACTAGACTCAGACTCCAGTCAGACAGCCGCCAACCACGCTGCATGGCCCACGTCAGATCTCACCAGTTTTGACCATGCAACGCACGGAGAGCACCAGTTCACGACATACTCGTCGTCGGTCAAGAGAGTCCCAAGCAGTGCCTAGGAAGCTGTTGGTGGCTCTTACGGAAGGCAGCTTTGATTCGTTCACTGTCAACGCTTCAAGGCCATAGCGCTTGACGACCGGCCCAAACTTACGCTGGCTCTTGCGCCGCCCGAGCTGGCATAGCCCGACCGGCAAGACAGCGCTGATCATCTTCCCACAAACACCACCATCAACTTGGTCGATCTCTGTCGACATCGCGCTCAGATCTCTTTTTTCGTCCCTTCACGTGTTTCCATGCCTTCAAGTGGATGCAATTGCGGCGTTCTCGGGCCATGTTTCTCTGCGTCTTGGGGCTCTCGCATTCTGGATCGTTGTACAGCCCCCTACTAAAGCAACGGTGTAAGTCATGTTAACCAAATCTACTGGGCCGACCCAGCCTTGATCGCGTGTTCACCAGGTCAGAGCATTATTCGTTCCACGGCGTACGTTCATCCCCTCAAACGACTAGAGAGATGCCTGGTCTCCGTCAATGTCAGCATCTAAGCCACCTTCGAGGTAGCAGACTACCTACCAATACCCCAGGTTCTGGCGCAGCCACAAATTGCCATGCCGCGATATCGGGGCTCGAAAGAAGCACAGGACTGCGAGGGTTCACGTTGGTTTCTAGAATCTTGGCCACCAGGGCAGAAGGGCGGAAAGCACAGGACTGGTCAGGAGTACCCTGCACCATCGCCTCCATGTGGCCATTGAACAGGAAGCGGCGATATGGGACTGTCGTTCTCTCATCCGCGCCAGACTATCTTGTCAAGAAACAGTCTCTTTTCGAACCATGCTGCACCTTGAACATAGTAAACCGAATTGATTTCCACGATATTGTTGGAGGACTGACCTCAAGCTCGGCCAAGTGCACAGTGCGACGAGACATGGAGGGATGAAGTTCCGGACAGGCCACACAGTAGATGGCCAATCCATGTCCGGAGGGCGATAATGCGACGACTGGGTTGTGCTATGTAGTCGCAGACATGCTTTTGTGGAGCATGAGCTGACCTTCCAAAGTTCCATCGAGTCTTTACATTCGGCTGACTCGATACAACAGGCATAGCGCGGCCGAAGTGGTTGCTCAAAGTCTCGAAAGGTTTCCTCAGTCATGGGGAAGCAAAGTCGTCGATAAGGATTCGCGAGCGACAGCCCCATCGTGCCGTCACGAGACGGAGGTGTAGCCAAACGTTGTCGAGCACCGTCAGAGATAGCACCGAGCTCCTATCCACACTCATCTCCTGACGAAACGGGGCCAGTCTCCAATCGGTAGGTAACCGTGCTAGGTAGTATACCTATCTCGCTCGCAGGCCGCCATCATAATTGGCAATTCGAGAACTGCAGGACCGTGGTGTGCTCAATAACTGCAACAGAAGCTCGTCATTCTAGAAGCCCTTGATGATCATTTCGATCCACCCCTGGCCTGCAGAAGTGCAATCTGCACCCAGCGCGTGGTGGTGGCCGAGGCGGCGACCCGTGCAGGGGAGCTTCTTGGCTTCAGGCATGCGGCGCCTATCATTTCTGACATGGGGTTCGCAACGATCGTCGCAACTTCTGGGTCAAGTTCGGCTGTTGGTCGTGGCTTGAATGATGAGGTTCATCGTCTGCGACGCCATGTCTGTGACTGCGAACTACGCTGGACCACAACACCACTGAATCAAGAGCTCCATCATCCTCTTAGACTGAAATTCGCCGTGTTGAAAGTCCCCACCAGTGCCCACGTGCGGTCTCCGCGCGTCCGTATTCCGAGTCTTGAAGTCTCTTCAAGAGTTTACTCGGCGATTCAAATGACCTTATTGATAGGGTTTTCAGATTGGCAACTAATGCCACTTGAACGACTCATAAAGTGCTTGGAATTTTCCACAGGAAGAGATAACATCATCTAGGTCTAGTAAACGTTGGCTGCTCCAGCATTGAGAAGCCAATCATCCTAGAATTGATCCGCAAGCACTTTCTATTCCAGATGACAGAATTACAACCGGGTATCCCGAAGAGCCTTGTTATTGCCGCAACTGTGCAACTTTCTTCGGGATCGTGGGGGTTGCAATTTAATTTGAGTTCAAGTTTGCTGCCATTATTCGAGATCTTTTCCTGCTTCGCCCTGGGTATCATCCTCACCCTCCGCGTTTACACGTTTACCTTCGACACCTTGGACGACTTCGGCAACGATGCTCTCGATATAAGCCTGGTCCCTGTAGTCAAAGTCAGCCATCTAACTTTCAAGATGATGAAATCATCCACAGCCGTAACCTGTCTGCATATTTCTCGGTAGCTGATCACTTACCTTCCAACCAGCGTCACTGTGCCGTTCTGGCCCCACCGAGGGTAGCTGCCAACCTTGACGCCCTTAGGCTCGACCTTGGCCGCGAGCTGCGTCAAATATCCGGCAACGGCGCTCTCCGGGAGCGGAGTAGAGATGAGCACGCGGCAGAGACCCTTACCCTCCGGATCGGTGAGTCGGGGGACGATGCTCGGTTTCAGTCCGTCCAGGAGTTTCTCAACTGTCCAGCGTCGTTAATCAACCACCTCGGAAGGAAATTTTGGCAAAACTTACAGAGTCGTGGAACGCCTGGCAAGATGTGGATGTTGCCATTGACAACGTTGACCGGCACCCAGAGATCCTCGTGGGGAAAGAGGAACTGCTTGCCGGGGTCGCGCTTCTCGTCGGTTGGAAGGATGACCATTCGCAGCTTGGCCTGCAGGGCGGGAGAGTCGACGTCCCAGTTAAAGTCTGGCTGGCCTGGATGAGGCTTCGACAGCTTCTTCATCTTCTGGAAAGCTTCCTGATTCAGAACCAGGGATAGGTCAAAGGCCTTTGCTATTGACTGGTAGGTGATATCGTCGTGACTGCCAACTGCTCAGCAATCAAACGTCTTTTGAGGATGTGACTTAGGTTTCTTACGTTGGGCCGATGCCGCCGCTGTAAATCTCAAATTAGCTTGGTCATCGTTGCTATGGGATTGAGGAAACGCACCTGGTGACCACGAAGTCGTAACGATCACTCATGCGCCTGACAGCTTCGACAATTTCGCTCTCGTCGTCTTCAATGACCTCGACTCTTTTCAAATTCTGTTTCGGGATCAGGCACACTTCCGGGCAACACTCATTGAAGTTCAAAAACTTACAATGCCCAAAGAGAAGCACCACTTGGCCATAAAAGCTGAATTGGTCTATGTCGGCGGGTTAACACTGGAATCACCACAGGTCTGCTTGCCAGTCTGACAGGCTTCGAGCGCCATCTACTCACATCAACCGTCTACGAATTATGACGAAGTGTTAGCCAATCATTGAATTTCGATGGCCGCCCGGCCCCCGTCATTAAGACTCTCTCACCTTTCCGCCGAGAACTTCATCTCCGATGATGAGACACGCCGCCGTGTGAATCGTGCGGGTGTTGCGTTCGTCGGCCGAAACCATGATTCTGCTGCGGGCGAAGCCGGAGATTGGGAAAGCGGCGGGCTTGACGGCTTGTGTTATCGACTGGGCCGAGGGGAGATGCCGAGACAGCTGGGTGAGTCGGGCCAACATGAATAAACCCCGCCTTAGTGTATGTGGGTGGTTGTGTAGAGAGAGGTGTGTGTGTGTGTGTACCTCAACTCTATCTACTCAGATACAAAATTCACGGGTTTTCGTCTCACAAAAGTCGATGATGTCATGTGTTGGGGATGGACAGCCTATCTCCAATGGAAAAAGGTTCGGTAGAGCAAGGGATGTCACGACGAACGGGGAAGGTTTACGGCAATGGGGCATGGGAACTCTGGTGGAAGAGATGCAGGGTCTCTTTGGTTAGCAACCGAGGGAGGAGGGAGGAGGGAAAAGGCGTCAGAAAGCACGAATCAAATGATGAGATGCGGCGGATCGGAAGGCTTTCTGTTGCGCAGTTCTTTGGGGCTCCGAGCTCCGGTTCGGGGCGAGCGGAGGTGTTCCATTGCTTTAGACGGTACAGCGTTTAGCGGGATCACGTGATTCATTTGCTTCTCTGCATTTTACACAGTACCTTGCGCATAATTACTGGCCAAGCAGTCCCAAACATGTGCCCACCTACAGAAACTAGCTAGAGCATATTTGCTACAGGGTATATTCCGCCAAAGCTGGAGAGTTCGCAAAATGGGTTCTTTTGGAACCAGAACTCTTGATGCAAGTCTCCAATAACTGTTGTGGTTACTTGTTATGGTCACATGAAAATCATGACCTGTGAACTTGCGTAAGATGCGGGGTTTCTCTGATCAAAGCTGCGATTGCCTCAACTCTACGGATACAAGGTCATTGAATCGACATCTATTGCACTCAACATGGTTTTGGTGTGAGAATCGTGCGCCAGCTATCATACGCAACATCTTTCAACTCGATGGTACTCTATTGCAGAACCAATTCCTCGGCATATTTCCGCCTTACTTTGAAGAGAAGTACAGCTGGTTTTTTTTCCTATTCTGGAGAAAGCCCATTTTTAAACAGTCTAGGGTGAATTTGAAGTTGCTACATGGAGAATAAATCGCGTCTGACCAAATAGTTGTCGGAATCGCTTCGCCTGCAAGATGGCCGAAAACCGGCAGTAATCCGAGGACGACTTGAAAGCTCTCGTCCGTCGGGAGGTGGTGGTGGGTGAGGTCACTGGTGGGGCCCCACCCAAAGGCGCGGGGGTTTCGTTGCGCTGGTCTCAACTCCGTTGGAGGCGGGGGAGGGGTGGCTTGACTTTCGGCCTGACATTTCTTAGCGTTTGCGACGCCGCGACAAGCTTCCTTAACCAAAGCCTCGAGGACCCTGGAGATCGTAACACTTTTGTAAAAGACAGCTTTGATCCTTTGAGCTTTTGATTTCCTCGTCGTCGCCGTCGTCGTCGTCGTCGTCGTAGTCGTCGTCGCATACATCGAGCGGGACTACGTTGTATTTCGCCCTATTTTACCTCTCCTCGGAGCTTCCATAGCCATGGTACGTGATCAAGCTTTCCTGTCGCATTCACAAGCCTCGAGTGAGCCACGCATGCTGACAGAAATGCGCTGCTCTCCTTCTAGGCCTCCGAATCGCGGCTCTACACCTTCTCCCAGGAGACAAAGGATCACCTGCGCAAGTTCCGCCTTGGAACCTCGCGATCCAACGACCCTCAAGCTGTCATATGTATGTATGTCTCTGTTTCGGTCCAATGTCGTCTTCCGATGGACACCCTATGTGTCAAACTACGGGGTTTTTGTGATGTTGATTCCTCCTTTTCTCAATAGACTACATTGATAAGAACACGCACGAGATCAAGCAGGACGACGACAGGGTTGTGTACAAGTCGCTCGAGGAGATTAGCGACGACCTCCCGGACCACAGCCCGCGCTTTATCCTGCTGAGCTACCCGCTCACATTGGTATGTAGCTTTTGTTACCTGTTCTTCAAGATGGATGACTACGACACGAGAGAGGAATGAGAAAGAGAGAGAGAGACAGAAGCTGACGACTCTGGATGATTTTCCGTAGCCCTCCGGCCGCTTGTCGGTCCCATACGTCCTACTCTACTACCTCCCCATCACCTGCAACAACGAGATACGGATGCTGTATGCTGGCGCCAAGGAGCTGATGCGGAATACGAGCGAGGTCGGCCGCGTGATTGATATTCAGGAGGCGGAAGACCTGGAGGAAATACCGCAGAAGTTGGGCTCTGCGTGAAGAGGCGGGGGAATTTGAGAAGATGCATGAGTGTGTTTATCGCGGGGGCACGCATTTATAGACAGTGACAGGGGAACCACAGGCTTGACCCCGTCGTGATGAAGAGCGGAACGGTCGTCGGCAGCATTCGCGCACATAATACAATTTCTTCGCCAGTAAAGCTCATCTGTAAAAGTTTGATGGATATCTTCCTTTTGATTCCTTCGTTGAAAAGCGCTAAATTCATTATCAGAGGAACAAACATTTTGTCCCCCGCTCCCATCTACTCGGGTAACACATCCTTCTCGTTCAATCCAATCTCCTTGCTCACGTTCCTCACCACCTCCTTGAACGCCAAACACGCAGGGCTGTCGGGGAAGCTGTCAAAGAAGCTCTCGCCATAGTCGCACGCCATGCCGATGCGCGGGTCCAGCGGCACGCTCCCCAGGAACGGCACCCCCATCTCCTCGGCCAGCGCCCGCCCGCCGCCCGTCGTCGCGCGGAAGATCTCGCTCTGGTTCGTGCACTTGGGGCACACGAAGCCCGCCATGTTCTCGGCCAGGCCGAGTACGCGGATGCCGGCCTTGCGGCAGAAATCAATCTCCTTGCGGACGTCGAGGAGCGAGACCTCTTGGGGTGTGGTGACGACGACGGCGCCGTCGATGCCGCTGTCGCGGAGAAAGGTGTTCACGCTGAGGTGCTCGTCGCTGGTGCCGGGAGGGGTGTCGACGAGCAGGAAGTCGAGGGGCCCCCATTCGACGTCCTTGAGGAACTGCTTAATGAGGCCGTTCTTTTTGGCGCCGCGCCAAATGATGGCGGCGTCGCGGTCGGGGAGCATGAACTGGATGGACATTACGCCGAGGTTGTCGAGGACCCAGACGGGGGACCACCCCGCGCCCGAGACGTGGATGGTCTCCGCCTCGACGCCGAGCATCTTGGGGATCGAGGGCCCGCAAATGTCCGTGTCCATGACGCCGACGCTGCTGTCCGGGTTGGTGGCGAAGGCGTGGGCGAGGAGGGTGGTGAAGGTGGACTTGCCGACGCCGCCTTTTCCGGAGAGTACGAGGATCTTGTGGGCGATACCGGAGAGGCGGGAGGCGATGATGGGTATGTCCGGGTCCGGACCTTTGACGGCGGTGGCGGCGCAGATTTCCTTGTTTGGGCAGCCGGCGCAGGAGTCTGCGGTGCCGGCTGTTGCGGATTCCGGGCCGGGGCAGTGTTCTGGTTCCGGGGCGACGAGGGAGGGCTTCTGTTTTAGGGGGTTGGCGAGGACGTCTTGGACCGACTCTGGGTCCGCCTCCAAGGAGGGGGCCATGGTTCCTCTGCTCGCCGGTTTTGTTGTGTGAGATGAGTGATGGGTGTCTACTGGGGTTGAGAGAAGGTGAGGATTGCGAGAGAGAGGTGGGACCCAGCAGGACCAGGATTTTTGAGGGTTGAAGGGGCGTTTGGATTAGATGGAGGAATTGGCTTGAGGTTGAAAGAGAGAGAGAGCTTTGGTCCGGAACCGGCGTTGAGTTGAGGCCAAGTGAAGTGAAGTTGATTGATAAGCCGGATTTCAAACAGCGGTCCTATGGCGACGGTCAGGATTGAAATTCTTCACAGCTTTAGGTTATCCTTATGGATTTTGACCGCTAAGTACCAATACTGTTGTTGAGTCGTTTTCTCCTAAAAGAAGTTGGCGATTGTTGCTTAAGTGTAGGTTCAACTTTACTTCGGGTGGAGGCGAGCGGTTGACAAAACGAGTTGCTGTGAGTGGTGGCAAAACCACCTCCAGAGTTCGCCGATGGTTACAACCCCACTTAACAGAGTCACTCTTCAGCACTAACTCTGCTGATGTAACCAAAAGCCAACTAAGCTTTGCAGAACTAACAATTGCCTTTATGGAAAGCAAACAAAAACACCCAAAACATTGTCAATCAAAATGTTTCCGACAACATCTTGACATGTAGCCGGATAGGATAAAAGGAAAGGTCCATCCAGGATTCGAACCTGGGCCTACGGAAGGTTCTGAGAGTCAGAATCCGACGTCCTAACCAACTAGACTAATAGACCAATAACAGCTTTTGGTTGATAATTACGTGGGACCGGATAGCATGCTAAGATTGGAGAGTGTGAATGGAGAGATTTGTTGCCTGGGTACGGAGCGCTCTCAGCTCCTTTCCTGCGGGATATGCAGCTGGGCTGTGAAGGGGTCTACAGGGTCCCCTTTCCAGTGAGGGGCAGATCTTATCGGGTCCCAATCACCCCGCTATGCCCCTCGCAAAATTTCTACAGCCAGCCCGACTTTATCAGATCCGAAGAGACCACCCCTCGGACGTAAGACGTAGTCCATTTCGCCCCTAGAATAGAATCGGCCCACGCCTTCTTTTTTTCGTCCAAGCCTTGTTTTGAGTCACCATAACTTTCGTTGACGGCATTGGCGATTCTCTCCTTCAGGAAAAAAAACCCCCTTTTTTTTTAAAAATCAAAATACACAATAATGTCGCCCTCCGCCGACCTCCCCGAGACGCGCGAGACGCTCGAGGCCATCGCGGCCGCCGACCAGTCCCAGACCATCGCCGAGCTGCGCAAGACGCTCACTTCCGAAACAACGCCCCTCCCCATCCGCTTCCGCGCCCTCTTCTCCCTCAAGCACGTCGCCTGCAACAGCAAGGGCGCCGATAGCGAGGCCGCCATCGAGGCCATCGCCGCCGGCTTCACCTCGCCCTCGGCCCTGCTGAAGCACGAGCTCGCCTACTGTCTCGGCCAGACGGCCAACCTCGCCGCCGTCCCTCACCTGCGCATCGTCCTTTCCGATCTCAAGGAGGACCCCATGTGCCGCCACGAGGCCGCCGAGGCCCTGGGCGCGCTGGGCGACGCCGGCCAGCTAGGGATCCTGAGGGAGTACAGAGATCGCGCGGGTGAGGATATTTGCATTGTCGAGACCTGCGAGATTGCCATTGACCGCATCGAGTGGGAGAACTCGGAGCAGAGGAAGCTAGAGAAGTTGCGCAAGAGGTATGATTCGCATGTGGGAGGGAAAGAAGGGGGTATCGTAATTCACTATGCTAACGCCTATGCCTTCATGATTTACAGCGACTTCACATCCGTAGATCCAGCGCCTCCCATGGAAGAGTCGCAGCGCACCGTGCCAGAGCTCGAACAGACGCTCATGGACCCGAAGCTGCCCCTTTTCCTGCGCTACCGCGCCATGTTCGCTCTGCGCGACCTCGCGTCGCCGCCCGACCTGCCGACCGCCGTTCCCGCCGTGCTTGCCCTCGCCAAGGGCCTCACAGACACGTCCGCCCTGTTCCGCCACGAGATCGCCTTCGTCTTCGGTCAGCTGTCGCACCCCGCCTCTATCCCCGCGCTGACCGAGGCGCTCAGCAACACTGAGGAGGCGAGCATGGTGCGTCACGAGGCCGCCGAGGCGCTGGGAAGCCTGGGAGATGAGGAGGGCGTCGAGGCGACCCTGCTGAAGTTCTTGCACGATAAGGAGAAGGTTGTGCGCGAGAGCGTCATCGTGGCGCTGGACATGGCCGAATTCGAGTCAAGCGGTCAGACTGAGTATGCGTTGATTCCCGAGGCGGCCAAGGCGGCTGCGTGAACATGGGTTTTTTTTCTTTTGGAAGTTGGGTCGGCAGGTAAATATCGGGTGGGATTAGGTACTTAAAAGCGACGCGCAAAAAGTTTGGTGCATTTCAGTTGTTATGAGACCATCTGGAAATAAATCAGTTAGTAAATGGGATGGCTATCTCGGTCGGAGTAGAGGCATTGACGTACTTGAAACCACACTCGCAGGTGAAGAAGATGGTGCTGCCTTCGTCTGCACTGCGAAGCTGCACGGCAGTGAAGCGGACCTCCTCTCTACCGCACTTCGGACATGTCTCCCTAATTGTGGCCTCGGTATTGACGTTGGCCCTGTCGACGGCCTGCACGTTGGACTGGAGCTTTTGTCGGAGCTGCGAAGGGAAATCGGAAGGCTTGGTCTGGGTAATAATCGTCTTGGCGCCCGTGTCTGAATTGAACTGTTAGTCTCGGTCTTGCAGGAGAGTAACCACATCATCCTACCCTTATTGTCGGCACCGCAGCAGTCGCAGGTAAGGGTGTTCTTCTCCGTGCCCATTGACGCGGGCAGAAGGTTACCGCAATCGGTGCAGAAGACAAGGGTTCCAATGGCGGACATGGTTGCGGTGAGATATGTGTTGGTCTCTCAGTTCTACGGGAGTGTGTGGTGATCAACGTAGTACCGCGGCAGAAAGAGACCGACAAAATATTTCTTACGAAGAATTTCGGACAGTCCCTACCTTACCTTATCGTTATCTTGGACCGAGTCCCTTATCGATTGTCTTCAATCTTCCGTTCCAGCTTGTCTCCACCCTGTTGACGTATTATGTAATCCTGTTAATTAATGGCTGTAGTGTAGACTGGGTAAGACAGAGAAGTCAGTATACCTTACTCGCCAGGGGCAGGGACACCCGACAGGTAAGAACGGAACAACTGGCCACTGGTTGGCCGCTCTTGCCGCCTAAAGCTTCTGCACGGACCACGCGACTGGACAAGGGTCCTTCCACGCGAGGCTGTCGCAACCTCTCAACCTTCTCATCATCTTCACGACGACAAGGACGACCCGATCGCAAGAGATCGTCCTTTCCCTTGCTGCGATTCTTCGGCTTGGGACTATGCGACAGGCACCTTTATATTCTGCCTGACCTCAGTCTCAATCCGTTCCATCTTCCTCGACCGACAAGCGCTTTTTCCTCGGCTGCGCGTTTCCACGTCCGATATCATCCCCGATCAGCTTCACCAGTGGCTCCGATTCTCCGTCCTCCTCACGAAATAACATGTCTTGAGGCCCGGACTAGGTCCGAGGAGACAGAAAAAATGGTCAACAGCCAAGGGACCGTCCACAACGGCCCACCTAATGGTGGCTACATGCAGCCGCAAGCTGCAGAACAACGTCCGATGGCGCGACCGTTTACGCTGTCTGAGGCACTGCCTTATTCTCCTCAAACCTCCGTCATTCCCTTTACCTCAGGTGGGTGACTATGCTTGTTAATATTTGAGGTCGCCCGTCAAATTGACCTGGTTCAGATCTCATTCCCGACCCGACACTCGGTTCTGGCTCGCTTGCTTCTAGCATCTCGCATATGTTCAACAGTCAGGAGTACGACAGCCTGAGCAAGGAAGCAACTGGACAAAATCATAATCATGGGATGAAGCACCTGAAGTACGCAGTCGATCACGTACTGCACGACTTGAAGCCCAATCAGCGGACTTATTTGTGAGTTGAGCACTGCCGTACCTGGGCTGACTCTTTTCTGACACCTGTTTTGTGCAGCAAATTCAAGACTGTCCCCAAAACGAATTCGAATACGGCCAGTAGTCCAGCAGGATCTTTCCAGAGCCTAAGTGCTGGCCTTTCCCCGGTAGCGAAGATGGTGTTCGATAGGGCTCCAACATTCGTCAAGCCTCCGGGAGCATCTAGTGCTACCTCTGTCTCTGCCAACGGACAAATTACCCAACAGCCGCAGCAACCTCCATCGACACCGAAATCTGCTCTGCCATCGTCGAAGCGTCCATCAGCGAGTGCAGAATCTAACCATGGAAACAACTTCCGCTTCGAAGTAGCGATTCCATCCAAGAAATTCGATCCCAGCGCATACGTAGAGGTCCCCGATCAACCCGCTCCACAGCCAGCTACCGTCAACCCGTCCGACGTCACTAGAATCGTCACACCCACCCAGATTGCTCCGAGGCACCTCACTCCCACTCAACCTCAGCACTCAGCGCCGGCAGCCCCTGTACAGCCTGTTTCCGCCCAACCGAATCCTACGCAGCCTTTAATGCCGTCGACTACACAAGGACCACCGTCCGCGGTCGAAGCCCAGAAGACGAAGTTCGCAATAGAATTGCCTCGCGCCCCTGGATTCAATAAGGATGAATATCTCGAGATGGCAGCCCTGGACTCTCCGGATGAGCCGACAGGATTGTCTATGCGGAGACAAGATGGTGCTTATCAAAGCCGACAGGATAATATCAGTACCAATCTTAACCAGAAGCAACGGGCAGAAGCAGCGCTCCAGGATCTTGAGCGATTAATCAAGAGCGTTCTCGATGCCACTAGAAATGTGCTCGGAAATGAACCTGGTTATGAACAGGTTGCTACGCTAAACTCCGAAAATGAGGCCATCTTGACGGGTGCCACGCAGCAGAAGCTGCAGACTGCCATCCAAAAGTCCATCGAATTAGGAAGCTACGGCGATGCGCCAATAGAGGAACTCCAGTATGTTCAGAAGTTGAGCGACGCGGGCCTGACGCATACACTCAACCTTGACTATCGAATTGACGAGTCTTGGGGCGAGTCCGACGTCACAGGCTGGCTAAATCAGCTTCCAGAGATTGAGATGGGGTTGAAGACTGCTCGCACGTGCCTGCGCATAATGTGCGGTGGCAGAGAAGAGAAGCAGATCTACTCTGAGGAGATCATTCAGAAGTCGACCGACGTCTTCAAGGGGGTTGTCGAGGGCATTGTTATTCCCGTTGTCGAGATGAGGGGCAGTGGTCCAACATCCGCTCTATTCAAACTATTACAACCTCACAAAAAGGCGATTGGCCCGATTCTCACGAACTGCCAGAAGCTGTTCGCGCTGCTTGCCAAACTCGTCACAAGCATAGAGCTTTCAGACACTACCCTCGGCATGCTAGAATTCGCCGCATCGAGCTTGCTTTTCGTCGACAATGCCTACCTGGAAAAAGACTCCGTTGTTGGCGTACAGCGATTCGATGGCATTCGCCTGGTCGCAATGGAGATGCTCTGCCAGATTTTCCTCGCCAAACCTGACCAACGCCGTGGCATCTTTGACGACATCCTCACCTCGTTGGAAAAGCTCCCCGTTGGAAAGCAGAGTGCTCGCCAGTTCCGACTATCGAACGGCGGAAGCATTCAGCCGGTTTCGGCGCTGATCATGCGTCTTGTCCAGGCCAGCTCTGGCAAGGTTGACGAGAAGGGCACGCGCAGTCGCCTAGCCATGATGCAAAATGAAGATCCGGACGAGGATGAGCTGATGACCCAGCCTGGCAAACAGACCGTGGCTGCGACTGTCAAGTCAGAGGATGCCGGTGCATCGCAACATGTTCTTGCCTTGGAGGAGCTCAAGGTTGTGGCCTTGCCATTAACTGAAGGCTCGACGCACAACGCGAACTACGTGGTCAATTTCATGGTCAACCGCGCCCTGAAGTCCACAAAGTCCGGCGACACTCCTTACCGCAATCTCCTCGACCTTTTCGTGGAGGACTTTACAGAATGTCTCGACTCTCCCGACTGGCCGTCCGCTGAGCTCATTCTTCGTCAGATGACATTTTACATGATGAAACTCTGGGAGGGAGATAGGACCGCCGCGCCTGCCAAGAACATGGCCCTTGAACTTCTTGGCGTCATGAGTGCTGCAGTTTCAAAACTCCGCTCACATGTTCGCAAGGTCGCCTACTCGATGGATGGAAGCGACTCAAATGAATTATTACGATATCTATCAGAGTTGGCAACCTCTGCGCTGGAGCAGAAAAGTCGAATCGAGCATGACGTCTCTTGGTCAGGACCATTCCGAACGACCCTTGAACACCTTCAGCAGCGGTGTGGCGACGACCCTCACTTGCAAGGTGCCATTTCCTTCCTGATTGTAGATTGGGCGCAGAGAATCTTCACCGGGTACGATGGCTTGCAAGAAACCAATGATTCGCTGGACCACGAGTTTGGACGGCTTGCCTTCCGCCTACGGATGATGATCGAAGACCGTCGGTGGCTATCCAACGAGTACACCTTCAAAGACGTCAACAACAGCCACGCAAAGTTGGCATATTCCATCATTCTACTCCGCTCACCGTTTTGCGAACACTTCAGAGCTATGCTCAACGTTCTGCTTAACGCCATGGCTAGTGACCAGGCCACCGTTCGCAGCAAGAGTCTCAAGAGTATCAACCAGCTTTTGGAAACAGATCCGGCTATCCTAGACGGTGACTCCGTTGTGGTTCATTTAATCATCAACTGCTCAAGTGATTCGTCTCCTCAGGTGCGCGACTCCGCGATTGGCTTGATGGGCAAGTGCATTGGCCTGCGCCCGAGACTTGAAGATAAGATGGCAGAAAGAATCATTGAAAGGTTCATCGACTCTGGCATCGGAGTGAGGAAGAGGGCAATGAAACTGGCCCGAGATATTTACCTCCGCAACCAAAGCCGGGAGATCCGCAGCTCTATTGCCAATGGCTTGCTTCATCGTGTGCAAGACCCTGATGAAGGCGTTCGAGAGCTTGCTCGTCAGATGATTGAGGAGGTTTGGTTCGCCCCGTTTTACCAGGTCAACGACACAGCAGCCTTCAAAACGTCACTCACCGATCACGTTGCTCTCATGATCCAGACGGTTAAGTCTGGCAACGTTGGCGCAGTCCTCGACAAAGTTCTTCAGTCCATTCTGGGTGGACAAAACAAATCCCAGAACGGCCCTTTCGGTGTCAGCATGAAGCTGGTTGAGAAGATGTTCGAGCTTATTGATAATCTCGACTCCGACGATCCTAACATCCCATCCGGAAGAGATGCGTTGCAAGTACTGCAAATATTTGCCAAGGCAGACCCCAAGCTTTTCACTTTTGAGGAGATAAGGCTGCTTAAACCCCATCTCGCTAGCATAAGTGGTGCTGATGACTTGGCCGTCTTCAAAGCTGTGACAATCATCTATCGGCAGATCTTGCCGCAACTGACCGCGAAATATGCGGACTTTCTCCGGGAAGTGAGAGAACAGCTTCAAAACTCTGTTGGCAGACTTAACAAGAACCTTCTGGATGATGTTGTTGCTTGTCTGTGGATTATTGCTGATCTCTTGGACAATCGTGATAAGCTGGCCCATCTGGGCGCTTCTAGTTTACGTGGAGTCGCCAGCATGCGAAATACACAGATGGACGCAACCAAACTCATGAAGTTTGCCAGATATTCGATAATTGTCGGAATGGTCGGCAAGCATTGCGATTTGGACTCCGAGCTTGCCGTCTTCCTCAAAATCTTCCCAAAGTATTCAGGCAAGTCTGTGGCAAAGCTCATGGTCGACAATTTGTCGCCGTGGGCCGATGCCTCACAGCCCATGGAGGCCCGGAAGCATGCCCTCGACGCCATCGGCCTCATCTGCCAGGCGCATCCCCGAAACTATGTGTCACCGAACGTGTACACCAAGTTTCAACAAGTTTTCGAAGCCAAAGTGCCGGCACTTGAGAGCACGATTCTCCGGTCTTTCAAGGAATTCCTCCTCACGGAGGAAAAACGATCCGAGGCTGCCACTGCCGCCGCTGCCGCCGGCTACGAGACTGACAAGAAGCGCGAGCTGACAGTGATGGGTGGAACGAGCTTCGATGACGTGGCCAGTGCAACTACCCAACGCTTCCTGAAGGAGGTTACTCGTATAGCTCTGTCATCGCAAGATGAGCACGCCTTCCTCGCAGTAGAAGTACTTGGCAGCATCAATCGACAAGGTCTCGTGCATCCCAAAGAAACGGGTGTGACTTTGATCACCCTGGAAACATCATCGATGACCAAAATATCCGAGGTCGCATTCATGGAACATCGAGCGCTCCACGAGAAACATGAGACCGTCATTGAAAGAGAGTATGCCAGAGCCATACAAGCCGCCTACGAATACCAACGAGACATCGTTGGAGATACTCGTGGCGCCACGACGAACCCTTTCCAGTCCAAGCTTCATCTTCTGATGGAGGTGCTGAAAGTGAGTAAGACAAAGAACCGACAAAAGTTCCTCGAGAAACTTGTGGGCCAAGTCGATTTCGACTCTTCGAAGCTTGATGTTTCTAAGCCGTTACCTGCGCATGTCGAATTCTCCCGCTTCATGATCGAGAACCTCGCCTTCTTCGATTATGTAACCGTTGGAGAAGTGCTAGTCACTGTGCATGCGATGGAAAAACTGTTCTCATCAACCGGATCCAGCATGGCGCACGTCATCGAGTCCGAAATCTTCAATATGCGCATGGACTTGGATAAGCCGGACGACCCGCAAGCCAACGGTGAGCCGCAGCAACCCGAGTTGAATATTTCTCCCAAAAGGCTTCGCCAACTCACTTCCGGTTCCATCATACTTCTCTGTCTTTGGGAGGCAAGAACATACCTTCGGCGTCTCTATGGCTTGGGCAGCAAACGCGAGACCAAAACCAAAATGGCAGCCAAGGATCTTAGCAAAGCACCTACGAAAGTACAGGGTGTAACTGGAGATAAGTTCTGGGAGGAGGTGAACTCACATATGAATGGCCTCGCAACCCAGGAATCCACTTTGCAGAAGTGCAAGGCCTTCGTGGAACTGATGAACGTCGACAAAGAGTTCAAGGTTGTCGATGAGGATGATATGGACGGCGAAGATGCTGACACTCCTAGTGAGGGTGAAGAGGATGGTCCTGCCGGTGATGGAAGAGGCCGGAAGCGTAAGGCTGGCGCACTCCCTGGCGGTCGCAAGAAACGCGCGCGCTCCACCTCCCGACCGAGACCCCGCGGCCGACCTCGCAAAAACCCGGTGGAAGTTGTCGACGACGATGCAGATGGCGACTTCGACGACATGGACTTTGCCTAAGCGTCCACATGCGATGTTTCCGCGTTATTGGAGGCGGCCACGCATTTTATTCGATATTGCAGATGCAACCACTGCTATAGACCATGGGTAGCAACGAGTATGATTTCTCTCCCATTTTACATGTACATCATCATCTTCGCTTCACACACATATAACGGCATTCACGGGTTGAGAGAGGGTTTGCATGAAGAACGGCAAAGACATTTTCAGGTCGAGGCATGTTGCAAATTTTGGGCTTGCCGTTCATTCTACTACATTTGAGAGGGTTTTGGCCGACTAGGCACGGGAGGGTTGGTCGGTACTACAAAAATCAGGGGCGTTTTTTTGTCTGATGACGAGCGGGAAATGAGAAAACAACGTGGGAGGCCTATAGGAAAGATCTCTCTTCATGTCCTCTTTGGGACGGGGATTGGGGATGCGTAAATTCTTTTTAGTACTTTTTTTTTTCTTTTCTGCTGCTTTTTAAGATGATACCTCCCTTTCTTTCCCCCGCTTAGCCAGATTGCGAGGGATTGCAAGTAACTTGAGATACAAAGTCAATACCAAGATGGTCATGTGTGACAATTGCGCTCTACAGCTATGGTGAGTCATGCTACTAGGTATCACCGGGATCTATAGCTGAAATGTTTGCACCAGTGGCATCGAGGGGCGTTGGGACGCCTCAATGTAGATACAGCTCGAGGATTTCTAGAGGTTTGCCGTTGCCGTAGCCCTTGACCTGGCTTCATTAAAGAAAGATTGCACGTTGACAGCAGCATGTTTACAAGTGAGTTGAGAACTCGCTAGGAAAGGGGTTCATTCCCCTATTGATTCGTGTACGCTCCTAGCTAGGTATCTTGTGTAAAACTGAAAACTCCCCCAGGAGTGACGACCTGTCATACCTAATCCCCCGCTCTAATAAAAATGGTAAAAAAAATCCCATCAGTCTACAATCCATGCCTTGCTAAACGCCACACGGAAACGCCAGATGGAAACCGGAATGTGACCGTTCCTTCCTATGCTGTTCATGCCAGCTGCATACTGCCGCGCCCTGCCCCACGGATGCAGGTGCCTTCTCGAGAAGCAATCATGGCTTACTCGCTTGGGGTATCAACTCAGTTTATATGTTTTCTTCGAACCAAGGAAAAATGTGTAGGTTGGTGGTGGTACATGGACTAGCAGATCCATTCTGTCCGCTAGGTGTCATTACATCGTGAATGCCACAGATAGCGGCTTGTTGTTGGTGGTTGCGAAATTTCTGCTTCTTTGGTTTGATTTGGTTCAGACTTGCTCGCTAGGGTCGACAGTCTCGAGCCAAACTCGAACAGCCTCTTTGAGAGTGCTTTCGCGGTCGCGATCTACCGCGTGGATTGTAGCATCAGGGGTGTCATGGTCTCGTTCCTCGATGACATCACGGATGATTTCATCGAGGGCCGACAAGACCACCGTCTTACATTGGTCTCGGGGCACCTCTTGAGATGGGACTGGGATGCGGGTGGTGTGACGAGAATCGACAGAGACCGATGCTTCGCTATTGCTGCGGTCTCGCCGCTTGCTCGTTGATCGGGACGAATTCGATGAGCTTTGTTTGCTCACTTCGTTACTCTGTGCAATAACCCTCTCGACAGCATCAATTAGTACCTCATCGAGGCTGGCAATTTGCTCTTCAATGAGCTCATCATCCAGCTGCGTCTCGTAGGGGAGAATAGACGGCGTCATGGGAGCAGTGCCGTAGGCGCTTGAACCCGCAGACCCGAGAGGCGCTGACCTGTCTGTGAATGGCTTTGGTCGGATGAGTCGGCGGTAACGGACTCGCTTGATCGTATGGGTCGTTGTGTCTGCTATGAGAGCGCTGCTGACGTCGACCCACCGATCGGCAGGCTGCTCCGTAGAGTAGAAGGGCTGCGTGATGAACGGGGTCGGCTCGGCTCGCATAGACTTTCTGATGTCTTCCATAAGGTTATCTTGGGGAGGAACCGCCTGAAGAATGAAATCTTGATGGTACCGCTGGAGGAAACCGGCAACATTCATCGGAGAATCGCCATCGATTGTAATGCGGGAAAATTGCTCGAAGCCCTCCAAACCATTGCCAATGCCTGGCGTAGACAGATACCCACTGCTCGACGGTGAGCTGACTGCAGTTTCAAAAGAGGTGATGTAGTCAGGGAAGGGTATGTCAACGTCTATGACCCCGTCCTCGGCATTAATCGATGTTTTGACTGGAGAACGGAAGTCACCGCTGGGGTCAGGGACTCGCTCAGGGAAGGGGACCCTCTCAGGAGCGTCGTCACCGGCCGGATCATCGAAACCTCGCGGTGTTGTGGGACCGTTGCCATTGCTCTCAGTCTTTCGACTGCGATCGTCTGTTCGGCGATAACCTTCAGGCCCGACTTCCCGAACCATTTCTGCCAACCTATCCCGACGCCCTCCCGGGCCTGATTTGGTGGGAGATGTAGGGTTGCTACTGTAGGGTTGGCTAGGAGTGGTCAAGCCCGTCGAATCCCTCCTCTTCCCGTTCCACAGCGTGCTGATGACACTACCCCAACGCGAGCTTGACATGCGAGAGTCTGTACTCGCGGAGCTGACGTGCCCCGAACTTTCACCGCGCTTTAGTGTCCTTTTGAGGTCGTCTGCAGCAACGCTGCCACTGCTGCCAGGTCTGAGACTTCGTCGGTTCTCAAATCTTTGGGCGGTTGCGAAGTGTGGAATGGTAGTCTCTGGGGTGATCGTGGTCGTTGTTGCCGCACTGCTCTTCCGGCTGACCTGGTCGTTTCCAGGAATGGGCAAATTCGATCGAATCGAAGTAGCATCTGAAACACGTCTTTCATGATGGCTCCCCATGCTCAAGTGCGCAAGTTGAGGCGGAACACCGGAAGCGCGTGTGCTTTGGCTGACAGTACGGGAATGTGAAACTCGCCTCGGCCCAGTTCGTCGATTAATCTTTCGCCTCAGTGATTCTTCGCGAAGGATTGGAATGATCAATGAAGGTGGCGATTGGGAGAAAGCTCCAAAAGAGGTCGAATTACTCGGCCGGTGAGCTCTGGCTGAAGAAAGGTGCTGGTGAGATGGTAAGAAAGCAGAAAGAAGGAATATGAGCCGTCGTGCCATCATCTTGTCTGACGAGATGATGATGGTTCGTGCTGGGAGCGACAGGTCATCCTCGCCTTTGGCCTTTTGTTGTTGATAGTGCTTTCGGCGGTACCATGCCGGACTCATTGCGTTCAGCCAATCGGTGTGGGTAGCAAGAAAGCCGGTCAAGAGGTTGAAGAAAAAGAAGCCATGTTCTTTCTCGCCAGCCTTTCTTGCCATCCACCTCGCTTCGTCTCGCCAAATTCCCCATCTCCCCTGCGCTGTGATGACCCGTTGTGCACTCAACCCCGTCACAACTCGAATTCTGGCAGCATCAGCCTCCTGGACAATTTTGTCGTCGTTCTGTAGGCAGTGGGGCTGTAGAGCTATGACTTTCGCGTTGGTCTTGGGAGGCTTGACAAAGTGAGGCTCATCGCTTCTTCTACCACCCATGGATGGAGCTCTGCTGGCATAGGATGACACTGAAGGAGGGTATGGGTCTGGCGAAGATATGTCGGCCTGTTTAAGCAGCACACCAAGCGTGGTGGCAACTACGCCCTGGAGGTGGGTCAAGGTTCGCATGATGATATCCCAGTGTTGAGTAACAGTGTCCATCCTGTCGTCGACATCGGTGGAGCAGCTAGAATCCAAGGAGTCGATGGGGAAGCCGGATCCAGACATGGTCCAGCCTGAACGGCGGGCCGAGCTCATGGAAGATGGAAAGGAGTCTTGCTCTGTGTAGGAGCTAGAGCCGCGGTAAGTTGACCTGATGGTGGAGGGAGGTACCATCTGCGCAGAACTGGGTGGAAGTTGAACCACCAAGACAACCGCGTACATTGGTGTACGCTTCTGTTTGGGTTGCAACTTCTTCTTCTTGGGGGCGTTTGCGTCTTCAGCAGACTGCGGAAAGGGAAAGCCGGTGTTGTGATCCGAGAATCGACTCAAAGGAGTGTCGCTCTGTGCCTCGTCATCACTAGGTAGTAACACGGGAAATAACCTTGTGATGAGAATCTTCCTCCTCTCGGGGAGACTCCGGGCATTCGGTGCAGACGACGTGAACGACTGGTGCGGTTGCAGATGCGAAACATTGTCCGATGTATAGGATTGCGCCAGTCTGCTGGATCGTATACTCGACCGACCGATGGAGCCACGGCCGTCACCAAGGTAGGAGCCGCCATATTCGGGGCGGCTTTCGGTAGGGACGATATGGACCTTTGTTGAAGTGCCCTTGTAGGCCATTAATTCCGAATTTCCAAACACGGAGCCTGCAAAGGCATGGATCTCGTCATTGTACTCTCTTCGTGAGCGCTGGAGGTCCGTCTCAGCTTGAGATTGAGTTCGGCCTTGCATCGAGACCCTGCGATCGAACGCGCCTTGGCGCGGTTGGGGGCTGTCCGGCTGAATCACTAGAGGTCGCGATGACTGGTTCAGACTACTCTTTCGCGGCGAAGTTGGGCCTCTGTACGAGTCCTGCACAGTCCCCATACCAGTTGCCGGGCGATCTCCTGGGGTCATGGAAGGCGGCTTTGGAGGCCCTGGGTGGCTATCGAACAGTAGCTGAGCTGGAAAGGAGGCGACAGCGTCTTGCATGATGAGCATGCGAACATGGCGGGTGTCGAGTTCAACATCTCCATCATAGTCAAAGGCACCTGCGATGGATGCCAGAGGGAGACCGGAGGTCATGGACAGTGGAAAGACTTGCTCGTTTCGATGCTGGTACAAAGCCTCGGTGTCGGGGAACAAGAGGTTCCGCGTATGAATATCCTCCTGTCTAGATTCGAGAGACTGCGGAGCCTCATTGTAGGTGTTATTGTTGTTATTGCTATTGGATTGCGATGAGGCAGAAGCACTTGTAGCACTCGCGGTGCCCAAGCTAGTGAAGAGCTTCCCTATCATCGTGAGTGAGATGTCTGGGAATTGTCAGAGGACGAGAGGCTGCTGGACTCTTGTCGATCAGGTATTGGGAGAGCGTGCCATTTTTTCAGCAGAGCACACGATTTTGATAGATCAGATGGAAAAGCATTGCTTCTGACAGAAATTCCATGTGATTGAGGGTGAATAACGTGATGAACCGTGATGGTAGAGGTGAGGCTCAATCGAAGGTCGGCATATGGTGGTGAGAGGCGGGCTGAGACCAACAGAGTTGAGGGGTGCACAGGAGATGGAGAGGCCTTGCCGTGGAGCCGAAGCTTAATGGCGATGAGTCGGCGGCGGTTGTTCGAGGTTGGGCAAATCGGAGGTGGCTCAAGTGTTGTAGCAGCGAGATGCGATGCAAGCTTCCGCTCTCTATAACAGACGCACGCACGCGAGCAGAATTGGAACTCTTTTTTTCCCTTTTTTTTGCCTCGCGGTTTCCGCTCCGATTTGGGATGCGGGGATGAGGGTGGTTAAAGGTCGCGAGAGGAACCCTACGTCCACGTTGCGGGCGGGGGATCAGGCGCGTCAGGCGAGCGTTGGTGGTTGGAGAGAAATGCTGGCGCGAGGGAGTAATTGGCGGTGCAAAGACGCGATGGAATTCGGAATGTGGAAATAGTCAAGTCGAAGGCGGAGTGAGGAGTGTGAGAAGCAGTTGAATGTGACGCAGTCCGGGGGAACCAAGTGCTCGGGACAAAGGCGGCGATTGCAGTGGCGGATCAAGATGGGCCGGGGGGTTGGTTTGAGAGCTCGGTATTATCTGGGGGGGAGCGGTGCCGACTGCAGATGGTTTCGTACTTTGCCGAAGTGCAACGAAGGCGACAGAAGGTTACTAATGGATCAGGTCCTGTAGAACGCGGGACAGAAGGTGTAGGGGAACCAGCTCAGGTGTGCAGTGAGGGCGTGGGAGCGAGAGCGATGCTATTTGGACTGGACGGAACGGGACGGGTCGGCGTTGTCGTGGGAGTCGGAAAGTGGACGATATCGGTATGAAGTAATGCGAAGTGTTGTGGTAATGTAATGTTGGAGGTTTGGGAGCGTCGGAGATGGGCGGAATGTCGAGTTCAGTGTGTGGGTGTGGGTGTGGGTGTGGGTGTGGTGGCCGAAGTCGTATGTAAAGAGAGGCCGGGTTAAGCTTGGCGGGGAACTAATCGAGGATTCGAGGATGGGAAGACCTGGTCAACAGGCAGAAAAAAACGAAGGCAGGCTGCGAGAGCAAGAGGGTGGAAGGGATAAGGTAAGGTAGGCCGAGGGCGAGTGCGAATTGATCCGTTGTCGTTGTGGTTGTGGTGGTGGTGCTCTGGTGGTACAGTTGAAGGCGAGGATGAGGGTGCGGGAGAGGGTGCTAAGGTTTCCGGATTCTCAGCGTCGGTGTCGGTGCCTCACGGCAGAGAGATTGACATGGACATGGACGTGGTCCGGGAAGGGGGTGTGTGGTCAGGAAAATGCTACTTCGTCCATGGTGTTTGCGAATTGCGAGGGGACTCGAGCGTTGTTGATGGTGTTTTGGCCGAGGGAGAAGGCACGAGAGACGAGCAACAAGAACGAAGAGAGTGGCCAGGCGGCAGGGCAGGAGGGGGACGGAAGTGCCGCAATCGTCGGTGGAGCGGCAGCTGTGGGGCACGTACCAGTTGGAGTCTCGAAGCGTCTGAGGTACCTACTATCCAAGGTACCTAGGCACCTGGCATCTGGTATAGGTACCTTACCTTAGTCTTAGGTCATACTCTGTACATAGTAAATCTTCACTGTTCATCCCACGATGTCGACTCCACGACACTCGCACCTTTGGGTGGATTACCGTGGGCAGTGGAATAGAGTCATGGATCATTGGATCGTGCTCTTTTCCCCATCTGGATTTGGATTACTACGCAGTAACCAAGGACGCAGTAGCCAAGCGCAAAGGCACGCGGCACGTTGCTTTAGCTTTGTGAGGGCATCTCGGGTCAAGTACCCATCACATTACGTGGTCGTCTTTGTCAACTCCTTCCGCCTCATTGTCAGCTTCCCTCGCCGTCTTCCTTACCAGCATTGTCTTCTTTCCGTTCTTGGCTCTTGTTGGCTCTTGTTGACGGACATGCTGCCTCGCAGCTTTCCGAAGATACTTGGAGGAAGGCATGTAAGTGTGGCACGGCGGTACGTACCTTACTTCATCGCCTCTCCCGAAGGTACCTCGCCTTTCCTGGGTACCTTAGCTCGAGGCACCTCACGACGGGAGATGATGGATGTCTGACTGACAGGCTTGGTCAGCGGTTATGGCAACGGCAATGGCAACGGCAACGGAAGCGGCAGCCACATCATATCATCTCATGTCTTTCCACCAACCTCATGGTGCATGGCCGTTGTTGGATATCCTCCCTTTCTGCCTCTCTCTCCTGGCCTCTCGCAGGGTCTTTTCCCGAGGGCTGATACGGGTACCAGCAGCGTGACCGTTACAGGGCATGGCAACAGGGGGGGAACCCGGGACACCAAAGATACCTTTAGGTAGGGGGGCAAAGAGGGTTGCGGCTTGCGGCTGGCGGCTTGCCCTGCCTGCCGCCTGCCGCCTGCCGAACCTGTCATTGGGCTCGAATCTACGGAGACTATGTACGGATAGGTAATCTCAATCATTCTCCAAAAATGCGGTGAACAACAGCCCTTGCTCTGCCATCCGCGGTACGTATCTTTTATATAGGCACTTGCAAAGGTCGCGCGTGTTGCCTCGCCCGCTACTGCACGTCTGCTCTAGCGCCGCGCCGGCTCGGCGTCTGTCGGTTTCTGCCCCTCTAAAAATGGGTAGCTACTAGCGAGAGGGTGAAGGCGAGACAGAACGGGTCGTCGCTGCCAGGCTGTTTGGACTGTGGAAGAGGACCGGACGGACGATGGCCGGTACCTTGGGGCATCAGACTGCCTTGCAAGAGTCAAGAGTCAAGAGTCAAGAGAGGCTAAGATAGTTGAGAAATGAACATAAAGAACAAGAGGTGGAAAGATAGGAAAAAGAAGCAAGAAAACGTGTAACAAGCCAGGGTGGACCCAGCAGAGTACCTAATGGTCCCCTTGGGTACGGATAATGTCTCAACTGTGCAAACCAGAGAAATCATGCTTAGGTTAGGAACTCAGGACTTAGCGGGGTAATCTACCTCCATTTGACACCTCATGTTATGTGACTGGAGGACCCTGAGATTGATTGGAGCGAACTGGTGCCTCGTCATCTCTCACTCACATAATGCATTCTTTCAATCTCTCTTCTCTCCTCCTTCCTCCTCCTCCCCCTCCTCCTCCTACATCCATCCCTAGGATACCTCAACTCACCTATTACAAGTGTCCAAAACAACAACAGGCGGTGGCCATCACGACATGCGATGTGCCTTGCCCATGCTGTTGTTGCATGCCTGACTACATACTAATGTGAGATGCCGTGGCCCGTGGGTGCGTGTGCTGTCCCGCTCCGGTGGTAAATTGCATCGAGCTTCCCGGGTCACGGGGTGGTCCAAAAGCCCCAAACATCTTCAGCCGTCCCCGCCCTCACCCAATCCGCTGCTTTCTAATTCCGTCCCCAGGCGACTCCTTCCTCCGAGTTTGTCTCCGTGACTCCGTGAATCCTGTCATAGATGTCTCCAAAATCCCATGTCCGGGGCTTCCCTTTCTTTCGCGCCACTTGGTCAATCTTTTACTCTCTCTGCTCGTTAGCCCTGTCTCATTCTGTGGACTAGAGAGTACCACTTGCTTGGATCCCACCTCGAGGTACCACTCTCGTCAACAATTACCTTGCGGAAAAAGGCATCATTGGCGCCGCTGCTCCTGACGACGGCTACGACAACGTCTGCTGGTTTTCTTCTCCTCGAACCAGCATCGGCGTCCATCTGTCCCTGGCTCAAGGACCCCCCGTCGGGTGTCGACGTCCATGTCAATCAACTTGGAGCACATTGGGCTATTCTCGCTTGTCATCCTCTTGCGCCCGTCGTCTTGTCTGTGCCTCGTTCCCCGGTCTTTTGAGGCCACCGAGGGAGCATTCATCATCTTCTCCCTTGGAACAGTCCAACCTCAGACACAGACCAAGGTCAACTACAGTACACTCGGGCACCGACAAGTCAATGAGATAGACGCCCTGAGTCCCTCCGGAGTCCATCCGGTTCCCCGTCTCACAACATGCGTACGACTGGGAGATTTCGAGAGTTTAACAGGGCAGAGAGTCATGCCAGCAACTCCCAGAACAAGCCCTCATTCGACAACATCTCTTTTTCGGAGCCGAACCCGACGGACCTCGTTGATCCTCGTCCATATCTGCGCCCACGCCTCCCTGGCAACGAGGCGTGAATTTTCTGCCTGTCTCTCACTCCCCTGCACACCCTGAACAATCAAGGAGACCTAGCATACCCCTGCGGAACCGATAGATGTTCCCCAAATTACATCAGTCGTCGGCAAAGGGTCCTGTAGCCGACAAATGACTGTTCGTCTTGTCTTGGTCTGCCCGCCACCGCCCCGTCCTTCCATCCACCTCTGCTCCAGCTCAACAGTTGTCATCCCTCTCCCCGCCGTGGCCAGCCCCTCCCAGGTCAAAGTAAACAGCGCTCACGGGTCCGAACGGTCCAAAATGGAGGGGCACGAGGGGGAGCGATGCAAGTCAACGTCGACCCTGCTGCTGTTCGACATGACTGCAGCGTGGAGCAGCACCACAAATGCCTGATAACTGATAAGGATGGAATCCCCTCGTGCTGGCTTGATCTGGGGCGGACGGCCGAGCGTCGAACGGATAAGAAGCACTCACCAGGTTACAATGACAGCGCACTGAGTGCGCGGAGCTCTAAACTCCAGACTCAAGTCGCTCAGCGAGATTTCACTCGGTAAGAGACGGACACCTTGGGTTTGGATCACCAGTCCGGGTCTCCAATAAGACTCCAGGATTTACCCAAGGTACCTTCTCCAAAGGGCACGTATCCGTACCTCTTCTCCTACAGGCGTCACCTCCCGGTGCATCGTTGCCACAAGCCATCAACGCAGGTCACAGGGGTCGTAGCTCGCTCCGCCATGCCGACAACCTCAACGCGTCTTCTCCCGGCCCCCCGTTTGCCATATTGCCTGGGTTGCCCAATCATTCTCCGATCAAGCTTTCCCATGCTCTCCTTTGTTCATTGTCAAGGACCTCGGTGCTTCCAGCAGCGCAATTGCACGTCCCTTCCCTACACCCAACTGCTTCACCGACCTTCCCTTATTGCTACTCACAGACCATCGGCCTAACGTTGCCCCAACTCGGCAGGGTATATGCCTCCTGCTCGGCTTCCGGAACAGGAACCTAGAATACCTGTCACTTGCGGCCATCCCCGGGCATCTCCTTTGGTGTACGTCGGGACCAGAGCGATGGGTACTCAAATTCTCAAAGAAGGCCATGTACGGAAACACGTCGTCTATCTACGTGTTGAGTCACACACCAGGTGACACCCCAAAGCCTGCCTGGTACACGTACAGTACAGGTCTCGAGTAGCACCGCCACGGCGATGAGCGGACCCCTAGGGATAGAGGCGCAACCGCCCCTCCCATGCGCCAGTGCCAAGTCGAAATGCGGCACAACTTAATACAAGCTGCAGATGAGACACATACACGTAGGGCAGCTGCAAGCTAACAGCTGCGTCTCCCACGGGCACATGGCGTGGATCTCCTAGTCGCCATGTGTTGGCTTGAAGTTCAACCGCCAGCACTCTCTCTTTGCACAACGTCATATCCGTGGATCGCATTCTGGTCGCACCGTCGCACGTATCATCTTGTTAGCTTCAAATCATAACTCCAGCAGTGAGGCGAGGCGCGCATCGAACCGAGCTTCTCCCCAACGACATGTTATGGACACACGCACCGCACCGCCGGACGGCGCAGGGCGGCGGAACATGCTCGCGAAGTCCATCCATTTGATACAGAGGACACGTCGGCCCTTTCCAACGGTTGGTTGCTTGTGGTTGCTCTCAGCCAAGCGAAACGGTTTACCTACACCAATCGAGGGCCCGTAGATCAGGCTGCGGTGCTGGATGCACGACAGGCACTCGATCATGCACCCCGGCGCGGTCCCGCGTGATGCTCATGATCAGCAGCTTTGACGGGCCACAGGTTGTATATCCTCGACAAACAACTCCTTTCAGGGCTGGCTATTCCAGGGGGTCGCTACAAAGTTCAGCCCAACTCCCAGGCTCTTGGCTCCTGGGGCACTCGCTGCCCGGCAAGCCGCAAGCGCGCCGTCGCAAAAGTGTCCCAACGCACGGGTCACCGGGGGTCGTATGTAGTCTTCCGTCGCCGGCCGGTTCGTCCTTGCAAGATGCTCAGTAGCAAAGCAAGCCTCACTTTAGCTCCCTGCTTGGGTCCGAGGAGGTTTCGCTATCGTCCTGCTGCCTGCCTGGTTTGCTTCTTCTCATCTCCCGGACAAGCCGCAGATGTCAAGCGGGATCCGGAAGCATTCACGCGACGAGCGGGCGTTCTCGCGCAAAGTCTAGCTGCGACCTGCCTCACCGATGTCCAGCACCAAGGCCCGAAGCTGCACTACGGATACAAACTTTCAAGGTCAATAAGACCGCGTTATGATCTCATTTATCATCATCCCAGGGAATAAGCTGTCAGTCATTGGCTACCCAAGCCTGGCGAAAAGGCAGCGGTGTGTCCAGCACCGAGGTAAAGGGAAACCCCTATCAGTCCATTCACCATCTTAATTCTCAGACATGGCCAAGCGACTGAGCACACCCGGCGGAACGGTTCCCCGTACTCACCATCCTAGTGACATCAGCCGTGAAGTGATTGTCCCGCGTTCGGGCTTTTTGCCAATTTGCGTCCGTTGCTGCCGTCGGTCCTGCTTCACCGAGGCCTCTTATTCCGCTGAAGTATGGTCGCAACTTATCCAGAAACGCCGGTGAATTTACTCTGAACTCTCGCAAGATTGGAATACCAAACCCATCGGCAAGGACCGACCATCATCCCGTGTCTCAACGGCTGATGGTTTGTCCCTAATAATTCCGATGGTTCCTCCAGCGTTGCCTTTCTGGAGACCAAAGTCCAACTCCTGGTGTTGCTTTTGCTGACCTTACGTACTGTAATATTGACCGACTCGTTTTTAACCCGTTTGTCAAGTCCGCGGGCCGGGCCAGCCCGGCTTACACAGGGCGGCGATAGCGACGATCTTTCTCAAAGTGGCATGTCGGCTACATAGCTAGGTCAGCAGTCATGGATTATGGTAACGTACCCGATGGTCACTACAACGGCTTCCGACCATCGAACGATACTGGATAGATGCCATTCGGTCAGCATCGGACTGTCCTGTTGCACCCGGGTCGGGGTGCTGCGTATGGCTCGAGGCCGATGTGAGGGTGCGGAACACACTGTTTCCTCTGACCTTGGACCGGCAGCCTATGATCTTTGTCCTCATCAGCACACCCGTGATAAGCAGGGAATGTGGCCACAGAGGACGCCTCCTATCCTTAGGATCGCACCGTTCAAGACCAGTGCCGCTAAAGCGATCTCGGTCTGCATTTTGGGGGGATGCAGAATTCTGCACGCCTCTCTCTGTGAATGCATCCCACCTTTCGGCAGATTTGTTGGTTACCCCCACGCCATTTCGGGGGCGTCCAAGGTGGTTTCCCCCAGAGGAGACAGGCTTACCACAGTATCGGGACGGCCAAAACTCCATGGTGAAGATAACGCTAGCATGAGGCGATAGCGTGGCGGAATGGCGATGATCAATGTTGTCAATCACGTTGGCCATCCCCACGCCGGCCTGTGATGTGGTTAGTTTTCGTATTTTTACTTTTCCGCCAAGGTTTTATGGTGTTTTGAAAATTTTGAGAAGATTGTGGGATCGTGGAAGCTAGTTGCTTTCTACGGTGTTTTGTCTAGAAATGATGACTGCATATCACCAACTGAGACGGCCCTCCGCTCAGAGACGTAGGTTTCACTGTGCCGTCTCCTATTGCGGCCCTGCTCTTGTAAGAACCCCGTCTTGTGACTCCTCATCGCCCAGGGTATTGCCAATCATTTGAAGGGCTTAAGAGAGAATATAGCCCACTGCCGTGTTATATCCATGACAATACGCGGATTGGCTGGGCAACCAATCGGACAGAGTACCCCCCCCCCCCCTGTGGGAGGCAAAGATGTGACACGAAGACAATACAACCTGCCGAAAAGACTTGGTCGTATCGATCCCATGTTTATGAGATGATTGGATAAAGGTCTCAACAAGGCTGAGCGAACCCATTGGATCCATGGCCGCTTCTCACATCATCTTGGGTTCGGTATGACGAGGACATGTCCCGTCATACGTCGGAGGCCATGTCGTACGTGCGTAGGCAGCAGCCTGTTTCGAGCTCAGCCATTTGTTTTTCTCTCTTGGTGTGTGTAGATATGACTGGGTTAGCTCAACGTCTTCCGGTAAGCCTCATGTTTGCTGGTACAGAACTGTGGCAGGAGTGATTCCAGACCAGGGAGAAAAAAGGTCTTTGCTCAGAGCCCGCAACGCTTTCATGTAGGTCTCGGTAGATTTGGCTCTCCAATCGCAAAATCGATGAGACATTTGGGAAGAGGCTGGCTGACACGGACTGGGGCTTACACGTTTACGCTTCCCGCTTGGCTCCCACGCCGGACCCAGCATCAAGCAATCTTTACATAGTCTAGGACCTCTCTTACTCCTCCTCCCCCTTTGAAAGCCCCCTCGTGGCCCGCTGCTTGCGGAATATCCGGTTTTTGCTGGGACCACTGCCGCCGCTGCATAATAGCAGTAGCAGGCTGCAGCGCGACGGAGCAGATTCCGTAGTACAGGAGCCTTGCGCTGACGGCTTCGGCTGTTGAGGCGAAGGTGATTACGCTGTTATCATCTGTTACGGTGATGTGAGCGGTGGCGAGCGTGGTTGTCTGGTCCAGTCTCCAGATGAGAAGGTCCGTGACGGCTTGGACGCCTGAGACCTGGGTAGAAACTTATTAGCTTTCAGTAGTCCCGTATGAATGGACTTCACGACATGTTTCCCTCTCCCTCTCCCCTCTCTGCGTGTGCGTTTGTGTTTCTCTGTGTGCGTGTGTTTCTGCGTGTCTTCCTCTCTCTCACCTTCATCATCTCCGCTCGAATGACATCAACATCAATGTGCGGAGGCGCGCTCTCCATCAAAATCTGCCCGGCGCGCCTGCAGAGCGGCCAGGCGGACGCCATGATGATCAGAGCGATGAAGACGCCGACGCCCGGGTCCGCGTAGAAGCGGGCCTGGCTGGTTCCCTTCCATATGACGAGGGCGGCGACGATGACCCCTACGTTGTTGATTGCATCGCTGGCGACATGGATTAGGACGCCCAGCATGCCGAGATCTCGACCGCCGTGGGGGTCGCGGTGGTGTTGGTTGATGACTACGGTAGCTGGCTTGGGATCGGGAGTCGTCGTTGATGGTGGCTTTGAGATTGTGGTTGCATCGGCTGGAGGAGGTGGTGTGTTGCTGGGGGAGGATGTTTCTCTGGTGGATTCTTCGTCGACTAGTCCCCCGCTTTCACATTCTTGTTTGTGGTTATGATGGTTCTCTTGACTTTGGGGTTAGATCATGGCCAACGGGTTGAGACTGAAGTCCAGCTCACCGTGGAGGAAACCCATTACTATGACGTTGAGTCCGAGGCCGATGCAGCCCATGGTTAGGACCAGGACTGGATCTTCGACGTCTAGGATAAGGTTACACCATCTCAGCACCGAGTTCGTCCCAGTGGCGGGTCCAACGGTGGTGGTTGGTTTTCGGGGGAAGAAAAAGCTCACGCGCAAGTTGTGTGAATCTCTCGATGGCTTGGAGGAGTATGCTCACTCCCAACGCGAGGAGGAATACACCATTGAAAAAGGCGCCCAGGACCTGCGCGCGCTTCCAGCCAAAGGGCAGGGTCCGGGGCGGAGGAGTTTTTCTGTCTGAAACCTTTTGGGGGAATCCAATTTGGTCAGTATATGCACGCTTTCTTGCGCTGAAAGGAGGAGCATCGGGGTTTGGCTTACTATAACTGCTATCAAGGCGACAGCAAACCCTAGTAGGTCATTCATCTAGAAGCGTTCTGTTAGACACACTGCGCTACTATGGGTTTATACAGGGAAATTGGCGATATTTGCCTTACGTAGTGAAAGGCGTCTGCTATGAGCGCGAGGGACTTTGTACGGTACCCAATGACCAGTTCTGCGATGAAGAAGCCGCCAGATATTGCGATTGTGGCGACTAGACGCTGCTTTTTGTTGATGTTGAGCCGAGACATGGCTTCGGTCTTGAGAGGTCAACGGGGAAGTATTTTGGAACAGCGTGAACATCTTCCCAAATGGGATTTGATTATCTCGAGCAAATTCAAGAATGAGAGACGTTGATAATAGCAAGAATGTTTCCATGGGGTTTGTTACAAACCCAACAGTAGGAGGCTTTGCTGAGTGTCATACAACCTCGAGAAAGGGCGGGCGAGAGTCTCGTCAGGACACACAGACTTGAGACAGGTGTGCCCGTCCCAGCTGGGTTGGCACAAACATACACACATACATACACACGGGGAGAAGAGGAAGCATGGAAGTTGTTTCTGTTGTGTGAACAAGGTTTCTGAGGGCGATGACCCGTGGTTTCTAGGCATATGCAGCTCGCTCACTCATCCTCCAAGAGTCATTGAAAATTCCGTCTGGGGAATGGGCGAGACTGTGGGCTGGTTGTTGGTCAAGTGACGTTGCTCCGGATAGCTGCGTCGCTGTGTGCGCGTTGTCTACTTGGGGGCTACGAAAGCGTAGGAGAGTGTTTGCTTGAGTTCAAGGTGATACGAGTTGGTTGTCTTTTGCTCCTGGTACACGGGCTTCATTGGATACCTGGATACTAGTAGTGTTAAATTGACGTGGCTGGTTGCTCTGGCACGAAAGCTTGTAGTGGGAAGCCGAGAAGAGGTCTCCGTTCCAAAAGGTTGTGGAATGAAGCCCCGGGCTACTGCGTTGAGAACTTGAATCGATTCCATCTTTTCTGGAGTCTTCAAGGCAACTTGCCTCTACGTCTCGAGTGAAACCGGGCAGGACAATTGACTTTTGCGAAGAAAGTATTGCAGCGCCAGATTTAATATTGGAATAGAAACGAGTCCTCATCAAAAGGAATGTTCTATGTGACTAAAACAAGGAATGACAGATCCCGGGACTCACATTGGTTGCGACCAGTCGAGGCAGTTTAGACTCGGTAAGACCATGGGGATGCGAACGTCAGAAACCTGGGGATTTGTCTAGGCCAAAATAGCAGGCGGTGTGGCTGAGTGAGAGCTCGACGCCACAATTCTGCCGTCGCGATGGAGCTGCACTTGCGACGATGCCACCACCGTCCTCACGGCAGTTCCAACTACAGCTGATTAACTCATGTCGACGGTCCACAATCCCACTACCACGTACAATACGAATAGAACCGATCGCATTGAACGACAGCAACGAAATGCTACTGCGAACCCACCACGCAGGCCCCCCTTGACGAGCCCCTCCCTCCTCGCGCAATAAGCAGCCCCCCACCACCAACACCACCACGAGGCTCTGCACCGACGATGCCTCGCAATGCCGGCGTAGCACCATCCCTACGCAAGGGGCCCAATTGGTCCTCCCACTTACGTCAGTTCAGCCGAAGCAGCCTCGAACCGCCCTCCGCAACATCGTCCGTCGACTCACCTCGATCCCCGGATACCGTCTCTAGCGCCTCGACCATTCGCGGCGACAACTCGTCCAGCTCCGTAAAGCAGCGTCGTCTCGAGCGGAGGTGCACCATCGGCGTCAACGAAGGGTACTCGCGCGACGAGGTACTCCTGAGCCCGGAGGTGGTCAAGGGCGATGTCAGACCCGGGAGCCTCGTGGCCATCACGGTGATCAAGACCGAGGGCGATAAGACGGCGACAAAGGACCATGCGACAACGCGCGGCGGGAACACTACGGGTAACGCCGGCGCGGGAGCGGGACAAGGCGATGCGGCGCCCGAAGGGGTGACGCTGGGGAAGAAGTACTTTTGCGTCGCAAAGGAGATGTCCAAGGAGCTCAAGAGCCGCCTACCCAACGTCGATATCTACGTCGTCAAGCACATTGCAGACGCATTTGGCATGAAGAAGGGCACGCAAGTGCTCTTGACGCCGGTGGATGCCGACAACCCCGCGACGGCGGCCTCGCACGTCGAGCTCTCGTTCAAGGACCAGTACCTCTCGCGATCCGACATTTGGCGGCTGGCCATCGGCGAGCTGACGGAAAGGACGGTTTACAAGGGCCAGTCAATATTGTTTATGGGCACGATCAAGGCGCAGGTTACGGCGGTATTTGTGGACGGGCGAAAGACGCACTCGGCCTTCTTCACGAGGAACACCAGGCCAATTTTCCGGAGCGAGTCGGCGAGATACGTGCTGTTCATACAGATGGCGAGGGAGATGTGGGATTTCGACTCGGAGGGATCCGGCGAGATTCTGTTCAACAAGGTAGTCAACGGCTTCCTGCCGGCGCTCTTCAAGAAATGGGCCAAGCTCAAGGCGAAGCACCTCGTGAGCATCGTGCTGTTTACGAGGGTCGAGTACGACACGGGCCTGACGACAGAGCTGGCGAGCAGCACGCTGCACGGAGATTACTACACGGGCGTGCAAATATCGGGCGACCGCAGGCCGTACAAGGACTTTTACCGCGTGGTGGTCAGCGAGATGGCGAGCGGGGAGTGGACGACGATCCTAAACCAGCTGAAGCGCGAGTTCAACTTCTTCCGGCGAGACATCAGCCTGCACCACCAAAAGGCCAACAGCGCCTTCGTGCCGCTGGCCGAGGAGAACGGCGGCAAAAGCATCACGTCCAACCGCGTCAAGGCCGAGTCGTCGTTGGCCATGTACGGCAACTTCCTCGAGGCCATCAACCTCGCGTCGTCCCAGTTCGCGCACGACTATGTCGACCGCGACCTCATGCGGACGGGCATCTCAATTGTGGTCATCAGCCCCGGGCCCGGCGTGTTTGAGGTCGAGTATGAGTCTCTGCGCCGGACCACCGAGGCCCTCGTAGGAAACGGCATCGGCATCGACCTCATCTGCGTGCCAAAGATGCCGCTGCACTCCGTCCCGCTGTTCCGGTACCGCAACCCGCAGACGTCGGAGGGCTCGCACGGCCTGTCGAGATCGAGGTCCGTACGCAGCCGCGAGAGCACGCCGAAGCAGCAGGCTACGCCCATCATCGGAAGCTACCAGTCGCTGTCCGAGTCGCTGTCCCCGACAAAGGGCCTCGAGCTCGCCCACCGCATAGACAAGCTGGCGAACCCGCAGGACGAGTGGTCGTACGCGGTGCCCCAATGGCTCCACGTCTCCTACTGGACTGGGACGTCCGAAGAAGCGCTGTCGTATCAAGGCATCGCCCTCTCGGTGTCCGAGGACAAGGAGGGCCAGCAGAGCGAGGACTTTGCAATTCGCGCGAGGATGTACGACCTGCAGATGCGCAGCGTCCTCGAGACGAACGAGATCGAGACGACCCCGCTGCAGGCTGACCCGCTGTTCCCCGTCACGACGACCGAATCCAAGAGTTCGTTGCGGTCGCGGCTCAGCGGGACGGACGAGATCGCCATGATACCCCAGAAGCGCCACCAGGACACGCTCGTGGACCACGTCTACGGGTTCCAAAAGTTCATGCCCGACAGGCTCGTGAAGCCGGGTGAGAAGTCGCTGTGGAAGCAGCTGCAGGAGTACGACGAGACGAGGGCGAGGCTGCCCAGGTCGCGGCACCCCGCGCAGGCGAGGGCATCGCGGGACCTGGAGGAGACGATGAGGCGGCAGCTGATGGAGGACGCGGGGCTGTTTGGGACGTCGCTGCCTGAGAAGAGGATTGTGCCGAACCAGAGCCTCGCGGCCGTCACCGTGGGGCGCAAGTTGTCGGTCAATATTGCCGATAGCGAAAAAGCAGAGATTGTGGCCGCTGCAAGGAAGGCTGCGAATCATCCTCCCCCGAAGGCACCTTCATCGTCGGCGGCCGGGGCGTCTAATCAGACGTCTTCTTCCACCTCTTCCTCGACGACCCCTGATTCTCACAGCGTGGTGGGCAAGATGTCTGTAAACTCGCCGTCCAAGCCTCCCCGGTTCATGCGGCAGATTAGCCTCGGCCTGCGGGGCTTCGGCATCGCGGCGCCAAAGGTGGTGGCGGCAGAAGCGAGCTTCGAGACGGTCAAGGCGTCGACGGAGCAGAGCGTGACGAGCCCTACGATGCCGCTGGTCATGTCGACGAGGCCACGACCATCGTCGCCGCAAGTCATTAAGCCGGCGACGTCGACGGCCATGTCTTCGTTCTCGCCGCAGCTGTTCCGGTCGGATTCGCGGGATACCCTCAAGGATCTGCCCTCGACGCCGAGTATACCCATCAACATGAAGGCCTCCTCGCGGAGGGGCGAGAGCTCAATCAGTCAGCAGCACAAGCACGGGACCGTTCTGCCGTCGTCCCTGGCGCGCAAGGACCATTTCCGGGAGGACCCCGATCAGAGGAATTCTCACGTGTTTAGGGCAGAGGAGGACAATCAGAAAATGTTCAATAGTAAGCTTCGCGCTGGTGCTATGCCCGAGCTGCCCTCTACCTTGTCGCCGACCACGGCTATCTCGCCTTGGCTCACGGTGCTGAACCCGTCGAACCCGGACAGGCACAAGGTGGATGACACGGTGCTGTATAGCCGGTGGCAGCATGTATTCCCCCGGACTTCGGAGATGAAGGTCATGAAGTGGAAGGCCCTCTGCTGTCCGGCCGCCGTGCCGCTCACAACCGAGTACTTTCCCTCAAAATCACAGTTTGACACAGAGTATCAGAGACAGCCGTATGTTATTGCGCAGAACGCCGACGACGAGCTCACAGAGGAGCCAAAGTCGAGAGAGGAGTTCTTTCGGGAGCTGATCAGCCTCCGTTTCTCACAAGGGTTCCAAGTTGTCATCGGCCCATCCGTCGCCAAGGCATTTGGGCAGAGGCTGCTTCGGATCGCCGACATCTTCTCCCGCGACCAGGCGATGGAGGACGGCACGAGCATCTTCCTTTCGGTGGGCAACACGATCCACCAGCTCTCGTGCGTCAACGGCACGGAAGTAGAGGTGAACATTTACATACGCAAACCGGCCGAGTCGACGGCACGGAAGTAGAGGTGAACATTTACATACGCAAACCGGCCGAGTCGACGGTTGGTAATTCCAACTCGGGCCCGCTGTACAGGCCGGCAATTCGCACGTTGATGGAAAGCGGGTATCAGACACAAGAGGTTGACATCTCCACGCCGAAACCCGAGAGAAACTGGAACTACATTGACTCGTACCTCGCCGGCCACCACGATGAGATGACGGAGAATCTGAGATTCTGGAGGACACGGTTCGTGCTTATCCCGATGGTGTCGCGGTCGTCGGCGGTGCCTAGGAACCAGGCCGGCGACAACGCCGAGGAGGTGCGTTTGGAGGGTATTAGACGGTTGTCGCTGTCATGGCAGAAGTACCGGTACATCCCGCCATTTGAGCGGAGATATCAGACCGCAAAATCGAAGCGCGATCCCAACCCCCTTGATATTGTGTACAAGACGGAGGACCCGTCCGTCGTCATTGCGGCGGAGCTCGACAACTTACCGTTAGTGGAGGGCCTGGGGGAGAACCGCAAGGGACAGCTCATCACGAGTCGCGAACACTTTCGCAAATCCAACCTCAACCTCTCGGCGCTGGCGGAGGCGATACAGCAGCCTGTCGAGAACGGCGGCGTCAAGCTGCAGAACCGGAGGTGGCATCTGCGACTACACTACAACTGCTTCATCGGCTCCGACATGACGACGTGGCTCATGGACAACTTTGAGGATCTGGACAGCCGCGAGGAGGCGGAGCAGCTCGGCAACATGCTCATGGTCAAGACGTATGACCGGCCGTCGGACGACAAAAAGGACCGCGGCGGGCTATTTGAGCACGTTGAGCGCCGGCACGTCTTCAGGGACGGGCAGTACTTTTATACCGTCGCCAGCGAGTACGCCAAGCCCCACCCGCCGAGTTGGTTCAACTCGCGCCGGGGTCGCGACGTCTCGGTGCCCTCGACGCCCATGTCGGAAAACGTTCCTCGCGATTCACCGCGGCCTGGCATGATTTCCCGGCCGACGTCCATCAACGAGGAGAACTCACCCATCTCGGGCGCCACAACCCCGACGGCGTACTCTGTCATGTTCAACAGCAAGAAGATGCCCAAGGTCGTCCTCAGCAAGGTCATCAAGTACGACGTGGACCACCGGAAGCGGTCGTATCGGCCCGAGCGCGTCGACTTGCACTACGACCGGCTACACAATCCGGACAATTGTTATCACATTCGCATCGACTGGATGAACGTCACGGCCAAGCTGATCGAGGACGTGGTGGAGGGGTGGGCGCGGGAGGCGGCGACGTACGGCCTGCGGCTCGTCGAGGTGCCTATCAAGGAGGCGTGCTCCATCACGGAGGTGAACCCGTTTCGTAGGCCGTACCTCATCAACCTGTCGGTGCCACCGCCGAGCCAGCAGCCGGTCACATACTACGAACCAAACTCGTTCACGCCGCAGACGGCGCCGGGGAAGCACTTTTACCAAAAGGTGATTATGCGGAAATTCGACTTTGTGCTCGACATGGAGGCCGCATCGAATTTCCCCCGCGACGTGGAGGTCAGCTATTCGTGGGGCAGGCCGGATTTCAAGTATTCGCAATACATTCACCGGTCGGGCGTTGTGCTTGCGGAGATCACGGACGAAGGGCACTTTTTGGTACTCGCCAACAGGCTGTTTAGTAACCGGGCATGGGCGGCGAGGGACAAGGAGCTCAAGGACATGAGGGAAGCCAACAGCGGTGGCGGAGCAACGAGCAATAATAACAATAATGGCAACAACAGCAGCAACAACAACAACAACGTCGTCGAGCGTGGTGGAAGAATTATACCCGTGGGTTCGTACACGCCCTTTGGGATACCGGAGCCGACGCCGATGAGCAGCCCGATGGTGAAGCCCGTGTTCTACGGCGGGGGGTCGCCGGCGGTGAGGGCTGCGGACATGAGGGCTAGCTCAAGCGCCTCTGGGGGAGGAGGAGGAGCTACGACAGCGACGAACACGACGGCCGCGGTGGACCCGATTCCGATCCTCAAGGAGCTCGAGGCGTTTTGCAGCGACAGGGCCGGTCTGGAGGCGTTTTACAAGGAGACGCTGGAGAGGGGACCGCCGCAGGCCATGACGACGCCGGGTGCGATGAGGCCTACCGTCGTGGGGCTTGAAGCGGTGCCGGAGGCGAGTATACCGATGCTGGGGCTGCCGGCGGGCGTTCTCGGGGATTTGCACTCTGGCGGTGGGGGTGGCCTGGGTGGTTTTGGTGGCTTTGGTGGAGGTGGTCCGGAAGGGCTTCGGGGGCTTCATATCGGCGGGGGAAGTCCGAGCCCGGGGCCGAGGAGCTTGATGAGTAGTCCTGCGGCGGGGATGCAGTTTTTGAGGAGGGCTAGTGTGCAGGATGGGCTTGGCTTGGGGGGTGGGGGGCCGCGGAGGGAGGTTAGGGAGAGGGAGAGGGAGTGATTAGGTGAGAGTTTGTGTGGCGGTGAATGTGTGGCTTGTGTGGATAGTGTACGTCGGTGTTTTTCTGTGTAAATGATTATGAAGCTCATGAACATATCAAAAGCGTTGATGCTGTGCAATACCTTGGCTACATGTGTGCTCATTTGTGTAAGTCGTGAGAGGGTTGTTACTTTGGTGCCGGATGAGGTGAGGTGAGGTCTGGTGTTGTGGCGGAGCCAATGGTTTGCGCTGGATGGGTGTGGCTCAGCGGTGGAAACCGGATACCTGGGGCCTGGGACTACGGGCGGTACTGCGCCACGTTGAGGCGTCGAGTCGGGGATTTGACCGTTGGTTGGGGAATGCTGGTGGCGTTGAGGGGCATCATGTGACGTGGTCGATCGGCTAGCGGGCGAGTGTGGCTTGTCTCACCGAGCAACGCAGATTGAATGAGAATCCAGCCACACGCACACAGAAGAGATGCCGAGGGGTGGCTTAACGAGGCTGAGTGAAGTTTAATTCCAATTGCCGGGGCATTTTCCTTGCCATTGTGGGTGCAACAACTCAAAGTCGCGAATCGTTGGAAGACGTTGTTGCAGGGCGCATAGTAAGCACACACACAAAGGTACGGGTTAGGTTTAGGATCTACCTTGGTCTAGGCCCATCATTCTCCTGCGTGCCTGAATCAGGCCAAAGGTTAAGTGGCCGTCGGTGTGTCCAGCTGTCTGTTCCACCTTGTCACGGATGGGGTATGGGACCAAGGTATTACCTGATTCGAAGCGGTGTTGCGGTCAGAGAGAAATAAAAGGTGTGGCTGGCAGGACGGTAGACTTGAGGTACACGTGTAGGTAGGTGGCTGATGTCATTGTGCACCGACCGCACACTCGCTCCCTCCGAGGTCAATCGATGACCATGATGCGACTGAACAAGAAATCGTATGCAGGTGAACCAATGGGTCTTGAATGCCTCTCTTCGAAAATTGAGCTAGGTTGCAGAACAGGATGGGGAGAATATCAGGATGAAGAAGAGCAATAGCCAAGGCGATGCGATCGACTTGGTAGTCCGTAAGTGCCTTGGCAAAAGTCTTGATTGCTGTGCTTGGCATCAATGGGGCTTGGCAGAAGCTTGTTTGGGGCGCGTCTTACGTTGTTTTTGCTGTGCTGCCGGATTATGAGAGGTGTGGCGTCGACGTGGCACGTCACCAGGGCACCTTGGGCTGTTGTGACGACATTGAAAGACGAATCTCCCAGTCCAGGAGATTTTATGAAGGCTCAATTGGATGGACTTCACCCGCAGGCATTTCATTCGATGGGACATGAGAATAAACATTGGAAGGAAGCCGCACCTCAGTCAATAGGAAGGTAAATGCGAGAATGCACGAAAAAAGGGGGGACCGCAATTGGCAGGAACGGATCCGTTGCCCCGCTTTACAGACATGAAAGGGACGGGTACGGATACTGGGCAGTCGCAAACTTGTTATTAGTGATTGGTGGGATTGGGAAATAGTGAAAAATAGAGGGAAGTTCCACTGGCTTGGCACTTTCCTTAGACACCTTACTTAGCGTGATAAGTTCTGCGGTACCCTCATGTGGCAGCATCGGGCAGGGACGACGAGGGAGAAAAGGTAAGCTTGTCGGTCCAAGGAAATTAGCGTCTGCGCATCAGTGGATGACTGCAATCAACGGCGCTTCTGTACAATAATGTAGGTAGGACACAGCTGGATCTGACGTAGGGCCTGCCACTGTGAAACACCCCCAGCTGGCGAGCGCCTCTCATCTCTCTTTCTCTCTCGCCTTTTTGTGGTCGCCATGGGACCGTGACGATTCAATCTTAGTGCCTTCCAGGGGCCAAGACTAGCTAAAGCTTCCTCGCTCCCCTTTCTCTCTTCCAAATCATATTCCGTCTTTAAATTCCTTTCTTCACTTCCAATCTTCACCATCGACCATAAATTCTGAGCTCAGCCATCAATCTTCAGCTGACTAAGGTCAGATTATCGGACAGCTCAAGGTACCGCCACCTCAGCAAAGCTGTCTAAGGATAATACTCGTACACGACTCGCACTCGTACCCTCCGCTCCCACTTTTCGGAAGAGCACTGCCTCACCTAGTCGCATATACGCTACTCCTGTCGACACACCCGCCGTTGCGGAAGCCCAAACCAGACAGTCGCGACCACCTGGGACTTGTCCTTCGCTCGCCGCAGACCGACACCACACGAAGCAGACAGGCTCACACAGCCCGGCCGAGCCCAGTTGTTGTCGTCAGGCCAGGCACTCACTACACCGTTGATTCCCCATAGCGGCGGCAACCGGTCTTGGCTTGCGCGTCTTCTCCCCGGTTGTAAGTTGGCAGATTTTGCACACTCGTCTGCACTCAACCGCATCGTCAATCGGACTGGACCCGTTCTCATCTCCGGCACCCCGGCCTCAACGCGGAAGTATTGCCAAGGAGGCCTCTCCCGCGCCACTGATCCATCTTCTAATTTCAAAGCCCTCTCCTCTGGTGCTACTGCGCCATAAGAGACAATAACAAGACCATCGTCAATATCTTCTTACTCAAGACCCAAGATACCTACAACACTCGAGACCAAAGACGCACCTACTACTACAACCCCAAAGAACGAGGAACCCCGGAACCAAGGACGCCACGAGAACCCCGACTCGCAGCTCGGTTCGCGTTTCGTCTCAACACCTGGGCGCTGATCTGAAGCGATCCGATCTTTGCCACAAAAGCACAAGCCCAAGCACTCCACCAACACCAACACACCAGTACCCACCCAAATAGCCGTCGTCACCTCCAGCGCGGCACAGCATGAACACCTGTGAGTACCTTGCCTAAATCGCCTTCAGGAAAAAAATCCGAAATCCCATTCATTACCCGCCCACCCCCGTCCCCTATTACCCCCTAGCCAACGTTGCATCGGTTTTCTTGGCAGCAAAGCAGAGCCAAAGGGAACATCCTCTAAACACTTCACTCTCTTCTGTTTCCCATATCACAGTTCTGTTAATCTGCTTCTCTCCTCTGTTGTTTTTCTTCCTCCCCCTTACGTCTATTTCCCTCCCTTTCACTCGCGGGTGGCAGACTATCTGCTAGACCACCACTCTAGCTTCATCCCTCTCCCGCCAATTACCTGAGCATCCGCCGAGTCAAGTGTGACCTCGAGCCGCTGCCTTTGGTCCACACCCCCGTTCCCCCCGTTGCCTCCACATATCATTCCCACCTGCACTCCACACACCTAGTTTCACGTCATTGCCCTATTTCACTTAACGAACCATTCCCCTTGAACAAACCTCGTCTCACCTACCCAACCCGTCTTCTACCTCTCCACCGTCAATCACACAGCGGAAGCGACGTCAACCCGCTGCGAATACCTTACTGACCATGCCGTCGCTCATCGGCTCAGTCAACCATTTCGATATCAAACGCAAAGCTCACGGCCTCAGTCGCCGGAGTCAGGAGCAAACATGGAATCCCTTCCGTCACGTAGCATGGGAAAACCAACCAAGTAAACGATCCACATGGGATGGCGCCAATCTCGAGGCACAACGCGAGGTGCCCGCAGAAGAGGGGGAGACCGAGGAGGCGATACATCACGTCCAGAGCGAGCCCGCACCCAGAGATTCCGAGACCGTACGCAACAGCTTGGGTAAGGAGACGAGATCAGGGACAGGAAGCGGCAGCGGCGACACCATGTTTGAGAACAAGCCCGAGGATGGTGGCGTAAGGAACCGGAAGACCGAAACTTCGCAAGGGGAGGACGTGCCGCAAGAGGAGGAGGAAAGGCCCAAGGCCAAGAAGCAAAAGTCAGGTCTCATCCGACACGTGCAGCCGAAAACGCCATTCACTGTCGCCAATCAACTCCAAAGAACACTGCTCAGTTCATATATCAACATTTTGATATTGGCAGCACCAGCCGGCATTGCCATCAGCTACGTCTCATCTGTCAACAAGATTGCCGTATTCGTCGTCAACTTCATCGCCATTATTCCCTTGGCAGCCATGCTGGGATTCGCAACTGAGGAAATCGCTCTGAGGACGGGTGAGACATTGGGAGGTCTCCTCAACGCAACTTTCGGAAACGCCGTCGAACTCATCGTCGCCATTCTCGCCTTGGCCGAGGGAAAGGTCCTGATTGTGCAGACTTCGCTCATTGGCTCCATTCTCTCCAACTTGCTGCTCGTCATGGGCTTCTGCTTCTTCTTTGGCGGAATTAACCGACCTGAGCAATACTTTAACACCACTGTCGCCCAGACCGCAGCGTCTCTCTTGGCTCTCGCAGTCGCTTCCGTCATCATTCCTACCGTGTTCGACAAGAATGACGGCACCAACGACAACGTTCACGTCGCCGCCCTCTCCCGCGGCACAGCCGTCATTCTGCTCATTATTTACGCCTCATATCTCTTCTTCCAGCTGAAGACGCACAACGCCGTCTTCAACGAAGAGTCTCAAAAGGTCGCCGCCAAGCCCTGGAGCCGCGGCGGCCTGAAAGAGGGTGCACTAGCACGTGGTTTGGCTGGGACCGGAGCGCGCATGGCCCAGACCGGCGTCCGCGGGGATAGTGAGAACGAGAGGCAGGCGTTGAGCCGGATGATGATGCAGCGCCATCAGGAGGAAGAGGAAGAAGAGGAGGAGCCTCAGCTGCACTTCCTCGTCGCCGTTGGCACTCTCGTCGGAGCTACTGTTCTTATCGCCTTTTGCGCCGAAGCCATGGTCGGTTCCATCGACTACGTCACCAAGCAGGGCGGTATCAGCGAGGAGTTTGTCGGTCTCATTCTCTTGCCTATTGTCGGCAACGCTGCAGAGCACGCCACGGCTGTGACTGTCGCTATCAAGGACAAGATGGATCTCGCTATTGGTGTCGCCGTCGGCTCGAGTATGCAGGTCGCGCTATTCCTGATTCCGCTATTGATCATCATTGGTTGGGGTATGGGCAATGACGCCATGACGCTCAGTTTCGACCTGTTCCAGGTTGCCGTACTGTTCGTCGCTGTTCTTCTGGTCAACTACCTGATTGCCGATGGCAAGAGTCATTGGCTGGAGGGGCTGCAGCTCATTTGTCTGTATGCCATTATTGCCACTTGCTCATGGTGTAAGTTGTCCTGCTTTGCAAACGCGTCCCTGAATAACTGCTGACAATGATTAATAGGGTACCCCGCCACTGGTGTTGCCGGCTAAGAAAGCCACCCGCTGTTATGACCACTTTCTATTTCATCAAAACATTGTCCAAGCGTGTGCCATTTTTTTTATTCATATAATGTCTTGTTTTTCTTCGAGAAAGTCGCCTTTCTTGATGTGTATATATAGGACCAAACGTGCGGGGTTGGAACTGTACATTGAACCCGCCCTTTTGGGTATTTACGGATACGATGAGGTCTTTGGAGCGGAGACTCGTAGAGAGAACGAACTTGGGAAGTGAGGTCGGTGAGAGAAAAGAAATCGAGGTGAATACGTACATTGGCATGTGCATGCCGCCAGACGGGAAAAGGGCAAGCCTTGAAGAACATGGCCGATACTTGCTAGCAAAACCTACTTGAAGGTTCAAAATATGAACTATGACAAGTTACGATACCCTGAGGGAAAACGCTGGAGCGATGATTATGTGTGAATAATCTGCAAGTGAGCCGGGATTAAGTAAAATGCTTCCACGAGTCTGGCGCGAAATAAGAGCACAAAAGTATGACTACTACATCATTAGTCAGTTTCCGGTCCTTACTTCGAGTCAAATCTGAGCCAAAATCCTCCCCTGAATGTTCACAATCCGAACCTTGCGGCCTCCCGCTGCTCTGCTCCGAGACCTCACTACAGCCTCATTCACGACCCCCTGCTCATCCCATCCAAAGTCAACGACCCCGCCGCCCCGGATCCGCAACCCCTTTACGCTCCCGCTGCCCCACCTGGCCGGGATAGCGGGTCCGAGGACCACGGTCCTGACATCCTCTTCGTCCCCCACGGAAGGGGAGGCGTACGGCAGCGGCAGGTCAACAACCAGCATACTCAGCACCGCGCCCGCCAACCCGAAATTGGCATCAATCTGGAACGGCGGGTCGGTGGCAGAATACATGCTCAGCCCGTTGCCCGCGAAATTGACACTGATTGCGTAGCGGAGCTGCGCGTAGGCGCGCTCCGTGTCGTTGAGGCGGGCCCAGCAGGCTGCGCGCCAGACTTTGGCCCAGCCTGCGTTTGCGTCGGGGGCGTTGCCCATGCCTCTCGAGAGGAGGGTTTCCCGGACGGCGGATTGGAGGGGGAGGTTTGTCGTGTAGCCGGCGAGGAAGGCGGAGAGGGAGGCGCCTGGATACCAGCCTGTTAGGTGGGAGAGGTGGCGGTGCGTCGAGGGTTTGTCGGCGTTGTAGGGTGGTTCTTCGGGGAGCTTCCATTCCTTGAGGCCGCCCCAGGAGGCGATGTGGACGCCCTTGTCTAGTTTTGCGAGGGAGGCGGCCACGGCGTCGAGGAACTGCTGTGATTCGGGGGAAGGGGGATCGGGGAGGAAGGTTGCGCCGCGGAGGGTGTAGTCAAAGACTTGGTGGATCACTTGGTGGTAGTGTGCGCAGCCAAAGGTCGTGGGGCCGGTCTCTGGGCTGTTGCAGGGGTTTACGACGAGGGCCCCGTCGGAGGAGAAGGTGTCGTCTTGGAGCTGGGTGAGCCAGAAAGCGGCGACGCCCTTGATGAGGGGGTAGCCTTGGCGGGCGAACCAGGTTGTGTCTTGGGTGTATTCGAAGGCGTCGTAGACTTCTTGCATCATCCAGGCTGCTGCTGCTGGGTCTTGTGGGGGTGGGTTAGTCGCGAGGGGTTTTGGGTGATGATGATGGGCGAGACGGGGAGGGGAGACAGAGGGAATCTGAAGAGGGGAGGGGAAGACGGTGAGGTGTTCGAGTAAGTCTACTCACAGTTTGCCCACTCGGCGCCCTCCTTCAAGGCCGTATGTCCAAAGATATTCATCTCGTTGTGTACAACCCATCCGCTGGCGTTGTATATCAGCGCCGCGGTCTCGGTGCCCCTGGGCACCCAGGTATCCTCCATGTAATTCCACAGCGCGACCTGCGTCTCTGCGAGGCCCGTCTGGTCGGCGTGCCAGTAGTTCATCTGGAGGTTGATGTTGGCGTGGTAATCCGCGCTCCACGCGGGCGAGAGCTGCTCCGTCCAGCGGCCCTGGAGGTTGGCAGGGAGGGAATTCTCGCGGGAGGAAGCGATGAGGAGGTGGCGGGCGTAGTCAAAGAGGATGGCTTCGAGGTAGGGGTCGCCGGGGGAGGTGTAGAGGTATTCCTGGATGAGGTCTGCTGTTTCTCTTTCGGCCGAGGAGAGGGGGTCCGGGAGGGTCAGTTGGAAGGCGGATTGGAGGCGTTGGTAGTCTGCAATGTGGGAGGACAGGATGTCGGAATAGGGCTTTGAAGATGCGGCGGAGGAGAGGGTTTGGACGGTGGGACCTGGGTCTTGGCCTTTGAAGGAGTAGGAGTTTGCTGCGTTGCCTTTTTTCTGGTCGTAGTTTGTCTCGGCGCTGATGACGATTGTCAAAGTCTTTTGGCCTGTGCCGGGCGTGATTTGCATCATGCCGGAGGTTGTGCAGTTGGTGGCGGCGGCTGCGGACGCGGAGTCTCTGGACAACTTTGCGATGGAGTCGAACTTCATGCCCTCGGGCGGCCCGAGCTGCGTGACGCCGGTGAAGCGGACGTGATCCCCACCGCAGCTGGTGTTGAAGGTGTCGGTTGCGATGAGCTGGTTCTCGAAACCTATCGTGACGGCGGGCAAGGTCGCCACATGTATGGAGGCGGAAGAGGAGGAGGAGGAGGCGATGTGGTATACGCATACTTGGTCCGGGTACGAGCAGAGCTGTGTGATCTCGTAGTTTGCGGCGTTTGCGGTGAACTTTGTCGAGTGAACGCCAGTTGTCAGGTCGAGAGTCCTCTTGTAGGAGGTGTAGTTGCCCACGCCGTCGATTGTGACTGTCATGTTGGCTAGAACGCGGTTACCTCCGTAGTTCGCTCCCGAGCCGAGGATGGGGGAGACGTCTGATCTTGGGTGTTAGTAAAATTGATGAAAATCCAACCGAAAGAGCGGCCTTTTACCTCCGGTTCCATTCTCAAAGGTGGTTGAGCGGATCTTAGGAAGAGCTCCATACTTTGGCTCTGTAGGGTTGCCACCTGTGTAGTTCTGATGGAAGTATCTTTAGTAAGTATTCACTTCTCGTGTGGAAATCAGAGACTCACCGAAGCCTCAAAAGGGCCACCCGCCCACAGGGAGTCAATGTTCAAGTTGACCTTTTCCGCATGAGGCGGACCGAACGGGATCGCTGAGAAGTAGTCAACATCCTATTACGGTGGACGCTGATGAAGACCCTCGACTCGAGACGCACCCCCGAGTTTGCCGTTGCCAATAGGATAGCCAGTCTTGAGCAAGTATGTGTCGGAACTCGAATCTCCGTACGTCGTGGGGATCGAAGACCAGAGAGAACGGGCTTCGCACAACGCGAAGCTGGCACACAATGTCAGTGCCCAGCTCGACGTAGTCTTCATCATGGACGCAGCTTGAGATTGGTCCAACTTTACCTGAACAAATCTTTCAAAATCCGAATCGGATTTGAACTCTTTTTGAGGCCCAATCAACCCCGCATTTCCCACATTGAATCAATGACAGAATGTAGCTACGTAGTAAACGGCAAGATCAACTTGGTCTCGGGGAACGGGGAGTCGTGTTCAAGGCGGGGAGTAGGCTTGGTGGGTCGATTTGCTTGGTGCGCATACTTGGGGTGTCCGGTGATTTCCCTCCAATAAAGGGCAAAGAACATATTACTTTGTAGCTTGGAGTCTTGCTCCGCATTTCATGTCCTGTGCAAGATTCTACTATGGACTTGGCAAATCTATAATGCTTTGGGGTATCCGGTGAAGGGTTGATCAGTCCGGTTTGGGCCGGGGCCAGCGATTGCAACTGCGGGGTCTGGAGCCGAGAACCTGTTCCCCAAGATGCGAGTTGTGCAATGTGCATAGAGCAAGTGCATGAGTTGCCCGAGTATAGTAAGTGTTTCCGCAACGTTGTGGCCTTTGCCCCTCGTCTCTGTTGGACTAGAAAAGGTGAAATCGACATCGATAGACGATACTCATCGAGCTATATTGGGTCTTAGGAACGTGACAGAAGCCACTGGAGGTCAAAATTGATGTATGAATGAAGCGGGTCATGATCGTCAATTCAAGATCCAAGTAAAGACCTGCTAGAAGTAGTTAAGTCCAAGTTAACCCTGGAGGTAGGGAACGAGATGATTGTGACATGTACCTTGGTAGCCCGTCAAAGTCAAGATATTCCCAAGTAATCTTGAAGACGTGAAGTCAACCATGCATCACGCTCTCTTCTACGTATAGAGAGAACAGGCATAGAGTGTTAAGAGACGTCATATATCCAGTGGTGTATATACCTGTAGTTCCTCTGCAGAAAACCACTAATTAGATTCCAGAGGCCGTAAGTTGACTCACCAACGAAGAACACTGTATTACTCTGCAGAACAATAAACCTTACTTCTTCTTATGTAGTAATTTCGGTACTGGATTCGTAAGTTTTGTGGAAACCTCCACACCAGCACCTGGGCAGGGAGTCTGGGGAAGTCACGACCATACATTAGTGGCCTTTCAGCTCAGTCGTTGTGTCCTTGAGCAAGTTCAATCGTGGTTCAGTATTGACTCCTCATAGATTTGGAAATCTTTGATAAGTTCGGACGTTATTGGTATTTGTCTGCATTCTTCGATGAGTTCTGTAGCAAAAATCCCAGGTCCTGAATCTCGAACCCTAAGTCCCGAACTCTTGCCCCAAAACGAAGGATACTGTCCCTCATGAAACATATCTTCTTTGCAACAATCATATTTACATGACATCATCCGCTCGCGAACGGGTCCTGCTCTCTAATGAAGCTTAGTAATGCGTGCTACAAAGGATTCATCTGGTCGACTGTTAGCGCTTATAGGTGATCACCGCGAGAACTCATGGCCTTTGACGCTGCATCCAATAGAGTAACAGGATTATGCACCCGCCCACGTTCTAGCTCTCAGCCTAATCGGCCGAACGAGGAAATGTGGAGGTGATTGGTGTTGTTAGACATGTCTTCGGCGCGGAGAGCTCAGAGAAGGTCTCACACTTTAAAACCAACAGCATTGCCCAACCATAATGGCAAAACACCTCACGACTACATCATTCAATATTCTTGACGAAACATGGCATCGTGGCTGCAAGAGGTGCCGGCCCTGAGGGCAGATATCAATGGCGAGATTCTACTGCCCGGCGACGAGGGATACGAAGCAAGTCTGGTGCGGTGGTCCATCGTTTGCATCAAGCCAGCGGTGAGTTGCTCGATCCCAACCATACCCATTTCGTATGGGGGAAAAGTCTCTAACATGATTCTAGGCTCTAGTCATCAAGCCAAAGTCGGCCCATGATGTGTCGGCAGCGATCCGCTTTGCAACAAAACACAACATCCCCTTCACTACCTGCGGCGGAGGCCACTCTACCGCGGGAACCTCGTCCTCGGACGGCGGAATGGTCATCCATTTAGGCCACCTCCGTGACGTCACAGTCGACGCCGGGAAGCGTCTCGTCACGTACGGCGGCGGGTGTACTTGGAAGGACGTTGACAACGAGACTTGGAAGCACAGTCTCGCGACCGTCGGCGGCACCGTATCGCACACGGGCGTCGGCGGCCTTGTGCTCGGCGGCGGGCAAGGTTTACTCAGCGGACTTCACGGCCTCGCCGTCGACTGTCTTGTGGAAGTGGAGGTAGTCCTCGCTGATGGGTCGATCGTCACGGCGTCCGAGACGGAGAATGCTGACCTCTTTTGGGCGCTGCGCGGCGCCGGCGCGAGCTTCGGCATCGTCACTCGGTTTACTTCTGAGGTATTCCCACAGGGAAGAGTGTGGTATGGGGCTCTCATGTTCGCCAGCTCCAAGCTTCCTGATCTCCTTACTTGGGCCAACGAGTTTGTTGAGAAGATGGACGGGAAACAAGTCCTCATCATGGGATTTGCTTATGGCCCGCCGGGGCCCGATGCTAAGCCTTTGATTGTTGTGCAGCCGTTTCATAACGGCACAGGGCAAGAGGCCACCGGGGGTATCTTCAAGGGACTCCTCGAGGCGGGGCCGCTATTGAACATGACGAGCGAGATGGACTACCCAGCAGCCAACACGTTACTCGACGAGCTCCAGGGGCCCGGCGCGAGACGGTTGATGGGCGGGACGAATGTCACCGCGCCGTTTGAGCTAGAAAAATGGGAAGAGATGAGCAGGGAGTTCTACTCGCGCGTCGACGAAGAGACGGCCGCGGGCAACGACATGCATGGAAGCATCCTAGCTGTTGAAATTTATAACAAGGATAAGGTGGTGAATGTGCCGTTTGGGGCGACGGCGTACTCGAACCGCGGGACGTACTTTGACTGCATGGTGTTGACCTGCTGGACAGACCCGGCCAAGGACGGGATGATCAGGAGCTGGAATCGGGCTTTGTCGGTCAAGATCAAAGGAGAGAACCACACCGGCGAGAGTGGAGGTGTGGGACAGTACAATAATTATGCCAGCAGCGATGTGGGTGTCAAGGAAGGATTCGGACAGAACGCCAAGAGGTTGGTGGAGTTGAAGAGCAGGTATGATCCGGAGAACAGGTTTTCGCGCAGTCCTTGGAAGATTGTTGCGTCGTAGAGGAGATACACGGCTCTATAACAAGTCTAGAGGTTGGTGGTGTGCAGAATAACTGATTTCCATACAGGCAACAAGTTTCCAGAGACTTGAAGTGATTCCAATTGCGTTGGATCTTGTTTAGCGATCTCATTCAATCAGGGGGACGGGGAGAAATCGAGATTCTGTGATGAGATGGGTGACGATCTATCCAAGGAGAATCTTTCAAGAGGGCCACGTTTCCGACCCTGCATTTAGAAGCGCCAGATAAGTTCTTGTACGGAAGTCGTCCCAAACTTCGAAAAGGAGAGTATTAGTTCAAAAGATCGAGCTTTCGAAGCAACCCTGCCACCACTCCTCATGACAAAGGAGCATCTTATATGAAACTGCCTTTCTATTGGTGGGCGGCTAATGATACACGCCCAGTGAATAAACAGGAAGAAATTTTTGCAACACTCCTAATTCATGAGTGAACAACCTCTTGATTCGGAAGTGAAAGTCATAGAATTAATAAAAAGGCCAAGCGCGTGCTGCCCGGCATCTCCAGCGGTTCTTGTCGGAAAAGCGTGGAACGGATGCGAGTCACAAGATTCCCTTGCAAGGTGACGCTGCCATTGCTTTGTTGAAATCATCTACGTATTCACCCATTACCTCGAAACGAACGGTCTAGAGCAGCCAACTGCCCTTTTGTAAAGACTGCCAACATCAACTGCCTCTACCCGCAGCCTACCTCCCTTTGGCTGGTCATCCATGACAACCCGGCCAAGATCTACCTCGAGGTCCCAGGCACTGTCCATAATCATCAGTTTCTAGAACGCACCCACCTTCTGTTCATGATCAACCTTTTCTTGACCCTTTCACAGCTGGGTCACGCATAGGGTATCTTGATGCCTTCTGGACAACGCAAATCAGTATTTAATACGATGTAATCCCCTCCAGGACGAAACTTACCTACTTTCCCTCATACCTACATCCCACTTCCAAGTTTCACCCAACGTGCTTCGTCAGATTTTTTCTTCTTCTCAGTATCCCAACCCCCTCACCCGATCAACAAAGCACGTCGCAACCATGAAGGTTTTCAACGTCGCCTTCGGTCTCGCTATCATTGGTATCGCGGCCTCGGCTGGGTCAGAGCAGGATCAGTGCCTCTGCATAGAGAAGCGGTGCTCAAATTTCGACATGAATAAAGAATTTCCTCCGAATTCAAAGCAATACCCAAGTATATTGCACGCCGAATGTCAAGACGCGTATGGGGATATATGGGCGAGCAAGCTCGATCTCAAGCATTGCATCGTGAACAACCGAGGCCAGCTCGAGTGGCGCGACAAGTTGAGTCAAACACATTACCGAAGCTCTAGCAGTCTGAGATTTGTTACCTGGTCAGTTCTGTTTGCTGACCTGTAGAATAATATGAAAAGTGGTGGCCACAATGCTCAATGGTGCATGGTACAAAACCCCCCCGCAGGTCAACCTATTCCCATGAAATGCCGGGTGCCAGGCACGCCGGGCAATGAGGAGAGCACCCCCGAGCGAACCTTCAATCTCTGTAAGCGCTTCACTCGTCTGGCCTCTCCGTTCTCGACTGACTTCTCTTCTCTGTGAAGCTGAGAAGATCTGGGTTGACAGGAAGGGCATTCTCGGCTGCTACACACACACCGGCACGGCGACACGCCTCTTTGGCGGCCCGATTGCGACTACGACTACGACTAAGACTGCGACCGCGGCTGCAACTGCGATGACGATTACGACGACGTTTATGGCTGTGCCGCCTTGAGGCAGTTGCAAGAATGCCAATCAGTTCCTCTACCTATTGTGTGTCAAAGCTGTTCTTTTGTCCCAAAAAAAAAAAACCAAAAAAAAACAGGCACGCACCAAGTAATAGTCCCGTCGGGAAGGTATGGGAAGTTGAAAGTCATGGGCGGTCATGGGCAAGCGGTGCACATCTGGCTATACACGTAGTCATCCATAGCGTAAACGTATAAGAATGTCTAAAGATGATTTTCACCCACTCTCTTGGAAGTGAAAATGGCATCGACACAAGATGACCGACCGGATAAACTTGGTGGACCTTGACGAAGCAAGAGGTAGCATCCCATTTCTTACGGCCCATGTTCTAGAGAGCTTGTTCCAAACCAGTGAGATTCCACTGGGTCAATGATACGGTCTGACAAATGAGTAGAGTCTGCTATCACCAGAAAGACTCCAGGCCCGTCTGGAATCGTCCGCAGCTCGTTTTCTTTAAGTCCTGTTTACACCACAAACTTGCCACCGCACCCACCACAAGCTTCCTCAGGGGCATCAACCTTGGCATCAGGGCCCAGATGCTCCTGCGCGATCTTGACGACCCCCTTCGCCACGAGACACCGCAGGCCGCAGACAGCACAGGCTCGCGAGATGCCCGGCGCGAGGATCGCGAGGCCGGTTGCCGCACAGGTAGCTATTCCTCAATGTCAGTGGAACACCATCCTCTCCAAAAAAAAAATAAAAAATGAAGCAAGAGTCCCATTGGAAGGAAAAGGGAGAAGCAGAAAGCAAGGCAGGACTCACCAAATATATGCCCCCTTTCGCAAATGGACTCCTTGCCCTCATCGACGAGAGACGCGTGACAAAACACGCACGTCTGCTTCCTCTTGACCTCCTCAAACCTCTTGCGCAACGAAACATCTCCCGCCCTCGCCTCATCCCCAGTGTCCAGCGTCCCAGGAACGGCAGGTCCGCCAGCATACATCCAATCCCACATCTTGGCCTCGGTGCTCTGCCTCTCCCAGTACCGCAACCTACTCGCCCTACCACCGTCGTCCCCTCCATCGACATCCATCCCATCACCGTCGCCTGCCGCTGCAGCCAATGATGCCAACGTCGCCGCCCCATCCCCGCCGACCCGGCCCCCAAACATGACCTTGGTTTTGACCGTCTTCTCCGGCTTCTGCGTACTATGCTGCGATACCAGCACGGCGCTCATGCCCCCGGCAGGCGTCATCGTCATGCCCCACATGCGGACGCGGTGCGGGTGGATCTGCTCACCCGCGTCCTCGGGCAGGTCAAAGTCGTCATCGTCATCGTCTTCAGAATCGTCGTCGTCTCCCGAGGCCACGGACTCGCCGTCCCCGCCACCCACTGCTGCGCCGCCGACGACGCCGCCGCGGCCGAGCATGGCGGCTGGCACCGAGAGCTTGACTGTCGAGGAGACGATCTCGGCCCACTTGGGGAGGGATTCGGGGGCCGGCGAGGAGGACCCGTCGCCTGTGCTTTGCTGGAACCAGTTGTCGTTTGTTGCTGTTGCGGAGAGGCGGATGAGGGAGTAGCCTGGGGCTTTGGTTTGTTTTGATAGGTTTGGAGGGTGGATTATAAGGCCTGGTTGATAGAAACTATGAGCTTTTTGACTCCTAGTTGCAAAGTTGATCTGGAGGAAACACTTACTTGTGATGGGATTCGTTGCGTCTAAGGAGGTTGTATCTTCAGGATACGTCGTCTTGCATACACTCGTATCATGGCACTCCTTCGCCGTGCCCTCGGGCCCGTTGAGTGCGACCTGGAAAGGCGAGGCCTTGAACGGAGACGCAATGACGCCCCTGCAGACCTTGACGTCGTCTCGGTCCCAGACGGCGTCCTCCCACTCGACAAACGCGTCGGATAGCAAGTTTGTGCAGATGCCGGTGACGTCCGCCTCCTCGACGGCGACCTCGCCAGCAGCACCGCGCTTCCAGTCGCCGGGGATCGTGATCCTGCGGAAGCCGACGTAGTTCCTGGCGCAGTACGCGAGGATGGCGGTTCTCGTGTCGCCCGAGTGTAGCCAGGGGCTCCATTTCAAGGAAAAGGCCGAGGTGTAGGGGATGTAGTCGGGGTCCAAGAGCTACACATTGTTAGCCAACCCCCTCTTCAGGGGAGGAAGTTTCCGTGTAGAGTGACACGGTTAGAGACACTCACGCCTGAGCTCGGATGCGGGCCCCTCCCATCAAACCTCGCAACCTCCTCAACCTCCCACACATACGACCCGGCATCCGACTGATCGTCCGTCTCGTTGGGGAGGTAATACTGCGCGCTCAGCACGACAACCTCTTCCTGGTCCGTCGCGTACGCCAAGAGAGCTTGCCCGGTCCCAATCAGTCTCGCCCAAGAGAAAGAACGGATCTTGTCCCTCGGCAAATACGCCTCGTCCCGCTCGGCGTCCGGGTCCGGCAGCGGCAAGTTGGCGCCCAGACCCCAGAGGATCCTCCAGTCCCTGAAATTCCTCATCCGGGCGCCGAGATCTACGCTCCCGCCGCCGCCCTCACCGATGACGAGGAGCGCGCCGTTGGTGAGCATCACGGCGAGCACGGCGCGCAGGTTGCGGCCTAGGTTACCGGGGGACCACTCGATTGCGACGACCTGGTTCAGCGAGGCGCCGTAGCCAGTAACGGTGCCTGAGCCAACGCCCTCGAAAGCGGAAGAGGGGTCTGCGACCGCCTCGCTGCCGCCGCCGCCGCCGCCGCCGGCTGAGGCGGCCCAGTCGTCGTCGTACGAGGGCACGGAGAGGCCGCGCGCGGCAAATAGCGCGGCGTTCATGCGCGGGTCGGGTTTGCGGGATGTCGGGATGCGGAGCTGGAAGGTGTAGAATTGCTGGCGGTACATCTTGTCGCCATCCTGCGCGTCGGCGGCGGCTGCGACGGCTGCTGCTACGCCAGCGGGGTCCGCGTCTGCTACTGCGGTCTGTACATCATTGCCGCCGGTCTTGGGAGGCTGCTTGGTGGTCGTCGTCGGCTCCTCTGGCGTGGGGAACTCGGGAAGGAAGACGTGGATCGAGTCGTCGGCAGCGACGGCCAGCTCGGCGTCGCAGGAGAAGGTGAGGGCGTGGCTCGCTAGGGGCCGGGACTTGAGGGTGAGTGTCTTGAGGGGCGGGATCTGGTTGCCCGAGACGTGTGTCAGCGGTTCTTCGTGGCTTGGGGAGTTGAGGTTGAGGGTCTTTGAGAGGGCGATGATGTCGTCCATGACTAATGACTTCAGTAGTCTGAGGGATTCCGTATGGGAAAGAAGTCTTATATAGAAGTCTGACGATGGATTATAGAGGACTGCTGCCAAATTTTTTTCTTTCGAGATGGGAGGATAATAGGTTGGTTGAGGGAGTTGAGTGCCAGACCAGAGAGAGAGAGAGAGAGAGAAGAAGAATGATCGACGGAAGAATGAAGGCACCACTACATTGCCGAAGTGAGAGGGAAATATATCTATCCCATGGAGAATTGTGGCCAGAATGAAGAAGACATCGCCTCACCCCATCTACCACTTACACGAGGCCGCAGTGAGGTGGAGGGAAACCGCTGTAAGCGTGAGATGTAGACGAGAGGGAGAGCGATGTTCCGGGGCAGGACCCAAACTATAAGCAAGAGAATGGAAGGAAATCACGACACCAACCTTTGAGTTATCCATTTTCGCAGATTACGGGATATCTGCGTCCCTCCATGAAGGATATGCTGGGGTTGTTGGACTGTTGTGAAGCGCACTGGCTTATCCAGCAAGATTTTAGAGTGGATGAAATCACCTCGGTGAGAGGCCTCGGTGAGCACAGGTGAGGAACCCGGAGAGTGCACGGATGGAAATACTCCGGATAAATGCGATAGCAATCGCAGCAGCGAGGCATTGAAATGGGACACTATTGACATGAGGGCGAGGGATGGGCGATTTGGCACCGTTGCGAATTCTTCTAATCAATTCTGAATCGGTCATGAGCTTTCGCTGTCCATAATGTCCAACACCGACTCCAAAGCTATGAATGAACCATTCCCTTCTCTATCCCAAGAAACGCCAGGCTTGATACACTTTGGGCAAGTCAACTAAAGACATAAAATTACAAAACATAGGAATTATGAATAAAATCTATGCCTTCACGGTAGCATGGCCATTTTGACCCATCGTCGTCTTGGTATCATCGGCCCTCCTCTTTGGTGTCTCGTAATATGATCCCAGAGCCCAAAGCAGCGCGCAGCCGACCAAGGCCGTAGCTCCAATAATCTTCTTCTCCCACCAATTCTCATTCGTGAGGGGCTTGGCCATCTGCACTCTCTTGGCCCTTGTCTTCACGTCCGGCGTCTGACCCTTGGCGTTATCCGCCAACGATGCATTCTTGGCCGCTGCATCGGCCTCATGCGCCCGCTGCTTCAGCGCAGCAATCTTCTGGCTGAGCTCCAGCAGCTCCTCGTCGAGTACCATGTTCTTGGCCCCGTCGACCTCGACGTTCTGCACGTTGCCAAAGAAGTCGGTGATGCGACGGCTCCGTGCGGCATCGGCGCCGCCGGGGAACAGGTCGTAGCGTACGCCCGCGTGCGAGTGGATCTTTTCGTAGGTGTAGCTGTCGAACAGCTCGCCGACCGTCTTCTTGGAACTCAGGTCTTGGACTTGCGATTCGAGGAACTCTAGGTTGTAGTATGTGTATCGGTCGATGACGGCGACACCGACGTCGTTGTCGGCGTGGTGTGAGTAGGATGACTGATCGAGCTCCGAGGAGCCGGTCGCGATGATGTTGGGGGAGTAGAGCTTGCTGTACATTGTGTTCGCTTGGCAGGTGTCGATCATGAAGAGGATCTCGTGGTATCTGACCAGTCAGCATTCGTCGTCGCACTAGCAAGTGTGCTTGGTATCCAATCACCTCTTCTTCTCCCACATCTGCTCAAAGGCATCAGCCAGATCAAAAGCACCGATCTCCTCTGCATCCTGAAACTTTAGGAATTCGTTTCCACCATGGCCCGTCATGTATACGAGGATGTTGCTTCGATCGTCCGTCAGCAGGCGCTTGCTGCGGGGCATCTCATCGCCGACGCGATCGGTCAGGAGACGAATAAAGTTCTCGACGGTGACCTCGTAGCCGCGGTAGTCCACCTCGATGTTGTCGCCGTACAGATCGACAGCGCGGTCCGAGTTGCTGTAGACGGTTCCGGGGAAGGCATTGCGCGGGTTGCAGGCCATATCGTCGGGAAGCATGAGAATGATTTGCGAGTCGGGGATGCCGAGGCGCTTGACGGTGCGGTAGATGGAGAGTACATTGGCGAGGTGGCGGTAATTGAACCAGAATCGCGATGTGCAGACGAGGACGGCCCAGTTGCTCGTATGCTCGGCGAGCACCGCGGGGGCGAGTGTCGAGGCAACCAGCAGGACTGGTAACTGGAGGAAACGTGATAGCTTCATGATGGATCTGAGCCGAATCGAATAAGTTGCGGAAAGCAAGGAGGTATTACAAGGTCGTAGACGGTTTCGCAAGGGAGACGAAGGAAGTTGGAAGGTTCTCACGACGGGCTGTAGAAAGTCATTGACCAACAGCTTGGTAAGGGGCCCGCCACAGAGCTTCGCCCTGACCAATGTAGCCTTAGTAAGCCGATCGGATCCCTGGCGCACAGACCCTTGCCCCTCCACCGGGGAAACGCAGTACTACTCAGGTACCGTTTCTTCATTGAAGAGACTCTAAAGTGTTTTACATTTGCACAATGCCACCGAGCTCAAGAAAATTGGGACTCTGTTGTGTGTGGACAGGGAATAAAGGTCACGCTCATTGTCGAATGATGAAATTGATAAATTGACCGTGATGACTTTTGCCAATGCCTTCTTATGCTCGATATTGAGAAACCGATATGTACCTTGACGTACTTGTTTACAGAAGCGAAACCCCACCAGTTCAAGGTACTTGGTACCTTAACTTGGACAAACCTTGACATCCCGTCACGTCTAAGTAGGACATGGCGGGAGGATGCCTCTGTGATATCCGCTTGATGTTGAATTTTCCGGGAACCGAGTTGAGACGATAGATATCATTGGATAAGTACCCTTGATGCTTATTTCTTCGCCATGACCCATAGGAACTCAGCGTCGTCCTTGTCATCGACGATATCCTTCACGATGACTTCCAGCCCGGCCTCCTTGATCTGTTCCACAGTAGCGTCGGCTCCCCAGCCGCTCCAGTACATCCATCCCTTCTCATGAAGCCATTCCTCATTAACGACGGCGGGCAAGTCCTTGGACGCAAAGTTGGCGAGCAAAAAGCCGCCGGGCTTCAGCCACTTTGCGACGCGACGGATCATCTCGCTCTGCTCCTCGCGGGGCAGGTGGATGATGCTGTACATGCCGATGATGGCATCGAAGGAGCCCTCGGAGAACTCGAGCTTCATCATGTCGCCCTCGACAAAGGAGACGCGGTCGGTGCCGTGCTTGGCGAGGTTCTCCTTGGCGACCTCGATCTGGGTGGTGGACAGGTCGTTGGCTGTGACGTAGGTCTCCGGGGCCGTGAGGAGCCTCTCGGTGACGGGAAGGCCGCAGCCGCAGCCCAGCTCGAGGACGAGGGACATTTGGCCCGACAGTGGCTTGGCGGTGAGGAGCTTCTCCATGAGCTTCTCGAGATACTCGATGCGGAGAGACGTCTGGCGGAGAGTCCACTCATTGTATTCGGTGGCGATGGCGTCGTAGGACTCCTTGACACGAGACTTGATGTCGGCAGAGGCCTGCTGGTCCTTGGGGGCGGTGGCCATCTTTGTGACCGTTGTTATTTTGAATCCTGAAAGTTTGTCTATGGACTAGTGTGTATCACAAAGTGGCGGTTCAGCTGCTTTGCTCTGACAGCTTGGCGAACGTGGAGAAGAAAAGTAGTATGTAAGAGTTCGTTCGATGCTGGAGTGACGAAGAGTGAGGTGTATGGGCTTGGGTCTATCCTTCCATGCTATCCGCAGCCTCAATCTGATGTGGCTTTTTAAGGTTGTTTGTGCGCAGAGGCATTGCACTGTTTTTGAGGAAAAGGACTTTTGTATATTTGAGTCACTTGGCCGGCAAGATCAATAAGAGTCACTCGGTCTGTCCATGCAGGATATCCAGCCTATACATTGCGATACTTCGGAGGCTCAGGTGGGATGTGGCTTTACACGGGCCACTTTGCTTTGCGGGGATTAGCTCATGTCGCTGAGAGCGATGCCAGAAGTGGCTGGTGGGGTTTCTCCGGACAAGGGACGAAGGTCGAGATCCATTTGATGTGGAGGAGTCAAATCTGGACGGGCCCATGGACCGAGCAGAACCTGGACAAGTTCGGAGCATTCAAGCCCGAGGTGGTGAATCTCTCTGCCGCCCGGGCTGGTAGGCAGTGAGCGGCAGGCATGGCAGGTTGCTCATGATCATCTCGATGACTTGCGTCAGGATCGTGTGATTTTAGTCAATGTTGATGGCGGCTATGCTGTTTGCATCCAGGCCGGAAACTCGTGATCAGGTACAAAGAATGCAACGATCGGCCCAACAAAGGCACTTGGGAGTGGAATTGGAATTTTCACAGATTTTGCCCGTACCTACCTACCTGAGATACGTAGCTTTCCTTCCTTGCCCTGGCCGTTGGAGTCTGATTACCTAAGCTAATTCTTTTGGCCAAACCTCAGCACCTGGCATTTTCGGACATTGGCTCGTCGTCGTGCTCGTCTAATTTTTTCTCGTCTCCCCACGTGCCATGATTATGTTTGGCGCTAAAAACCGAAAGCGGGACAATCACATGCACAAAGAGCGAAATGAGCCTTCTCGTTGCATTCTGCACTGTTCCGCAAAGCAAACCTGGTCCATAATTAGGAGCCTTGGACTGTTACCTTTGATCCATCGGCTGCAGATGCATCAGTCAAGAGAAAGCCGACTACAACCCTCATCCCCCCTTTCTTAAGACTGAAGCGGCGAGTGGCAGTGGAATGCTCGTCTCCAACGGCCGACGCGCGTGGCGTACATAGTAGCAGCAAGCAAGACCCTGTCTTGTCTCCCGTCGTGTTCGTCTCCGAGATGCTTGAAGTAGCAGCACAGCTTCGGCAATAGCAGTGACACTTCAACCCCCCTTCTGGTGGATGATCTCCCCTCCCTCGCAGTGTCTTCCCGGCCTGTCACTCGTCGAACGCCTCTGCTACCCCTCCAACTCTCCAACCCTTCCCCTTCGTTGACGCACCAGACATCACCACACCACCATTGGCCCATCGTCTGACCCTTGACTCTTGTATAGCCGGTAGGCGTCCGTGTGGTCAAGGGTTTGGATGCATCTTGTCTGGAGTGGCATGCCTCGAGTCCTTGCATCATCGTGCCTTTGCAGTCCGTTAGAGCAGCAGGCAAAGTGACAGAGCAGAATCTGCCCCGCCTCGCCCGCCTCGCCCGCCTCGCCCGCCTTTGGTAACTACCTTATGCTTCGTACTGTGCTTCGTACCTGAGGTTGCTTTCTTTTGTTCGTTCTGCGAGCTGCACGACCGACTTGCGTCTGCGCCTGCGCCTGCGCCTTGACCGTACAGGTGGCCCCTGTCTGCACCTTCCACGGCTGGATAGGTACCTGGATACCTGGATACCCGGGCCTTGGGCGGGATCCGATCGCAAATTAATACCCTCGAAAAGCCTGGCCGTTTTTCACGACAGGGTGTCCATCGATTTCATTCTCCACGACGTCTCTCTCCTCGCTCTCCACCGGCCGATGACCGATGCTCATTCTCGGTTCAACGGTCTCCATCTACCTACTGTTAGTCCCAGCAGCTTAGCGCTTGCGACGTCGGTGCCAACTGGTCGGAGAGGGGCTCCCAAACACCGGATGACCGACGTAAAACTCGTGGCAGAAATTCTGAAATCCGCTCCCTCCTCCGCCCGCCTCGCTGCTTCTCGGCGCCTCGCTGCCTCGCTACCTCTCTCCTTCTCTGCCTCTCTACTTCTCGACTCGATTTTTTTCTCTTCTGATTACTCAACCTTTGTTCGGCTGTTTCTACTTCGACTCCGCACATCCCGAAATACACCAACTTGAGCATACAAAGTGCATCAACTCCCAAAAATATCGAGGCTTCCCCCACAGCTCTAGTCTGTTCGCTCGCCCGTGCCCTCTCGGTCCTCCGCCGCCGGCACCTCGAAGCTTATTCCGCCTGCCCAAGCCATCCGATCCTCTAGGTCCGCAAGGTGGTGGAAGGTGTCTTGAGCCGCATTTCCAACCGTCGTCATTTGACCCACCGTCTGTTTTTCTTCGCTACTAGAGGTTGTCACATACGCCGTTGATATTCCATTGCATTCTCCCCCACGCCGACTTCCGTACATATTCTGAGTGCGCTTCCGCATCCTCACCTGCATCGCCAACAACATGGGGCGCCCACCGGCGTACATTTTCGTGGTCAGGTAAGCATGCTTTCCTATTACGCCTGCAAGCTTCTAGAAGGCTAACAATACTACAAGGCACGGCGCACGTCTCGACGCCGCTGACAAGAAGTGGCATCTCACCTCCCCGACTCCTTACGACCCTCCTCTGACCTACGGCGGCTGGCAGCAAGCCAAAGCACTTGGCATCCGCATCGGAAATATACTTAGACAGGCTGAAGCCGACATCGACGCAGATCCCATGTTTACCAACGGTCGCAATAGTTCTGTCGACTCGCAGAAGAGGCGTCGCAAGTTCAAGGTTGTCCTCCACAGCTCCCCGTTCTTGCGATGCGTCCAAACCTCTGTCGCCATCAGCGCGGGCCTGGGACAGGGACCTCCGCCAGGCACTCCCTCATATTCGATGCCCTCGCCCAGCGCGAACCCTTCCGCTTCACCCCTCGTTCTTCCAGCTTCCGTGGCTGAGGAAGTTGATCCGCTCTCCACCGATACGAACGGTACCAAGTCTGAGCAGTCCAAGAAGAAGATCAAAAAGTCAACTTTGCGCCTAGACGCCTTCTTGGGCGAGTGGCTGTCCCCGGAATACTTTGAAATGATCACACCGCCGCCGGGCTCTGCCATGATGCTGGCTGGAGCAAAGGCGGATCTGCTCAGACGGGAGAACATCCATGCTCACGACCACGTCCAGGAGCACTCCCATCACCATGCAAACTCAGTTGGCCAAGCCCAGAGTCAGCTGTGGAACAGCCCAAAGTTCAGAGCCGTCCCCGAAAGGTCCGGTTCGACGGACTCCAACTCACCATCCATCTTGGGTCTCGAAAACCTCTCTGCCGTGGGCGGCGCTCTGCCACGGAGTCGGGCTGATAGTACGACCAGCACCTCCAGCCAGCGAGTCCGTTTCACGCTCCCAGAGCCTGCGAACCCGAACGACGGATACGTAGGTCCCAACCCCAACTACGCTATTTCACCAAATCACAAAATCCCCGACGGCTACGTTGCGCATGCGCGAGATGCTTGCGTATTAGTCGATTATCAATGGGATTCGATGCGGGAGCCTCTCGACTGGGGTGATGGTGGCAAGTATGGCGAGGAATGGACAGCTATGCACCACCGATTTAGAAAGGGTGTTCAAAAGTTGGTGGACTGGTACACCATAGCTGAGCGCCCCGCCGAGATGGTCACCAAGGTGGTCAAGACGTCTCAGAACGGCGACGCCGAGTGTGCTATTGACGACGAGGACGATGACGACGTGGAGCCGGTGGTTATCCTTGTATCTCATGGTGCTGGCTGCAATGCTTTGATTGGCGCCATCACGCATCAGCCGGTTCTCATGGACGTGGCGATGGCTTCTTTGACAGTGGCCGTTAGAAAGCCCGGCCGAGACTCCGAGCCTTCCGGCTTGGATACACCAATGTCAGAGCCTGATGTCGACCCAATGTCCGGCACCAAAGGCATCATACCAGTTCACCACTATTACGATCTCAAGCTATTTGCAAACACCGAGCACCTGCGCCAGCCCGTCTCTGCCACTCACAATCTGTCCAGGGCACCCTCTACAGCCTCAAACCACTCACAAAATGGACAGTCTCACCCGCGGGGTCGCATCTCGACAGTGGGATCCTCCTACACACCGAGCCCGATCAAATTCAATCCCGACTCGTTTGATTTTGGAAGTCGAAGCAACTCGGCAAACGCGAACCTGGGCAGCATGCGCCGCGTTTCGAATAACACATACTCCCTTCCAAGGACGCCCGCGCTCAACACGACCGGAATCACAGTCGGAAGCGGCGCAACAAGCTTTACGAAGCCATCGCCGACGCTCTCCGTTGGGCTGTGGTCTCCAATCACACCGAAGGAGACAGAAGAAGACGACGATGAGGACGACGACATCTTTCCAGACTTTGACCACCGCAAGAAGTTAGCCGCCCTTTCCAAACCTGGCCCGGAGATTGTCAAGCCTCCGACTCCGGAGAGAAAGGAGCCGCAGCTCGGCGGGCCGGCAAAGGTCCCCCTCAGGCTGCAGGAGATCTCCCGCCCTACTTCGAGCGACGGCACCGACGAGGAAAACAAGATTCCTCAGCTGGGCACTTTTGCCAATGGTGGTTTATGGGGAGCGCCGCGCCCCTTGGGAGGAACGGAGATTCTGCGCGACATGACAACTTCGAAGCGGCGCTGGACCGTAAATGAGCGCACCTGAGAGGTGGTTCTATTTTTCAGCGATGATTGCATTGCGACGCGGTATGAAGCTATGATATCGTACGGAAACCCGCGATATAGAAACAGTACAGCATAACACAGCATAGCATGAACGCCATACCTTACAGCGCAAAAGCATATGCCGTTACAGCAGCAACGGGACGGCTGCATTTCTGGGCGGCAAAGGACAAATCTCAACTTTATTCATTATGGCATTGCGTGGTTGACGCGAGAGAGATAAAAGCTTTTGGGCAGTTCCAAAACATGATAGATCATTTTTAATACCACAATAGGGAGGGGGATAGCATCAGCAAAAGGCTTCTGCCTTTTCTTCGAGCTTCCCCCAAAACGGCCACCACAGACAGAGTTCTTATGAAGGCATGGATGGATAGCATAGATCAATGAAATCATAAAAGTTTAAAGAACAACTACTTGCAATGTATGTGTGTACCTATATGAGCAAAAAACTCACAAGTTGTGTATTGCACGGGTTCAATAGCGGACTATCCGCTTCTGCGCTTCTATTCATTTTTGGCATGACACAAGGGAAAAGTATCTTGATAATAGTATAGTGTAAGAACTCATCACGAGTGCCTCCCGTCTAAAACGCCCCGTGTACTCCTCTCCACACTACTAACCATCATCGCCCTCCTCTTTCCTTTCCCTTCTTTCCTTTCTCTTCTCATCTCATCCTTCCAAAAAGGCTACCGCGACGTAACCGACGCAACGTTTCTCCATATCATTTTCATCTGCTTAATCAAACGCCTTATTCATAGCCTGGTGCGCAAGCTCAACACCGAGGAAAGTAGCTGCGTTGGCAGGCACAGCTCTCGCGAGGGCGGGTCCGAAGCCGGGGAAGAAGGCCTTGAAGCCCCCGCGGCCGTACACCTCGCGCACCACGCCGCCGAGCGTGACGTTCCCCTCGGCCGTCTGCAGGCGCGATTTCACCGTATCGACGGGGAACACGGGGATCCACATGGCCACGCCGGCGGCAGCGCCCGCGGCGGTGACGGCGAGGAGGGAGAGCTCGCCCGACGCCTTACCCGTGACGGGGTCCTTGGGCGTCAGGCGGCGCTTGATGTACTCGTAGGCGGCGAAGTAGGCGGCGGACCCGGGCCCGTCGCGGGCGAGGGTGGCGACGGAACCGCGGAAGACGGAGCGGAGTCCGCCTTCTTTGTAGAGCTGGCGGACGACGTCGGTGCCGCCCTTGTATTTGGGGGATTCGCCTGGCTGCAAGCGCTGGGACTGGACTTGGAGGATTACTTTTACGCGTTCAAAAGGGGCGGTGATGGCGGTCATGGGGATGGCGGAGAAGAAGCCTGCCGCGGAGACTTGGGCTATGGAGAGGGGTGCGTCTGGGGTGGAGGAGGTTGCGCGGACGAGGGTTTTGCCTAGGTCGTACGCCCAGAAGGAGACGGCGACTGGTCGTAGTGGTTTTGTGTTAGTTGAATCTCTGGTGATTGATTGCTTCAGGGCCGGAGGAGGCAAGGGAGGAGGCAGGCATGGAGAGAAAATGGGGGGAAAAGTTGGGAAGGAAAACGTACACATTGGTGTGACGCCGACGAGGGGCGCGCTGACGCCGGCGTAGAGACCCCTCCGGAGCCCATCGCGGGCGACGCTTTTGCGGACGACGTCGACGGCGGAGGAGTAGACGCCCTTGTCGGCGGTCTGGAGGCGGACCTTGACGAGGTCAAAGGGGTGGCCGACGACGACGGCGCAGATGCCGCCGAAGCCGCCGGCGGCGAGGGAGCGGAGCTGGGTCGCGAGGCCCGAGGCGGCGGCTTTGGTATCGGCTTTGAGCTCGTCTTTGGACTCGGGGATGTGGGGGATCTTGTCGGCGATGGGGTTCGGGAGGGAGGTTTGGAGGGTTGAGTTGAGGGACGCTGCGGCGTCTGTTTGGCTGGGGTCTGGAGCTATAAAACCGGGCGTTAATACGGGCTCGGAGCTGGGATCATCGACGTTTAAACTCAGGAGACCCAAGGCGCTAGTGCACCATCTTTGACACGTCGAC